TGGTGGAGAAGCTACTGTTGACAGCCATATCCTCGCTGCCAATTCCCCACAGGTGCCATGCGGCACCCAGACAGAGGAACAGCCATCGACAAGTGCCCGTGGGCCTCGGTTCAAGACCAAGAAGCGGACGTTTGGCCGGGGGACGGGCAAAGTCTGCCAAAAAGCTCAGAGCGGCACTGAATGAATGGACGCCGATGGTGGAGAAGCTACTGTTGACAGCCATATCCTCGCTGCCAATTCCCCCACAGGTGCCATGCGGCACCCAGACAGAGGAACAGCCATCGACAAGTGCCCGTGGGCCTCGGTTCAAGACCAAGAAGCGGACGTTTGGCCCGGGACGGGCAAAGTCTGCCAAAAAGCTCAGAGCGGCACTGAATGAATGGACGCCGATGGTGGAGAAGCTACTGTTGACAGCCATATCCTCGCTGCCAAATCCCCCACAGGTGCCATGCGGCACCCAGACAGAGGAACAGCCATCGACAAGTGCCCGTGGGCCTCGGTTCAAGACCAAGAAGCGGACGTTTGGCCCGGGGACGGGCAAAGTCTGCCAAAAAGCTCAGAGCGGCACTGAATGAATGGACGCCGATGGTGGAGAAGCTACTGTTGACAGCCATATCCTCGCTGCCAATTCCCCCACAGGTGCCATGCGGCACCCAGACAGAGGAACAGCCATCGACAAGTGCCCGTGGGCCTCGGTTCAAGACCAAGAAGCGGACGTTTGGCCGGGGGACGGGCAAAGTCTGCCAAAAAGCTCAGAGCGGCACTGAATGAATGGACGCCGATGGTGGAGAAGCTACTGTTGACAGCCATATCCTCGCTGCCAATTCCCCCACAGGTGCCATGCGGCACCCAGACAGAGGAACAGCCATCGACAAGTGCCCGTGGGCCTCGGTTCAAGACCAAGAAGCGGACGTTTGGCCCGGGGACGGGCAAAGTCTGCCAAAAAGCTCAGAGCGGCACTGAATGAATGGACGCCGATGGTGGAGAAGCTACTGTTGACAGCCATATCCTCGCTGCCAATTCCCCCACAGGTGCCATGCGGCACCCAGACAGAGGAACAGCCATCGACAAGTGCCCGTGGGCCTCGGTTCAAGACCAAGAAGCGGACGTTTGGCCGGGGACGGGCAAAGTCTGCCAAAAAGCTCAGAGCGGCACTGAATGAATGGACGCCGATGGTGGAGAAGCTACTGTTGACAGCCATATCCTCGCTGCCAATTCCCCCACAGGTGCCATGCGGCACCCAGACAGAGGAACAGCCATCGACAAGTGCCCGTGGGCCTCGGTTCAAGACCAAGAAGCGGACGTTTGGCCCGGGGACGGGCAAAGTCTGCCAAAAAGCTCAGAGCGGCACTGAATGAATGGACGCCGATGGTGGAGAAGCTACTGTTGACAGCCATATCCTCGCTGCCAATTCCCCCACAGGTGCCATGCGGCACCCAGACAGAGGAACAGCCATCGACAAGTGCCCGTGGGCCTCGGTTCAAGACCAAGAAGCGGACGTTTGGCCCGGGGACGGGCAAAGTCTGCCAAAAAGCTCAGAGCGGCACTGAATGAATGGACGCCGATGGTGGAGAAGCTACTGTTGACAGCCATATCCTCGCTGCCAATTCCCCCACAGGTGCCATGCGGCACCCAGACAGAGGAACAGCCATCGACAAGTGCCCGTGGGCCTCGGTTCAAGACCAAGAAGCGGACGTTTGGCCGGGGGACGGGCAAAGTCTGCCAAAAAGCTCAGAGCGGCACTGAATGAATGGACGCCGATGGTGGAGAAGCTACTGTTGACAGCCATATCCTCGCTGCCAATTCCCCCACAGGTGCCATGCGGCACCCAGACAGAGGAACAGCCATCGACAAGTGCCCGTGGGCCTCGGTTCAAGACCAAGAAGCGGACGTTTGGCCCGGGGACGGGCAAAGTCTGCCAAAAAGCTCAGAGCGGCACTGAATGAATGGACGCCGATGGTGGAGAAGCTACTGTTGACAGCCATATCCTCGCTGCCAATTCCCCACAGGTGCCATGCGGCACCCAGACAGAGGAACAGCCATCGACAAGTGCCCGTGGGCCTCGGTTCAAGACCAAGAAGCGGACGTTTGGCCCGGGGACGGGAAAAGTCTGCCAAAAAGCTCAGAGCGGCACTGAATGAATGGACGCCGATGGTGGAGAAGCTACTGTTGACAGCCATATCCTCGCTGCCAATTCCCCACAGGTGCCATGCGGCACCCAGACAGAGGAACAGCCATCGACAAGTGCCCGTGGGCCTCGGTTCAAGACCAAGAAGCGGACGTTTGGCCGGGGGACGGGCAAAGTCTGCCAAAAAGCTCAGAGCGGCACTGAATGAATGGACGCCGATGGTGGAGAAGCTACTGTTGACAGCCATATCCTCGCTGCCAGTTCCCCACAGGTGCCATGCGGCACCCAGACAGAGGAACAGCCATCGACAAGTGCCCGTGGGCCTCGGTTCAAGACCAAGAAGCGGACGTTTGGCCCGGGACGGGCAAGGTCTGCCAAAAAGCTCAGAGCGGCACTGAATGAATGGACGCCGATGGTGGAGAAGCTACTGTTGACAGCCATATCCTCGCTGCCAATTCCCCCACAGGTGCCATGCGGCACCCAGACAGAGGAACAGCCATCGACAAGTGCCCGTGGGCCTCGGTTCAAGACCAAGAAGCGGACGTTTGGCCCGGGGACGGGCAAAGTCTGCCAAAAAGCTCAGAGCGGCACTGAATGAATGGACGCCGATGGTGGAGAAGCTACTGTTGACAGCCATATCCTCGCTGCCAATTCCCCCACAGGTGCCATGCAGCACCCAGACAGAGGAACAGCCATCGACAAGTGCCCGTGGGCCTCGGTTCAAGACCAAGAAGCGGACGTTTGGCCCGGGGACGGGCAAAGTCTGCCAAAAAGCTCAGAGCGGCACTGAATGAATGGACGCCGATGGTGGAGAAGCTACTGTTGACAGCCATATCCTCGCTGCCAATTCCCCACAGGTGCCATGCGGCACCCAGACAGAGGAACAGCCATCGACAAGTGCCCGTGGGCCTCGGTTCAAGACCAAGAAGCGGACGTTTGGCCCGGGGACGGGCAAAGTCTGCCAAAAAGCTCAGAGCGGCACTGAATGAATGGACGCCGATGCACTATGGTCCCAATGACCACTTTTGTTGGCCAAAACCCATTTTTCAGGGGTTTAAAAAAAATCCGTGGTTTTGATCACTCTGTATTAGAAAAAGAGTGAGCTTGTAAGTTGCGTACCAGAAATTCCATAGATGGGGCCACCATTCGCAAAATCAGCTGTGCAACCCAGCTGTTGTTGCTGAAAAGCACGCGCAGTGAAAAAGTGGCAATTTAATTACAGTTTTAGATCTCTCATAAATTGAAAAATACGATTAGATGATCAAATTTTTTGATTGAATCTTAATTTGTTGGGTTTTTACTACGTGTTTTGTATTGTTAACTGTATCTCGTAGTTGTGATGTCTTAGTACTTTTAGGTTAAAATGAGTCTTTTTTTTTAGCCAATTTTGATTGAAAACTGATTTTTGAAAAGGTATATTTAGTGAGTCCCACCTAGTCCCACCTTGAAATCTATTGTGTGATGTAGATTAATAAATTCTTGTTGAAATGTATATAGTAAGAAATACCACATTTGACCACAAATCTTAAAATTTGTGCTAAAACAATAAGTTGAATGCCCAGAGAAGGCTAAATTGATTCGCAAGGCTGTACAGAACCACTAACCATACAGTATATAGATGTGTCAGTTCATACAACGAAAGGGGCGCAGCTGAGGTTTCTGTCCCAGCACCCCCAGGTCTTCGGCTAGGGTGCTGGGACCATTCGGCTGTGGTGCTGAGACGTTCGGCATTTTTTCGACATGTTCGATTCATGACGAGATGCGAAAGCAAGCTGAGAATTGCAAGTGTATGTGTGTAAACAGACACGACAAAATTTTGTATCAATTCTTATTTTCCGAAACCGTTTTGAGTTTCGTTTCCAGGTTACGTAAATGTGTGTGTGCCATGTATTCACACATACTGTGCTTGTGTGTGGGCTCTAAAATTGTTGGCCGCTTGAATTGGTTTTTCGTTTTGTTTTGAGGGCTGATGTGATGTAGCGACCTATTCAGGGCCGGATCAACCTTCAACCGGGCCCTGGGACGGGCCGGATCATCAATCTGGGGCCCTCCTTTATTTTGTATTTTTCTCAGTGGCCATTATATTTTGTATTCATTATTTGGAGTTTTGTTTTTTCAACAAAATTTTTCTGTTATTTTAGGAGGGCCCTAGGCAACTGCTAATCCGGCCCTGGACCTATTCCCGTCGTAAGACTTCATATTTTCTTGGTGTGTTCTGTCGCTCGACTCGACGCGGGTCGGGTGTTGTTTTTATGCGTGCCACGCCTTTATAATTTTAATAAAAATTAGTTAAACTAATTTCTTAATAAAACTGTTATAATTACTTCCTATTCCCTATCATTAACTATTTTTTAATATGCATTATCAAATAAAAGGCGGTGTCACACCCATTTTTTTAGCAAAAAAAGAAGCCCAAGGCCTATTTTGGGAACACCTTTCGCTTAAAGTCGATCAACCGAAAGTTGGAGGACTTGGCAGTACCAATGATAGTAACACTGCTCGGCGAGCATTTTCCGATCCTCATGCTTTTTCCAACATCACTGGTGTCGATGAGAAACTTATTGCAAATTTACATACGATTTTGATATGCCTTTCATGCCAGCTGCCGATTTCTGTTCCAAAATTTTAAGCTTTTTGTTATCGTACTGCCGAGATAATCATTGATAAATACCCTTGGCTGCCAATGACCGCAAGTGTTCATACAATTTTAATTCACGCAAGGGATATCATTGAAAATTCTGTGCTTCCTATTGGATATTTCGGAGAAGAAGGAGCTGAATCTCGAATTAAATTTTACAAATCTGATCGTCTGCATCATGCCAGAAAAAAAAAGGAAACTAATCACAAGTAATCAAGTAGTCCTTCTGGAAACTCGAAACTCGAAAAAAGCAAGTTACAGTTTTGAGGATTTTATTTGTATTTTATTTTATTTATAACAATGACTGACTCGGATGAGACCAGTTGGATTAATTGGTTCTGTAAGAAGCCCGGAAATGAGTTCTTTGTGATGGTGGACGAGGACTTCATCCACGACAAGTTCAACCTGATGTTCCTAGACATGCAGAAGAAGAACTATAGCAGGGCACTCCAGGTGATCCTCGACCTGAAGACTGGGTCCGCCTCCGATGGTGTACTCGATTCCGAAGCGGAGGTTCAAGAAGCCGAGGAGCTCTACGGGCTGATTCACGCCCGTTTCATCGTCACCGACCGCGGCATCGAACTGATGTACAAGAAGTACGTGAAGGGCGTCTTTGGGAAATGTCCACGCGTTTTCTGCACCTGCGCCTTCTTTGGCACTAACTTTCCTCACATGCTCTTCATGGTCAAGCCAGAGACGCGTCCCAAGCGCTCCAAGGTTAAGTTTGTGGCCAGGTGGGTCCCACAATTATCCGTTAATCCATTCTTTATTCATGTACCCTCCTCGACTCCATTCCCAGACTGTATGGCTTCAAGATCCATCCCCTTGCCTATCGCTCTGAGACACATAAGGACTCGGACGAAGAAGCTGATACCTAGAAGGTAACCGATGCTGGCGCTCATCACCATTGCCTTCGAATGATTCACTTAATATTAAAATTTAAAAATCTAATATTGTTATATTTTTGATACTCTTACAAACAAACTGTCTGGTCTGTCCATCGTTTATTGGATGATTTTATAGCTAGAGTAGGATGCGTGCTGGTGGATGGAATGTGGATTGTGGGAATGAGTGCACTCTATTTGCCTGACTGACGAGGCAAGTTGCCATTGCCGCAAGCAGCTGAGACCCTCCTGGTCCGGAGTCCGCAGTGCTGGGGGGGCGAGGAGCGACCCGCCTATCAACAGGTGCCCGGGCGTGAGTGCCTCGCCGTCGCTGGGGTCCTGGCTGAGGGCTCCTAGCGGCTTGGAGTTCAGGACGGCCTCGATCCCGACGAGGACTGTGGCGAGCTCTTCGGCGGTCAAGAGCGCGCTGCCTACCGCCCGTAGGAGTGGGCTCTTCGCAGACTTCACACCTGCCTCCCATGTGCGGCGCTCGAGGCGGTATGAACGCAAATTCGCATCCGTGTCTTGACGGGAATTCGCGAACTGCGTCCGCCTCGTCCTCGAGCAGAGCGCTGAGGTGGCGGCCCGCTCCGACGAAATTCGTCCCGTTGTCGCAATGGACGATCTGGGGATATCCTCGGCGCCCAACGAACCTTTGGAAAGCCAATAAAAAAGAGTCAGTGGTCAAGCCAAATACAAGTTCTAAGTGAACCGCTTTGGACGCAAAACAAACAAAAAGCGCGATATAGGACTTGCATGGGGGCCTTCCTCGAATTTTCAATGTCGTCGAGACGGGTCCACAAAAATCAACGCCGCAAATTGAAAATGGGCGGAGAGTACGGAGCCGGTCTGTGGGTAAATTTCCCATAAGTTGCGTCAGCAGTCGAGGCTTGCATTTGAAGCAGCGGATACACGATCGAACTGTCTGACTGCAGACCTCCTGAGAGTTTACGATCCAAACACTCTGTCGAAGGATGCTCACAAGTGCTCGTGGGCCGACATGAAAATTGGTTTGGTGCAGATGACGAACATAGCTCCGCACGAATTGCGAGCGCTTTGTCAAAAGCAACGGAAACTTGGCATCGTATGATATAGGACCTTTAGCTAGTCGCCCCCCTACTCTCAACAACGAAAAAAAACACCAAGTACCAGTGTCTTCATGGATGAATGGGTTCAACCGCTGAAGACTATGACCAACTCTAGATCCTTTCCGAACTTTCTCGATTTCTTCACGATACTCGTGATGTTGGGTGGTTTCAACAATTTTGCGAAAGGCAAAACTCGGTCGGTGAGACCGTTTTTTCAAACGTCATGCTCGGGTTCTTACATTATCTTATAAAGCAGATCATATAACAAAACACTCTAAGCAGCTTGAGGTGTGACGAGAATCCCTCGATGACATCTACTAAATCCGAAACTTCCACGGCAGCGGTCAGCCCGACCGCGTTCTTCCTCTTCTCCAGCTCAACATCTTCTGAAGGCTCGAAATGAGGGTTTTTAGGCCAGTTTTCCTCTTCATCCTTTAGAAATGCGGGTCCTTCAAACCAGATGGACTGGACGATTTCCTTGACGTCACAACCTCTTGACACAATATCTGCTGGGTTTCGTTTTGTAGGGACATGCCGCACCGTAGCTCCATCTGACCACTCCTGTATCTCAGCCACCCTATTCGAAACGAACGTCGACAACGAAGATGGATGTGACCGAATCCAGTGAAGAGTTACTTCAGAGTCTGACCAATAAATAGCTCGTTCGATAGGGACCTTTAATAGGGGCTTGATTCTGTGACAGAGATCCGCGAGAAGGTGAGCGGCACATAACTCAAGCCGTGGGAGCGTTTTGGTCTTGAGCGGCGCTACTTTGGACTTTGAAGTCAACAATGATACAACAATTAAACCTTCTGCAGTTCTGCTACGGACATAGACGCACGCTCCATAAGCTCTCATGGAGGCGTCAGCGAAGACATGTATCTGGACCGGTGACATCGGATCGGAATACACAAACCGAGGTATCGAGATCTCTTCCAATTGAGACATGTACTTCATGTATTTTTCAACATATTCCATGCTGTTTCCAAATGCATCGGAATCGACTCATCCCAATCTAGTTTGTTAAGCCAGAGTTCCTGCAATACGATCTTGCCCTTTATGACGATAGGACTTAACAATCCAAGGGGGTCGAACAACTTCGATGTCACCGACAGTATGTTCCGTTTTGTCGCTCGGAGACCCATGACTTCATTGTCAATTTTAAACTGAAAGGCATCTTCCTTAGGCAACCATGAGATTCCTAACGCCTTAGTCGCATCTGAATCCGAGATCGTTATGGGCTTTGCTGTGCTCTCAGATGCGGTGATCTCAGGTGAGTTCGAAAACCATTTCGCTAACTCAAACCCTGCGGTCTGAAGAACCTGAGATACTTCGATACTTCTTCTACGCATGCAGCACCAGTCAACATGTCATCAACGTAAAAGTCGGACCCAATAACGTGAGCAGCTTTAGGGAATGATAGTTTCACAGACTCACTCAACCTTTTTAAACACCGGATAGCCAAAAAGGGGGCTGGTCCAGTCCCATACGTCACGGTGTTAAGCTTGTATAATCTCAAGGACTCAGATGGGTTTCTTCTCCACACTATCATCTGAAACTGCCTATCCGCTTCATTCACCATCACTTGGCGATACATCTTTTTCACATCGGCAGTCAGGGCGAACCTGTGCAGACGGAAGCGGAGAAGCGTTGAGTATAATTCCTCTTGAATGGTCGGTCCGACCATCAAAATCTCATTTAAGGCCACCTGAGAGGACGTCTTCGACGACGCATCGAACACGACGCGAAGCTTGGTGGACGTACTTTGGGGCCGAGAGACACACTGATGTGGAATTACGTAGTGTGGAGTAGAAGGAACCGTATTGTCAGTCGGCGACATATGACCTAAGGAGAGGTACTCTTCCATGAATTCCAAGTACATTTTCTTCAACTCAGGTTCACGAGACAATCCTCTTTCGAGCGACAAAAACCGCCGTTTAGCAACCTCAAAGGAGTTTCCCAGACAATTTGGATCTGATTTAAACGGCAGCCTTACTTCAAACCGACCTGATGGCAATACCTGAATTATTGTTGATTGTAGAGTATAATAATTAATTGTAATTAAAAATAACACTTTTTACGATTTTGCGAGAAGTTTTAATTTTTAGAACATAACCTCAATTTGGCAAACTCAGATTTTTTTGGCAAGTGGTACGAAGCAAAGGGAAAAGTCGCAAAAAGAGTATGCTCTGTTGATAAGAAAGAGGTTCTTTAGCAAAAAAAGAAGTCCAAGGCCTGTTTTGGGAACACCTTTCGCTTAAAGTCGATCAACCGAAAGTTGGAGGACTTGGCAGTACCAATGATAGTAACACTGCTCGGCGAGCATTTTCCGATCCTCATGCTTTTTCCAACATCACTGGTGTCGATGAGCAACTTATTGCAAATTTACATACGATTTTGATATGCCTTTCATGCCAGCTGCCGATTTCTGTTCCGAAATTTCAAGCTTTTTGTTATCGTACTGCCGAGATAATCATTGATAAATACCCTGCCAATGACCGCTAGTGTTCATACAATTTTAATTCACGCAAGGGATATCATTGAAAATTCTGTGCTTCCTATTGGATATTTCGGAGAAGGAGCTGAATCTCGAATTAAATTTTACAAATCTGATCGTCTGCATCATGCCAAAAAATGCGGTAGGATTGAAAACCTAACAGACGTGTTTCTGCGAGCTATAGATACTTCTGATCCGATAATTTCTTCAGTGAATTTGGATAGACGTATTCAGCGAGAGGAGAATGTGTCTTCCATTAAAGGTTTTAAACCTATTAGAATACTCATCAAATCCGGATGGCAGCGCGGAGCGTTAAGATGAAATCCCTTTTAATGAATTAGACTTAGAACATAAATAGAATATTGATTTGGAAAGGGAAGAGCAGGTCTTTTTCTAAGAGGTGTGTAAGGAAAATATATTTCTTACAATACATTATTAATTGTCTTTCATTGCAGGACTACAAGATGAATGCGCTTTATATTACTTTCTTTCTTCCTTAAAACTGTTTCCCAGAAAAAGTGGTCAAATTTCCCATAGTGCACCGGTGCATTCTTTTCGTCTCTCGCTTTCGCTTATCCGCCGTTGCTTGCTGTGTAATTGGTGAAAGAATTTTCGTTGCCGCGCTTGATCAAAACGGATCGCCAAGGGACGCGCTACCCTGTGTTTTGAGGGTATATTTTTTTAGGCACTCACTTTGCATGTGACGCGCTACCCTACAGTAAACTAAACCCATTTTTCAAGGGTTTAAAAAAAATCCGTGGTTTTGATCACTCTGTATTAGAAAAAGAGTGAGCTTATAAGTTGCGTACCAGAAAATTCCATAGATGGCGCCACATTCGCAAAATCAGCTGTGCAACCCAGCTGTTGTTGCTGAAAAGCACGCGCAGTGAAAAAGTGGCAATTTAATTACAGTTTTAGATCTCTCATAAATTGAAAAATACGATTAGATGATCCAATTTTTTGATTGAATCTTAATTTGTTGGGTTTTTACTACGTGTTTTGTATTGTTAACTGTATCTCGTAGTTGTGATGTCTTAGTACTTTTAGGTTAAAATGAGTCTTTTTTTTTTAGCCAATTTTGATTGAAAACTGATTTTTGAAAAGGTATATTTAGTGAGTCCCACCTAGTCCCACCTTGAAATCTATTGTGTGATGTAGATTAATAAATTCTTGTTGAAATGTATATAGTAAGAAATACCACATTTGACCACAAATCTTAAAATTTGTGCTAAAACAATAAGTTGAATGCCCAGAGAAGGCTAAATTGATTCGCAAGGCTGTACAGAACCACTAACCATACAGTATATAGATGTGTCAGTTCATACAACGAAAGGGGCGCAGCTGAGGTTTCTGTCCCAGCACCCCCAGGTCTTCGGCTAGGGTGCTGGGACCATTCGGCTGTGGTGCTGAGACGTTCGGCATTTTTTCGACATGTTCGATTCATGACGAGATGCGAAAGCAAGCTGAGAATTGCAAATGTATGTGTGTAAACAGACACGACAAAATTTTGTATCAATTCTTATTTTCCGAAACCGTTTTGAGTTTCGTTTCCAGGTTACGTAAATGTGTGTGTGCCATGTATTCACACATACTGTGCTTGTGTGTGGGCTCTACAATTGTTGGCCGCTTGAATTGGTTTTTCGTTTTGTTTTGAGGGCTGATGTGATGTAGCGACCTATTCAGGGCCGGATCAACCCTCAACCGGGCCCTGGGCAATCATCAATCTGGGGCCCTCCTTTATTTTGTATTTTTCTCAGTGGCCATTATATTTTGTATTCATTATTTGGAGTTTTGTTTTTTCAACAAAATTTTTCTGTTATTTCTAGGAGGGCCCTAGGCAACTGCTAATCCGGCCCTGGACCTATTCCCGTCGTAAGACTTCATATTTTCTTGGTGTGTTCTGTCGCTCGACTCGACGCGGGTCGGGTGTTGTTTTTATGCGTGCCACGCCTTTATAATTTTAATAAAAATTAGTTAAACTAATTTCTTAATAAAACTGTTATAATTACTTCCTATTCCCTATCATTAACTATTTTTTAATATGCATTATCAAATAAAAGGCGGTGTCACACCCATTTTTTTAGCAAAAAAAGAAGCCCAAGGCCTATTTTGGGAACACCTTTCGCTTAAAGTCGATCAACCGAAAGTTGGAGGACTTGGCAGTACCAATGATAGTAACACTGCTCGGCGAGCATTTTCCGATCCTCATGCTTTTTCCAACATCACTGGTGTCGATGAGCAACTTATTGCAAATTTACATACGATTTTGATATGCCTTTCATGCCAGCTGCCGATTTCTGTTCCAAAATTTTAAGCTTTTTGTTATCGTACTGCCGAGATAATCATTGATAAATACCCTTGGCTGCCAATGACCGCAAGTGTTCATACAATTTTAATTCACGCAAGGGATATCATTGAAAATTCTGTGCTTCCTATTGGATATTTCGGAGAAGAAGGAGCTGAATCTCGAATTAAATTTTACAAATTTGATCGTCTGCATCATGCCAGAAAAAAAAAGAAAACTAATCACAAGTAATCAAGTAGTCCTTCTGGAAACTCGAAACTCGAAAAAAGCAAGTTACAGTTTTGAGGATTTTATTTGTATTTTATTTTATTTCTAACAATGACTGACTCGGATGAGACCAGTTGGATTAATTGGTTCTGCAAGAAGCCCGGAAATGAGTTCTTTGTGATGGTGGACAAGGACTTCATCCACGACAAGTTCAACCTGGTGTTCCTAGAAATGCAGAAGAAGAACTATCGCAGGGCACTCCCGGTGATCCTTGACCTGAAGACTGGGTCCGCCTCCGATGGTGTACTCGATTCCGAAGCGGAGGTTCAAGAAGCCGAGGAGCTCTACGGGCTGATTCACGCCCGTTTCATCGTCACCGACCGCGGCATCGAACTGATGTACAAGAAGTACGTGAAGGGCGTCTTTGGGAAATGTCCACGCGTTTTCTGCGCCCGCACGTGCTGCCCCTCGGCGTGAGCCCCCCGGCGGCGAAAGGGGCCCCCCCCCCCCCCCCCGCCCCCCCGGGGCCCCCCCCCCCCCCCCCCCCCACCTGGACGGCGCCTTCTTTGGCACTAACTTTCCTCAAATGCTCTTCATGGTCAAGCCAGAGACGCGTCCCAAGCGCTCCAAGGTTAAGTTTGTGGCCAGGTGGGTACCACAATTATCCGTTAATCCATTCTTTATTCATGTACCCTCCTCGACTCCATTCCCAGACTGTATGGCTTCAAGATCCATCCCCTTGCCTATCGCTCTGAGACACATAAGGACTCGGACGAAGAAGCTGATACCTAGAAGGAATGATTCACTTAATACTAAATTTAAAAATCTAATATTGTTATATTTTTGATACTTAATTCGAATGATTCACTTAATATTAAAATTTAAAAATCTAATATTGTTATATTTTTGATACTCTTACAAACAAACTGTCTGGTCTGTCCATCGTTTATTCGATGATTTTATAGCTAGAGTAGGATGCGTGCTGGTGGATGGAATGTGGATTGTGGGAATGAGTGCACTCTATTTGCCTGACTGACGAGGCAAGTTGCCATTCCGCAAGCAGCTGAGACCCTCCTGGTCCGGAGTCCGCAGTGCTGGGGGGGCGAGGAGCGACCCGCCTATCAACAGGTGCCCGGGCGTGAGTGCCTCGCCGTCGCTGGGGTCCTGGCTGAGGGCTCCTAGCGGCTTGGAGTTCAGGACGGCCTCGATCCCGACGAGGACTGTGGCGAGCTCTTCGGCGGTCAAGAGGCGCTGCCTACCGCCCGTAGGAGTGGGCTCTTCGCAGACTTCACACCTGCCTCCCAGAGTCCTCCCATGTGCGGCGCTCGAGGCGGTATGAACGCAAACTCGCATACGTGTCTTGACGCGAATTCGCGAACTGCGTCCGCCTCGTCCTCGAGCAGAGCGCTGAGGTGGCAGCTCGCTCCGACGAAATTCGTCCCGTTGTCGCAATGGACGATCTGGGGATATCCTCGGCGCCCAACGAACCTTTGGAAAGCCAATAAAAAAGAGTCAGTGGTCAAGCCAAATACAAGTTCTAAGTGAACCGCTTTGGACGCAAAACAAACAAAAAGCGCGATATAGGACTTGTATGGGGGCCTTCCTCGAATTTTCAATGTCGTCGAGACGGGTCCACAAAAATCAACGCCGCAAATTGAAAATGGGCGGAGAGCACGGAGCCGGTCTGCGGGTAAATTTCCCATAAGTTGCGTCAGCAGTCGAGGCTTGCATTTGAAGCAGCGGATACACGATCGAACTGTCTGACTGCAGACCTCCTGAGAGTTTACGATCCAAACACTCTGTCGAAGGATGCTCACAAGTGCTCGTGCGCCGACATGAAAATTGGTTTGGTGCAGATGACAAACATAGCTCCGCACGAATTGCGGTTTGTCAAAAGCGCTTTGTCAAAAGCAACGGAAACTTGGCATCGTATGATATAGGACCTTTAGCTAGTCGCCCCCCTACTCTCAACAACGAAAAAAAACACCAAGTACCAGTGTCTTCATGGATGAATGGGTTCAACCGCTGAAGACTAGGACCAACTCTAGATCCTTTCCGAACTTTCTCGATTTCTTCACGATACTCGTGATGTTGGGTGGTTTCAACAATTTTGCGAAAGGCAAAACTCGGTCGGTGAGACCGTTTTTTCAAACGTCATGCTCGGGTTCTTACATTATCTTATAAAGCAGAACATATAACAAAACACTCTAAGCAGCTTGAGGTGTGACGAGAATCCCTCGATGACATCTACTAAATCCGAAACTTCCACGGCAGCGGTCAGCCCGACCGCGTTCTTCCTCTTCTCCAGCTCAACATCTTCTGAAAACTCGAAATGAGGGTTTTTAGGCCAGTTTTCCTCTTCATCCTTTAGAAATGCGGGTCCTTCAAACTAGATGGACTGGACGATTTCCTTGACGTCACAACCTCTTGACACAATATCTGCTGGGTTTCGTTTTGTAGGGACATGCCGCCACGTAGCTCCATCTGACCACTCCTGTATCTCAGCCACCCTATTCGAAACGAACGTCGACAACGAAGATGGATGTGACCGAATCCAGTGAAGAGTTACTTCAGAGTCTTACCAATAAATAGCTCGTTCGATAGGGACCTTTAATAGGGGCTTGATTCTGTGACAGAGATCCGCGAGAAGGTGAGCGGCACATAACTCAAGCCGTGGGAGCGTTTTGGTCTTGAGCGGCGCTACTTTGGACTTTGAAGTCAACAATGATACAACAATTAAACCTTCTGCAGTTCTGCTACGGACATAGACGCACGATCCATAAGCTCTCATGGAGGCGTCAGCGAAGACATGTATCTGGACCGGTGACATCGGATCGGAATACACAAGCCGAGGTATTAAGATCTCTTCCAATTGAGACAGTATATTTTTCAACATATTCCATGCTGTTTCCAAATGCATCGGAATCGACTCATCCCAATCTAGTTTGTTAAGCCAGAGTTCCTGCAATACGATCTTGCCCTTTATGACGATAGGACTTAACAATCCAAGGGGGTCGAACAACTTCGATGTCACCGACAGTATGTTCCGTTTTGTCGCTCGGAGACCCATGACTTCATTGTCAATTTTAAACTGAAAGGCATCTTCCTTAGGCAACCATGAGATTCCTAACGCCTTAGTCGAATCTGAATCCGAGATCGTTATGGGCTTTGCTGTGCTCTCAGATGCGGTGATCTCAGGTGAGTTCGAAAACCATTTCGCTAACTCAAACCCTGCGGTCTGAAGAACCTGAGATACTTCGATACTTCTTCTACGCATGCAGCACCAGTCAACATGTCATCAACGTAAAAGTCGGACCCAATAACGTGAGCAGCTTTAGGGAATGATAGTTTCACAGACTCACTCAACCTTTTTAAACACCGGATAGCCAAAAAGGGGGCTGGTCCAGTCCCATACGTCACGGTGTTAAGCTTGTATAATCTCAAGGACTCAGATGGGTTTCTTCTCCACACTATCATCTGAAACTGCCTATCCGCTTCATTCACCATTACTTGGCGATACATCTTTTTCACATCGGCAGTCAGGGCGAACCTGTGCAGACGGAAGCGGAGAAGCGTTGAGTATAATTCCTCTTGAATGGTCGGTCCGACCATCAAAATCTCATTTAAGGCCACCTGAGAGGACGTCTTCGACGACGCATCGAACACGACGCGAAGCTTGGTGGACGTACTTTGGGGCCGAAGGACATACTGATGTGGAATTACGTAGTGTGGAGTAGAAGGAACCGTATTGTCAGTCGGCGACATATGACCTAAGGAGAGGTACTCTTCCATGAATTCCAAGTACATTTTCTTCAACTCAGGTTCACGAGACAATCCTCTTTCGAGCGACAAAAACCGCCGTTTAGCAACCTCAAAGGAGTTTCCCAGACAATTTGGATCTGATTTAAACGGCAGCCTTACTTCAAACCGACCTGATGGCAATACCTGAATTATTGTATGTTGTAGAGTATAATAATTAATTGTAATTAAAAATAACACTTTTTACGATTTTGCGAGAAGTTTTAATTTTTAGAACATAACCTCAATTTGGCAAACTCAGATTTTTTTGGCAAGTGGTACGAAGCAAAGGGAAAAGTCGCAAAAGAGGATGCTCTGTTGATAAGAAAGAGGTTCTTTAGCAAAAAAAGAAGTCCAAGGCCTATTTTGGGAACACCTTTCGCTTAAAGTCGATCAACCGAAAGTTGGAGGACTTGGCAGTACCAATGATAGTAACACTGCTCGGCGAGCATTTTCCGATCCTCATGCTTTTTCCAACATCACTGGTGTCGATGAGCAACTTATTGCAAATTTACATACGATTTTGATATGCCTTTCATGCCAGCTGCCGATTTCTGTTCCAAAATTTTAAGCTTTTTGTTATCGTACTGCCGAGATAATCATTGATAAATACCCTTGGCTGCCAATGACCGCAAGTGTTCATACAATTTTAATTCACGCAAGGGATATCATTGAAAATTCTGTGCTTCCTATTGGATATTTCGGAGAAGGAGCTGAATCTCGAATTAAATTTTACAAATCTGATCGTCTGCATCATGCCAAAAAATGCGGTAGGATTGAAAACCTAACAGACGTGTTTCTGCGAGCTATAGATACTTCTGATCCGATAATTTCTTCAGTGAATTTGGATAGACGTATTCAGCGAGAGAGGAGAATGTGTCTTCCATTAAAGGTTTTAAACCTATTAGAATACTCATCAAATCCGGATGGCAGCGCGGAGCGTTAAGATGAAATCCCTTTTAATGAATTAGACTTAGAACATAAATAGAATATTGATTTGGAAAGGGAAGAGCAGGTCTTTTTCTAAGAGGTGTGTAAGGAAAATATATTTCTTACAATACATTATTAATTGTCTTTCATTGCAGGACTACAAGATGAATGCGCTTTATATTACTTTCTTTCTTCCTTAAAACTGTTTCCCAGAAAAAGTGGTCAAATTTCCCATAGTGCACCGGTGCATTCTTTTCGTCTCTCGCTTTCGCGTATCCGCCGTTGCTTGCTGTGTAATTGGTGAAAGAATTTTCGTTGCCGCGCTTGATCAAAACGGATCGCCAAGGGACGCGCTACCCTGTGTTTTGAGGGTATATTTTTTTAGGCACTCACTTTGCATGTGACGCGCTACCTACAGTAAACTAAACCCATTTTTCAAGGGTTTAAAAAAAATCCGTGGTTTTGATCACTCTGTATTAGAAAAAGAGTGAGCTTATAAGTTGCGTACCAGAAATTTCCATAGATGGCGCCACATTCGAAAAATCAGCTGTGCAACCCAGCTGTTCTTGCTGAACAGCACGCGCAGTGAAAAAGTGGCAATTTAATTACAGTTTTAGATCTCTCATAAATTGAAAAATACGATTAGATGATCCAATTTTTTGATTGAATCTTAATTTGTTGGGTTTTTACTACGTGTTTTGTATTGTTAACTGTATTCGTAGTTGTGATGTCTTAGTACTTTTAGGTTAAAATGAGTCTTTTTTTTTTAGCCAATTTTGATTGAAAACTGATTTTTGAAAAGGTATATTTAGTGAGTCCCACCTAGTCCCACCTTGAAATCTATTGTGTGATGTAGATTAATAAATTCTTGTTGAAATGTATATAGTAAGAAATACCACATTTGACCACAAATCTTAAAATTTGTGCTAAAACAATAAGTTGAATGCCCAGAGAAGGCTAAATTGATTCGCAAGGCTGTACAGAACCCAGTAAGAAAGCAGCAAACTTTCTGACCGAACGAGCACCCTGGAAAAAGCGTTTTCCACCCTGACACAAGGGTTTTTCTCTAGGTGGCAACAATTACAAAAATTTTTTGTTTTCAAATCAAAATTTGTGTTGTTTTTATGCGTGCCACGCCTTTATAATTTTAATAAAAATTAGTTAAACTAATTTCTTAATAAAACTGTTATAATTACTTCCTATTCCCTATCATTAACTATTTTTTAATATGCATTATCAAATAAAAGGCGGTGCCACACCCATTTTTTTTTTTAAATCTTCTTCCTATTGATTATATATATACAATACAAGAAACTAATTTGAAAAATCTTGTTTCGTTTTCGAGTTATTAATTTTGGCCAACAAAAGTGGTTGTTGGGACCATAGTGCGATGGTGGAGAAGCTACTGTTGACAGCCATATCCTCGCTGCCAATTCCCCCACAGGTGCCATGCGGCACCCAGACAGAGGAACAGCCATCGACAAGTGCCCGTGGGCCTGGGTTCCAGCTGATCTTAGCGTGCCATGGCATTTTCGTGTGCTTTTCAGCAGTATGGTCGTTACGCATCTTGTTGTGTTATAGAGTCTTTGCACTTACCATACAGTATATTGATGTGCCAGTTCATACAACGAAAGGAGCGCAGCTGAGTTTGCAGCGTACGTTCCCAGATCTTCGGCTTTGGGAATGGCCGCGTTGGGCTCATGACGACATGAATACATGGCACACACACGTTTACGTAAACTGAAATCTCGAACAAAGTCGGTTTCGGCAGCTAAAAATTATTCTATGCATACAATCATATATTTTGGAGTGTACACGTACACAACACATGCATGCTTGCTGCCAGTCGGCTCGTGTGTCGTCATGAGCCGAACGCGGCCATTCCCAGAGCCGAACGCGGCCATTCCCAAAGCCGAAGATCTGGGAACGTACGCTGCAAACTCAACTGCGCCCCTTTCGTTGTATGAACTGGCACATCTATATACTGTATGGTTAGTGCTTAAACGCTGAAACTAACTACGTACAGAAACTACGTAACGTAACGTTAACTTAGTTAGTAAGTATCTAGTAACAGTAGTTACCTTACCTGCAGTTAAGTGGAGCAACAGACCGACATATTAGCATAGTTACGTGTGTGTATGTGTGTGTGCGTTCGCGGACGCGCGCCAATTCGGCTTAAACTCTCTCACTTAAACTCGCTTAAACGCCTAAACTAACTACGCACCATGTAGTATCTACGTACCGTTAACTTAGTTAGTAACGATATAGTACCAGTAAATACCTTACCTGTAGCAACAGCCGGCATCCCATTTTGAGCATATACCTGTGTGTGTGTAGACGCGACGCACCAACAGCTGTAATAATGAGTAAAAGGAGATACGTTAAGTCTTGGTTGGATGACCAGGCCGCCGCCACAGGTAACGACCATGTTGACCATGACCATGATTACGTTCCGGTGCCAGTCACCGAATGTAAGTAGCGACGACGACTTCGATGTGACGTCGAGCAGTGGAGATTCGGATGAGTCCGACCACATTTCGCAACAGGACGCCGCATCATGCCCCTCCACAGTGACTACGGTTACATGCCGTACATCCTCCTAAACAGTGGAAATGCGGGCCAGGAGCTGCTAAAAAAGAAGCGCAAAAACGTAAAGCGACGCAACAGAGGAAGCTCGTAACGCTTGTGGGAGAGTACTTTGTACATAATAACATTCACATGACGCTGGGAGACGCCAGATATTTAGAAGCCAACATGCGAAGGGTTTTTCCGCTGGAGCAAGAGGAAAAGTGGTGTGATAGGTTCTATACCTGGTTCACCAACAGGAAAACAAGAGAGAAAAAAAAGGACAAGGCCGCCGATATCCCAAACTCCAAATCTTCGGTGAACAGCAACGGTCCCCACAGGCTCCAAGCGGCTTTGGGACGTCCCCACCAAAAGTCCGACAGTCCCACAGAGACGGCGAGCAGTAGCAGCAGCAGCGGTTTCTCTTCCAGGGACAGCAGAGACCAACATCTGCAGGATACGGATAAGTCGCAAGCCAGCGCCATTGCCAAGCGGGATACCTTCGCATCGCAGCAGCAGCAGCAGGCGGCCCTCTCGCAGGAGACTGTAGTGAATCGCTCCAGACTGGCCATCGAGGCAGCAGCGAGGCGCTATGGGGCGTCAGACTATGCGCCACATCCCACAGGGATAGTGTTGCGACGCGTGGGCTACTACACGATACCCTCGCTGGATGATCTCAAGTCCTACCTGGCCGAGGATGGGTCCTGTGTGGTGCCCAATTTCACCATTGGACGCGAGGGCTATGGCACTGTGTTCTTTGCCATGGAAATGGACGTGGCCGGACTGAATCTGGATGAGATTGGTAAGTGATTGGGGAGGAGCCAGGCCAGACAAGCATCATCCGCCAAGAACTATTCTCGCTCTCTCTCTGCAGTTTACTTTACTTCCGTAACAAGGGGATCATCATTTATCCTGACGATGAGAAGAGGCCGCCTCTCAACCAAGGCCTGAATCGTGAGGCACAAGTCACCCTCGAGCAGGTATGGCCCGTGGACAAGACCCAGACCCAGACCCAGCCTGTGCCTGTTGTGAAGGATGTGCAGCGTCTGATCGAAATGAATTGGGAGGGACATCTCGCGCTTCGTCGAGTATCGCCCAGAGACCGGCATTTGGGTGTTTTGTGTGAAGCACTTCTCCAAGTACGGCCTGGACGAGGACGATGACAAGATGACGCTCCATTCGTTGCGGCCCAGCGTATATTACTTATTACTTACAACCCAAACATCGACGAAAGAGAATGCAAAATCAAGATGGCGGACCTAACGGACAACACGTGCGTGGCTCCTGCGCGGCGCCGCCAAATTCTGATTATTTTTAGGGATGTAGAGTTTCTCCTTATAGTGCAATCCATCCTCTTTACTTAAAAAAACAATGATCACGATTTCTTTCACCTGAACTGCGCTAAAATTCAAGTTTCTTTCTGTTTTGTTCCTGGTTGGAAATGGATATTCCTCGAATGTTCCGTTTATTATTACTAGCTAGCAATACATTTTTAACAAGATTGGCTAATTTTAAGAAGTCCCTTTTATTGTCTTGTTCCATCAGGCTCTGTTCAGTTCAGTATTTGCATGGGAGAACAATGTAGTAGATCTGCGTGAAATCAACCATCAGTAGCGTATTAATTTCTAGAGAATTATATCTAAATGTTAATTAATTAATGAATTAATAGTATATTATGTGTAGTCCAAGTCTTAGGTAGCAGTTTTTGTTATAGCCAGGGTGGAAGGTCCTCTGGACAGACTGCGTGTCGGCGCTACTGTGGCCGGTGAGGAAGGGAGCTTGGTGCGCTTTGGCAAGGTGGCGGCCCGCAAATATGGATTGTCTATGTTCGGATTCTCAAGTATGGCCTTGTTGGTGGTGGAATTGGGCTTGATTTCCAGCTCCTGCTTGTCCTCCTTCGATTTATCACCCTCGAGATCTTCGTTGTCGCTGTCACCTTCATCGCCATCCTCTAAAACAGAATATTAATGAATATTTCGATCTCCAGAGTGCCACTGGGCTGAGTGCTACCTTTGCTGGGCGCATCCTCTGTTCGATTTGCCACCAGGTAGTGATACTCCAGCTCCTCAAAATCGAAGACCTGATCCGTGGGATTCAAGGCTGAATAATAGGGCGGCAGCGAGGGGTTGCACGCAATTACTGTGGAGGCAGCCAATGGATGAGAATTGTTGGGAACAAAAAGTGGCCGAACTACTCACAGGGAAACATATTGTCTTCGGTGGGAAACAGATTATTCGTTTCAGTTGTCTTGCACAGGAACTTGGTCAGAGCCTTCTCAATGTCCCGCTTCTGGCAGGCAGCCTTTTCCCGGATCGCCTCGTACTCCGTCACCGGCTGCTTGTGGGTCGGCGTGCGAATGTAGGCATGCGGATCTGGCATGGGTGGAAAGTAGCTGGGGACATAGGGTGGGTGCGATGCCTTGGTGCCCGCCTGCAGAAGGCTCAGTGTGCGCTGTTGAGTCTGCTGTGGCGGCAGTTGCACTGGCACATGCGGTTCACGGCGAAGGTAACCCTCCAGACTGCCAATGTTCTGGCCCATGCTGATGAGGGCCATGCTCACATCGCCCACCGTCGCCATGGTGCGCCCACTGAGCTCGCAGTAGTTGTGCGCCGAGTTTCCCAACTCCACAATAACTGCAAGCAACAATCATAATTAATATGCGTTTGAGATTTGTCCATTTGGCGGCTACTTACACGCCTGCAGCATTTCCGTGAGCGTCTCCAGGCACTGTGCACTGCATTGGCCGGCCCCCTTGTCCAGCAGCAGCTGCGAGATTACCTTGCCGAGCAGGCGGCGGTAAACGTCAACGTTGGGTGTGGATACAGATTCGATCTTGTCCATTGATTAAGAGTATTTCACTTTTAGTTGAATACTTTTGAAAATTTTAAACAATTTGCTGTGAGTTTCGTGGTTCAGCTGTTCTACACAGGGCTGCACTGTCACTGAACAGTGTGCTAAAATTCGCAATGAAAATACCACATTTTGGTATTTATATGGTCGCACTATGTGTCTATGGGCACTTTTTGAATTGAAATATGGCGGGCATTTTCAACATAACAAATTATGTTTATGTACCTATATATATTTAGAACATTTATCTGAAACGTGAGTTTTTGTTAAGTTAAACATAATTGTGAACATTAAAATATGGAAAATTCAAAAAACGCACAAAAACAAAACAAGTATTTGAATTTGAATTGAGTTTGGTTTTTGTTTGTGTGTGGAAGGTGTTCATCTCTGGGTGCAGTTTTATCGGCTACAAGCCCCAAAGTAGGAACAGTTCGTAACGCACAGCCTCATCAGATGACGCCAATTTTTATCGGTGGCCAACATTATGGGATCGCCGTAAATGAACATGGCAGCGCGGGCGCGCGAAATGGCCACGTTCATGCGCTTTTCGGAACGCACAAAACCGAGGAGCACGGAATCAGCGGATCGCACCGTAGAAATCATCATTATGTCACGTTCCTAAGGATAAGGGTATAGATAAACATGTCCGCGAAGGCTTTCAAATGGCCTAATATATGGCTCACCCCTCCCTGGAACTCTTCCACGGAGCCAATCTTTGGCAGCACCTCAGCCGAGCCATCGTTCAGCAAAGCCTTGATTTTTTTGACTTGTTTGGCGTATGGTGTGATTATCCCTATTTGCTCTGGCGTTATGCCGCTGTCAATGAGTTTTTTATACATTTTTTGTATTTCGCCGGCCTCTGCCGGGTTGTGCCATGAAGGCGAATCGACATCCTTTAGGCTGGAGCCAAAAACGCCTACAAAAAATACCCCATGCCCTCGGGGAATTCCCCCACCCAGCATGATTTGCAGCTTCTCCACAATTTGCAGTTCTCTTGAGTCATTTGGGGAAACCATAGGCATGAGCTCGTCCTCATAGAACAGGTGGCTGTATGTTGACACGATCGCGGGCAGCGCGCGATAGTTGTGCTTGAGCTTTGTTAACACGTTCAGTTTGTTTCCAGGATCGTCCAGGTCCTTGGCATAAATTGGTAATTGAAGCAGCCGCTCCAGCAGGGATGTGTCGAGTCCGTAGGCACGGGCACTCGAACTATATATTATGGGCTGCAGCTGTTGCGGATCTCCTGCGAGAATGACCTGACTGTGATCCTTTGCAAGCAAAGTGGCTGGCAGCAGGATCTGCGGCTCACTGAGCTGCCCGGCCTCATCGACAAAGAGGTGGGTGAAATGGCCGGGCGAAAATGGCATCTGCATGAGGTTGCCCAGTGTGGCACTGGTGCCAACGATGATGCGCTGTGTGGTAAAAAACCACCACTGGCAGTGCAGCCGCAGACCCGACGCGGTGACAGTCATCTGGAAGGGATTGGTGATCGAACGGATCATTTTTAGCAGTATAGAAAAAAAACATTCAAATAATATAAAGCGCGCCACACTATCGATATTGTGAGATAGTATCATTTGAAACAATCGATTAGCGGCGAGGCCAGAGATGACACTTTTTGGCGATCGTTTAAGCGGAATACAAACTGAAAAAAGTTTTTAAAAGTGGACCTGGAGAGACTTACATTTGAATTTAGGAACATATCCAGGCTCGCGCAATATTTGATCAGCTCCGGCGGCAGGAGTCCCTTGTCCGTCTGGTTGTGCGATACGAGTCGAATGATATCGGCATCATTGGCCAGAGTATTGCTGGCAATAATTCGCTTGGTTATGAGATCCGCAGCACTGTTCGAGGGCGCGACCACCAGGAGGCGGGAAGTGGCAACATTTCGCACCACCTGCAGCACAGCTTCGACCAGGGTGGCACTCTTCCCGGTACCGGGTGGACCAAAGATCACGTACGGCGTGTTCAGTGTTGCGCCCCGCAGGATGTGAAACACGGCGCGCTTCTGAATGAAGTTCAGCGATTCGTTGAACCACTCGAGCTTCGTGCCGAGCAGGTACATATCGTCGCCATCGACGAGCTCCACCTGCAATTGATGTTGCTTGCGCTCGACCACTTCGGTGGGGAACAGAAACTGCTGGCCCATGGTGTCGACGATTTTGCCGATGGCATAGTGCTGCTTTCTCTGGGGCCACCGCGAGCATTGGAACTCGATGCTGCAGGGCTCCCCATTGTACAGTCGGTGGAAGCTGGCGTTGAATCGGAGCAGACTTCGATTGCATAACACCTTGGTTATGATTGCAGAATATGTATTGTTGTCGCCCGGCCAGATATTGCTCACGTTCACCTTATCGCCGACGACCAGCGAGGGTCGACGCTCGGCGAGATCATCGAGCTGAAGCACCAGATACTCACCGTCCCTCTCCATGTAGGCGCTGTGCCGGTCGAATTTTCGCATGGCCACGAATAGCTCCAGTTCCTCGATGGAAAGCAGCAGGCTGAAGCGCTCCACATAGTTGGCCATGGTCAGGGGCCCCTTCAGGCATGGATACTGCGCCTCCAGGGCGCTGCGCATCTCCCCACCATTGCAGTCTCTCAGGTAGACGCTGGTCAGACGTTCTGGCACCTTGAACAAAGGCAGGTGGGTGCCCAAAAATCGGCGCTCGTTGCCGTTGCTGTTGCCATTGGCTGTGTCGTCAGTCCGGTCATCAGCCTTAATCACCTCCGAATCGGCTCTCTTGCTCCACACCAGATTGGCATAGCTGCGACTAAGCGGACCCCTCGCTGGCTCCTGCCCCAGAGGTGGTCTTCCAGGGGGTCGCTCGGCCGAGGCAACGCGCCGCAGACGAGGCTCTGCCATTTCGGCGCTGTTCTGTGTCTCGCACGCAGCGATCTGTAAAACTGTCGACGGTGGAATCAACCTGATGGCGCGATGCGTGAAATCCTCCTGGAGCAGTAGGGATTAGGGATTACAAATTAGGCAAAGGATTATTGCTGAGGTGAATAATTAAACACATACGTGATCACACTCGATGAGATGAGCCAGCACTTGGTCGCCCACTTGCAGATCGAACCCTTGTGGGATGTGCTCCCGCAGCACATAGCCACCTCTGGCGAAGACAGTGAATTCCGGATAACAATTTCTCCACCTTGCAATTTTGGTTCGGGAGGATGCGTAATGGAATCAATTCCAATAGATTTGCATTGGCAGTGGCATGACCCATCAAAACGCTGACAAGATCCCCAGGCTTTGCCGCGAAGCTAAGCGACACGTCAGCCTGGTTGAACCGGTGGCGTCCACAGTTTGTGTCCAACTGTATGGTGGAATCGTTGCACACTTCGACCTTCCCCACGATCTCTCTGTCCTGCCCTGTCCTTCTGGACAATAACTCGCGAAATCGAAACATTTTTGTTTCAATCGAGTTTTAATATAGCGCTGCTAGAAAACTTCGAACTTCACAACTCAAGGGAAGAACTTGACAGTGTAACGTCTGGACAATGGCAGCAACGTTTCCCTAGATTAACTAAATCAAAAATTTATGCATGTGCATGCTATGTTAAAAAATGCCCGCCAAATTTCAAATCACAATGTGCCGATAGGCATATAGGTGCGACCATATAAATACGCATTTTAGCATGCCAAATGGGTGCGATGACAATGGGTGGTAACCCTGTCCACCTGTATATTTTGAAATTGAGAAGGTATATTTTTAAGCTATATTAAAGTTCTTTTCAAAATGACCGCCAAACTCCATTTACCGCTCAAAAAATACTGACATTTTTCGCTCTCAAATCGTGGTGGTTTTTTCTCTCTTTTCCGAATTGAAGAGAGCGTTTTCGTGGGGACTTACACCTCATTTTCGGGGTGAGAGCCGCATGTTCGTCTACGTTCCCGTGAGATACATTTGATTTGTATGGGAAAAATTTCCTCAACATGGGGAAATGAATTGGCAGCATTGTTCTGCAACTTTGGCACGAAATGAGCAACAAATCTGAATACCTTGGGAAAATGGATATTATAGAATAGAGATGCATGCACCAGTCTCTGTTTTAAAGATATTAACGAAATTTTGTAGCTCACGGGTACAAATAATAGGTATAAAATAATAATAATACAGAACCGGGATAAATGTATTTATAAAAAACAAAACGTATGCTGTTAATAGGTAAAAAACATCTAAATCTAATAAAAATGCAATATAAATGTTTCAAAGCAGCTTGGAACAACTAATTTAACATCAATTAGAGGAATATCAACGTCTTGTCAAGTCCGTCAGTATATTTACAGTATATTTTGATAATGGCAAATTTGGGTATATTTCTGTGGGTCAGACGTTATATTTTGTTGATAGATACGCGGTCACACTGTAGTCGAGTTGGCAGATTTTTTTGCGGCAGGAAAAGTTTTTATGTTTTAAATAGACTACCACTTTAACTACAACCAATTTAGTAAATGTATTTGTTAGTCAATATCGAGAACAGTCCTTTGTGCGTGTAAAACAACGAGTGTTTTGTGTAAGTAATGGCCCAACCTTGTCCAGTTCTCAGTTAATTGAAAGCTGTTGCGGAGCGGACCAAAAAAACTGGTCCACTTGTACCTGCTTGTGTGTGTGTGTGCCAGTGTTAGTGTTTTTGTGGGTGTGTGTGTCAGTGCGAGTGTTTTTGTGGGTGTGTGTGTCAATGTAAGTGTTTTTGTGTGAGAGCGGCTCTTCGAATTACTTTTTTTTTTTGTTTTTATCAAGTAAAACTTTTTTTCTTTAAATTTTATATGAAAACAAAAAAAAAGAAATAATGTAGCTTTCGCACGAAACTTGCACGAAAGTATCGACACGAAAGTATCGAACGTATCGAACAAAACAAAATACGAAAGCTAGACGTCAACGAACGAACGGACGCAAAGCAAACGTCCACGTAAACTTTTAACATTTTGCTTTTGATGCTTTTCGTCGTTGTAGTTGTTTTTATTTTACATTTATGTTTTTACTAAATCGAGGTTTTTTTTATTTGTGTGGCGATAAGGATTTCATTTAATTTCATTGGAGTGCATGTAAAGAAACGGTAATTTTGCATATTTTGCATATATATTTGATCTGGAAAAACGGGTTTTCCCGTTACCGGGCGATGTCTTGGCTGAAGGCTCGTGCCCGTGCGCTCAGCCGGACAGAGGGATTAGTGGCTGGCAGGGGGGACGAGGATTTAACAGAGGTGTGTGTGTCGTCCACTGCGGTGGAGCAAATGGGTGAAACATTCTATGGGAATTATGCAAGAACTGGGCAGGAACAGGTAGAGCGTCAGCTGCTCCTTCTTTTGTGTGTGTGTGTGCGTGTGCTTCCGATTACTAATCAGTGATTTTCCTGCTCTCCCTTCCAGCTAACCGAGAGCGCGAACATGCTGCACAACAATGCTCCCTGGCTGCCACCCCATCAGTCGCCACAGCAGCAACACCAGCAGCAACACCATCCGCAGCAGCAGCATGCACAGCTGCAGCAGCAGCAACAGCAGCAGCAGCAGCAGGCAACAGCAGCAGCAGCAACAGCTGCAACTGCCGCAGCAGCAGCAGCCTGTCTATGCCAGCCAAATGTTCCATCATCAGGCACCACCACCACTTGGCCAGCAGCAGCCACAATACTGGCCAGAGGAGCAGCAGCAGCAGCAGCACCAGCAGCAGCAGCCGTCGCTAAATTACAACAACTACTTTGCAGTCCAAGATGGGGGTCAGCAGGTGCCACCGCCTATGCCTCTGCCTCAGCCAGAGCTACAGCAACAGCCTCCTCAAATGTATTATCAGCCTCCACCTCAAACAACCACCCCGCAACATCAGATGCATCCCGAAATCCCTTTGGATTCCTTTGACAACAGCAGCGGCAGCATCAATAATAACAACACCAACAACACCGGCAGCAGGAGTGATGGCTGGGGGGATTGGGGCGATTGGAATGAGACGAGCAACAACAATAACAACAATAGCCAGAGCCAGGGCCACAGCAACGAGGCCGTGATGGAGCCACCGCCAAGCATAGTGGAGGATGCTTTCAATATTCAGGGGTCGCAGGGCAACAGCTGGCAGGCCTTTGCCAACAATAACAACAATTTGGAACTTCCGCAATCCGCGGAACGCCAGCCGCAGCAACCGCAGCACCCGTTGCAGCCGCTGCAGCAACACCTCCAACAACTCCATTTGCAACAACCGCCGCCAGAGGTAGGCTCGGAACCCGAAGTGGATGCGATTGTGCCGCCGCGAGCCTTTCAGAATCAACCACCTGCGGCAGGATGCGCACCTGTCTCCGGAGGGGCAGAAGTGGCGCCAGTAGCCGGAGGATTGGTGGCAATGGCCCCACCATCTGCCCTGCCACCGATCATTGCCAGTCCGGGTGGCAACCCCTTTAAACGTTCCACTGGACCCAGCAAACGTGTCAACATACTGGCCGCCACACAAGGAGCTGCTCCTGCTCCTGCTGCAGCACCTACTCCTGCTCCTCCGCAGCCTGCCACGACACTCGCACCAATACCAATAGCTCCTGTGGCAGCACCATCTGCTGAGGCAATCTTTGGTCTGGCCGCAGAGCCACAGCCGGAACATTTCAATATATTGACACCGCCGGCAGTGATTCCTGCACCTGTTGTTCCGGGAGCGATTCCCGCAGCTGCATCCTCCATTTATGGACTACCCGCACCCTCACAGCCTCAGCAGCAACAGCAGCAGCTGCTGATTCCACCACCACTCGTCCACGAGTCGTCACCATTGGAGATGGGGGCCTATGAGAACATGGAGGTGCTGGCCGCACCCAACGACGAGAGGGCCCAGTATCTGCAGACCAGTCACCTCTCGGAGCAGCCCGAGGAGGGGGAGGCCAACTGGGAGGCGGACACAGACACGGGCCTGCTCCCGCCACCCGGTCTGTCGCGTCTGGTTCTGGGCCAGCCGGAGTTGGAGCAGCAGCGACTCGTCACGGGCACCGAACAGCCACCGGCCACGGCCATGAATGTTGTCCAGGCCCTCCACATGGAGGAGCGTCAGGCCGATGGAGAGGACACCTCCGAGGGAGAGCAGCCGCCCCGTGTCGACGATCGCAATCTGTATCAGACACCGCCACGTCGTGTGGTTACGGGTGTGGAGACGACGGCCGTGTCTGTGCGGGAGCAGCGTGAGGTTGTCCTGGATGGCGAGAATCTAGAGGATCGGGAGGAGCCACCACCAGCCCTGGCCGGAGTTCCGGCTGTCGTTCCGGAGCTGCCGCCACAGCTACAGCAACATCACAGCCTGCCCGACGAGGCCGAGGACATGCATCACAATCCCCCATCACAGTCGGCTCCAGTGGCAGCCTCTACCGCCGCCGCCGCCTCTCACCAGCAGCCGCACCCACACTCACAATCACACCAGCAGCCCCTGCAGCAGCAGCAGCAGCAACAACAGCAGCAGCAGAGATTGGAGAAGAAGCGTCCCCAAGCCGGCCAGCGCATGTCGCGGACAGGAAACGCCTCCTTGGACCTGGAGTCCGAGGAGTCGGATGAGTTTCTGCTCAGCGAGCGAGAACGCGACAGGGAGCGCGATAGACGGGACCTGCCCGATGATCGGCGCGGACGTCGTGGCCACTACAACAACTACGACGGCGAGACGGAGGACTCTGTGCGGGGCGCCGGCCCAGCCGGATCTGGGGAGAGCAAACCGGTGTGCGATAGCCATCGCCGCAGCCACGAAGGCAACAGCCAGCAGCATGGACGACGCCGCAATCCCGACACAGACCTGGAACGGGAGCGGGAACGCGATCGGGATCGGGAGCGCAACTGGCGCCGGCGATCGAACAAGTATCACAGCGGCGGAGAGGATCAGGAGCGTTACGAGCACTCCCGCCGCTACAACAATAGCAACTACGACGGAGAGTCCGATGGTCCCGACTCTAGCCACATGGGCGCCGACAGCGAGTTGCTGCTAGATGGAGGCAGCGTCGGCCCTGGGGCCGGACCCAGCAGCATTGGTGGCCGCAGCAGCAAGAACGGCAGAGAGCGCCAGAGGCGCAGTGGTGCTGCACCCGAGGATGACTACGACTATGATGACTATGAGCGAGAGCGCGGCCAATACTCTCGACGCTCCATCAAGCAGTCGGAGAAGGGCCGGCCTAGTGGTGGGCGGCGCGATCGACATGAGGCCACCACTGGTGATCAGCGGCCGCAGCGGCGCAGCAACGATGATGGCACCCTGGAGCGGCGCCGTCGTCATCCGCATGCGGATCAACGGCACTGGGACGGGTACGAGGAGTACCGCAGGAAGAGCTCCCGCAACAGTGACCTGGAGAAGGAGCGCACCAATGGCGGAGTTGGGGGTGGCGGCGGTGGTAGCGGCAGCTCCAAGCGGCGCAACTACGCTCCGTACGCGGGTGCTGGCTATGACCCGTACGGAATGTACGAGCAGATGTCGAGGAATCCCCAAGCCTATGCGGACATGTACGCTAAGTTCTATGGCCAAATGATCAACTCGATGACGGCAGCGGTGGCTCCGTACAAGGCGGCGGCTGGTGCGGGTGCCATTGGTGGTGTTCCGGTACAGCAGCAGCACCAGCAGCAGCAGCAGATGATGACTGCAGGAGTCCAAATGATGGATGTCATGCGGACGACTGGTAAGGAGGGTGACCTGCTTACAGAACGAGAACGGTAAGTGCATGCCCCTGCATCCTGCCAATGGAAGTCGGTTTAGCTGCCTTCCATCCAGCCCCAGCCCACAGCCCACAGCTCACAGCCCCTTCAGGTTTTGCAGAGATCAAATTAAGCATTGAGAAGGTGTTTCAATCGCAACTCCCTCTGCAAGGTCGCGAAGGGGTTGAAGGGTTTCGGGCATGGCCGAGTATGATTTTTCGCATTCCTTTAGTTTGTTGGTTTATCTTTTATTTACACCCAGCCACCCACCCACACATACAAATGCACATAAATATGTATGTATATGTATGTGTGTAGTACATATATACATGTGGTATTTATGTAGCTGCCTACCCGCTCTCCCTGATTCCCCCATTCCTCGTTGACGTAGCAGTTGTTATCCCTCTATTTTCGCGTGTTGCTAATCTCAAATGTTGATTAACCCGTGCATACCCTCCTCCTCCTGCTCCTCCACCTGTTCCACCTGTTAATTGTTGAGGTTGGATTTTGGGAAAATTAACCCACAGAATTGTTAATTTAGTAGACACTTAGTTAATGATTAGATAGAGGTTCCCGGTAGAGGCAATACCGATCGATCGGTCGGTCGATCGATTGATCGTGTACTGTACCCTGTATGCGTATCTATCTACTCGTACCTTTCACACCTTCCACACACCTACTCCTGCTCCTACTTATCATCATCATATTCAAACCCTAATCGCCACACCCACACACATGAGTCGATCTGTCCGTTTCGCTCCACCTAATCCTTCATTCGCTCTGCGCCTGCTCGCCTGCAGCTTTCTCTTTTCTGTGCGTGTACAGTGTACTCCCTCTCACCGTTCCGTTACAATCCGTTCCATTCCGTTCCGCTCCGCTCCTTTGCTTCCACCTCCTGCTCCTGCTCCTCTACCATTCCATATTCCATGTGTGTTCCATGTACGCAAATACCGTTCGTTATGTGTTGTTTTTGTCTACTAACAAAACACATCAGCAGCAAAGTAGAAGCAAAAGAAAACGCAAACGCAAAGAAACAAGCAATAGCTTGTATACAAGGTATACCAATATAAAGGTATGGCAGTGCCTTACCCTATTGTTATACCCTGATATACTCCGATCGTATATAACCTCTAAAACTGTTTCCGTTTCTAACAAATTCACAAAAAAAAAACAAAACGCAAAACATCATTTGTGCCTTCCTCCCTCCTCCCCATGTCTAGGTACACACACGCATACATAAATCAAGCAAACGAATTCCATCGTCAGCAATATAATGAGGGGCTCTACCAGCAAAAGCTCCAGCAGCTACAGCAACAACAGCAACAGCAGCTCCAGCAGCTACATCAGCAGCAACAGGAGCTCCTTAACCGCAGCATGGCGGACATGGAGGATGGCAGTGCCAGCTTCTATGGCGGTGAATCGTTTAGCAGCCGGCGAGCTATCTATGGGCATCATGGGCTGGCCAGTGCCCGATCGCTGAGCAATCTGAATGGTGGGGATCTGAATGGAACAGGACGAAGTTCACGTTGCAGCGGCATGTATTATGCTGGCTCTGAATGCGGCCTCGATATCAGGTGGTCACACAATCTCACTCTGCAGACTCTCTCTCTCTGTCTTTCTCTCTCTCAATATATCCAAAGAACAAAATCCCCCGCTCTACTGAGTCTTCGTCACTCTCTCGCTCTCGTAGGTCTTCCTTCCCCTCTGTCATCCAGGACATTTTCATGCAAAAACAAGAATCACACAGTCTGTCCCACTCCCAATCTCCCCTCACCCTCCCACTCCCACTAACTCATGCTTTCGCTTTGTCCATGCCATTTCATTCCATCTGTTTGCGTGTCCCAGCCCCAGGGTTGCATGGAGGAAAGCTATTGGGTTTCCATCGACTTATCGATTGCTTTTGGCCCCCTATCTCGCAATCTTTTTCAGTCTCTCTTTGGAATGTGTTTTGGGGGGCGGATCCTAACCGTTGGGTACTTTTTGGTGTGGGGGGAATTAGTCCGTCCGACCGAATAGAATCTAAGCAGAATCTTGAATCAAGTCAAATCATTCCATTCCATTCATTTATCTTTTGTATCTAATCTCTTCTCTGGAGGAAACGTTCATACTTTGTCGCATACTGCGGAGTTGGCAATTTCAAAGCCCATCCTCGCTGATCGATCCAACGTCTCCGTGTCCCACATGTCCCTCCCGCTGCCCTGCCTTCAGTTTTTGCATGGAACATTTGTTAATTTCACATTTGATTTATTTCCATTATTGTGTGTCCTGTCCCCCCCCGTTCTCACTTTTCTAATCGTTTCTAATCTATTTCCTGCTGTTGTGGTTGCTGTTCTCCCTAAACAGAGGTGCCGATGTGGCTGCAGGTGGCAGTGTAACCACCACATCGGTGGCCCGTCCACCCAGGAGACGCACCCCACTGATGTACAACCGACCGCATTTGGTGGCCTCGTACGCGATGAGCCTGCTGCTGAAGGTGAAGCCAAAGTACGCCGGACGCGGCCGCCTGCGCAACGATGTGGAGGTGGCGGCACCGCGCTTCCGGGACGGCACAAGCAGCCTGCTGCGCATGTATCCGGGACCCCTGCAGGGCCGCAAGTTGCACAAGGACAAGATCATCAGTTTCTGCAAGGAACAGATACGCCTCGGCCCCACCCGCGGCTGTACGATGCTGTATGCCACGCAGAAGAAGCCCCAGGGCACCGTGGAGAAGTACCGGGCCTCGCACGCCCTCATGTGGAACCTGCTCATCCTGCTGCTGCGCCAGAACGGGGTAAGTCCATTCCCGTCATCATCGCAGCGTATCCTGGGCATCCTTTACTTTAATCCGAATTCCTTCGCCCACAGTACATTGCCGACACGGATGTGGGCGATCTGCTGCTGGAGAACCAGCAGGAGTATCCCTACAATCCGGCCGAGCTGGATGCGGCGTCCGAAACGGATCCCGAGGCTGATCCAGAGCCATCGGATCCAGCGGAGCCGGCTGTGGATTCGGAAGCTGAAAGCGAAACGGCCGCCACCAGGGCCGCCAGTCAATCCTCGGACGAGGGCCAGACTGCCGCTCCAGGGGCTGGCGCTGATGCTGGCGCCTCGGGGAAAGCAGCGACGCTATCGGAGCAGGAGGCCACGGACAAGTTCCGTAGCTATGTGTTGCGCGGCAATGTGGAGGAGGCCCTGCAGTGGGCCACCGACAATAACCTGTGGACGCACGCCTTCTTCCTGGCTCTGTACGAGGACCGCTATGCCCTGATAGATGTGGCCCAGAAGTTCCTCAATCGCGCCATCAAGGCCAACGATCCGCTGCAGACGCTCTACCAGATGAAGAGCTGCCACACCCCGGCCTGCGTTAGCCAGCTGCGGGACGAGCAGTGGGGCGACTGGCGCTCCCATCTCTCCATTCTCGTGACGAACAAGTCGCGCCAGCCGGAGTACGATCGCAGCTCGGTGGTGGCCCTGGGCGACACGCTCTTCCAGCGCGGTGACATCTATGCGGCCCACTTCTGCTATCTGGTTGCCCAGGAGGAGTTTGGACGCTACGACAGCTCGGCCACCCAGCTGACGACGCTTACGGCCAATGTTCCCAGGTCTGCATGCCATCCATATTCAGTCTGATAGTCAGCTTGATCCGCCCTTCCATTCCCTAAACTATTCTGTTCTGATCCGCAGACTCATCCTGCTGGGCGCCTCACACTACAAGCACTTCAACGAGTTTGCCAGCAACGAGGCCATCATCATGACGGAGATCTACGAGTACGCCCGCTCGCTGTTCGACCAAAAGTTCAGCATCGGCAACTTCCAGCACTACAAGTTCCTGCTGGCCACGCGCATCCTCGACTATGGACAGCATTTCCGCTGCACCAACTACCTGGAGCAGATTGCCAAACACATTGAACTCAAGCCAGACAGCTACGACAGTGATTTTATTCAGCGCGTACGTTCATCCCCTTGAATGCGGCCGTGCCCGTGCCCGTTCCCCTTATTAATCTGTGTGATGTGTGTTTCTGTAGGTATGCGGCCTGGCCGAGCGTTTGCGCTACCACGATCCCATCCTGATCAATCGGGTGTCGTTTGCCAGTCCGCCGATTGGCAACAACAGTAGCACCAGCAGCAGCAGCAAGGACCCCGCCGTGCCCGAGGACAAGGCCTGGCTGCGTCAGCTGCGGATCATGGCCGATGTGGTGAGGAATCCGGAATCTCTCTTGAAAATTTTGTTCTTGAACGAGTTTTATTTGATTTGCAGCAACCCCAACAGGAGCTGCAGCAACAGCAGCAGCAGCAGCAACAGCAACAGCAACAACAGGAGCTGCAGCAGCAGCAACAGAACGATATCGATCAGCAGTTTGCGGAGGTGAACCAACAGTTCCGGGAGCTTAATATGCAATATGATGGCGGCAATTTGGAGGATACCCTACATCTAACCAAGGAGCAGCCACCTGTGCCTGATGTCCACCAGCAACAGCTGCCAGAGCAGCATATGCAGCAGCAATACTACGAGCCAACGCCTCAGACGCAAATGCAGCTACAGCCTCAGGTACAGCATCAGGAGGAGCTACAAACTGATGCGTATGGCCAGCAGACCCAACAGTTACAACAGCAGCAAAAACCGCCACAGATGTACTATGATCCCAATCCAGCAACAGCACAGCACTACGAACAGCAGCAACATATTGCTGCCTCATATGGCAGCCACATAGAACCAGCCGCCGAGGCATATTCCGCTGGCGGCCAAACAGTAGATCAAGCGGCAGCAGCAGCAGCAGCTTCTGGCTATGGCTACGACTACTGGTCGGGCACACAGCAGCCGCCCTACGGCGATGAGGTAGGTGCCGAATGATTTGCCCATATGGAAATAGAAGAATATTATGTACTTTTTGTTACAGTATGTATGTATGTGTCTTTCCCTGCCCTGCTACTTCGTTAATTTCTAAGTATTTACTAGATATCCATGTGTTGGTTTTTAGTCGTGTTTTTTTTTTTTAAGTTTTCCCTTTTAAGTTTCTGAGTTCTCTTTTGTCGTTACCCCTGACTTCTGACCCTTGACTCTGTTGGTTTGTGTTCTGTTGTAGCCATACAAATTAGGAATCAAATAAAAATGCTAACGAGTTTCTAATTCAAACACTCACACCCATACACACACTTATACTCACACATATACACTTCATTGGAATGCAGCAAACGGAAGGGAATGAGAATTTGAATGAGAATCAAGATAATCAGGATACAGCACTAGCCACAGGAAATGAGGATAAGGAGGATGATCACAAGATGCTACAGCAGCAGCAGCAACAACACAAGCAGCAACAGCAACAGCAGCTGCAGCACATGCAACAGCAGAAGCTAAAGCAACAGCCAAACTATCGCAGTGGCAACAGCAACAACCTAAACAACAATTCCTTGAAAGGCTCAAAGACAGCAGCCACAAAGTCTGGCCTGGAGATGGAGAGGACAAAGACACTACTCCGCCAAATGGCAGCATCCCCCGCTACTAAGCCACAGACAGCAGCCACAACACGAGCCACAAAAGCAGAGCCAGCAACACGAGCAGCAGAAGGAGCAATTGAGGCAGCAGAAGCTTCACCACAAATATTAGCCACAACGATGACAACGCCAGCGCCAGCAGCAACAAAGGCATTCAATTTGAATGATGTAAGTAGCTTTACTACCATAAATAAACGACACCAAGCTACCAGCAGCAGCAGCAATATCTGCATTCGCAACAGCAGCAGCAGCAGCAGAAACATTACAGCCGCCGCAGCAGCCATTCCTAAGCAATTAATTAGTTGTAGAAAATCAAACATCAGTAAAAATAGTTATGTTCCATCAACGCCCAAAACGCTTACAACGCCCACACGTTTCATAGCCGCTAAGGCGGCCATAGCGAAGTCCTCCACAGCGTCAAAGACCGCAACCACAAGCAGCGGAGGAACCAGAGGAGGCAGCTGTGCTGCAGCAGGAGCAGGTGCAGGAGGAGGAGGAGTCAAGCGGGTCAACTTCAATTTACCGTCGACCATAGATGAGTCCTGCGAGCAGGAGCTGGAGCTGGAACAGCAGCTGCAGCATGACAACACTCTGGCTCTGGCTCAGGCCCAGACGCATTTTAAGGCAACAGCCGCGGCCTCAAGGCTCTGCCGCAAGCCGCACATCGTCTTCAATGGGACCTATCCCATTGATATGCCCCTGAGTCAGGCACAGGCGCAGGCTCAGGCCCAGGCTCAGGCTCAGCCCAAGAGCAACAGCTATGACCCAGAGGCGAATGCAGAACGCGGCGAGGTGCAACGCTATCGGTACATGCTTCACGACTATGTGATCGATGAAGATGCCGAGGGCGAAGAGCAGGCCGAGGAAGATGATGAGTTTGCGGAGGAGCTGATGGGCTATGCGGATGAGGATGACTGCTACGACGACGATGATAATGATGACGAAGATGACGACTACTATGGGATGGTGCAGGACCATGATTTCCTCAACAAATATGGCATCATCCAGAGCAAGCCATCCGCTGCAGTAACTGGAGGAGTTGGAGGAGCTGGTGCCTCCACCTCAGGTGGCGCTGCCGCTGCCCAGCCGCAGCATGTGTGGTCCATGCAGGAGCTGATTGCGAATCCCGCCATTCCGCTCAACTACAAGAAGATGTGCTCCGAGGTGGAGCAGAGTCTCAGTAAATTCGAGACGTATTTGGATAGCAAGCAACAGCATCAGCAGCAGCAAAAGAAGAAGGGAGGAGCTGTGCGAACCTACGAGATTGATGCACCCACCAGAAGCAGCAGCATCAGCAGCTGTCAGGGAGAGGGGATTAGTTCTAAGAAGAGATTGTAAACACAGGCAGACGCCACAGACTAGTCGAATTAAGCGAATAATCCATACATACTGTAGTCCGCAATCGATTGCATCGATTCCTTAATCTTAACACACAAAAACACCAGACCAGTATTTCTCCAGCCAAACTCAAACTCTATTGTGTGCGTGGAAGTGTGTGGAAAATCTGTCAGTTATTTAAGAAAGAGAGGGAGAGAGAGTGAGAAATGCCGCTGAATGAGCGTCGCTGCTTTTTGGAGCTAGTACCTGGAGCTTGTCTAACTGCTAAACTATATATAGCACAATTATATATATAAAAATAAAAATACATATATCCTTGTAAGCCTTCGCTAACCCATAAGCCTTCTAATGATAAATAAATTCAATCTACAGAGAGAAAGAAATGCGAATAGGGAGAGAATGTGATCGAATGTGAAGAGAGTTTTTTGATTGCGCCAGTTTTTGCCAGTTTTTTGCCAACGATTATGTTCATTTATTCCGGAACTAAAACCCGCCCCGAACTAACCAACTGAAACTAAACTCTACTATCATTGTTAACTAACCAAAAGCACTGCATACTACTACTACTACTACTACTGCAACTACTAAACTGAAATGAAATCAAATGAAATGAATCAAATCTATCAAGAATATATTTCTATATACAGCTTTCGTATACGTATCCCCACCATCCCCGTCCCTAATTTGAAATCAATAACTAATCCAATGCCATTTCTTAACTCCGCATTCGAATTCGAATTTGCATTCGACAGCTGCAGCATCAGCATCAACAGGGGCCACAGGGGCGACCAGCAATCTCCATGCCAAAGTCCAAGAGCTACGGCGATGAGGACGATGGTGCGGCTGCGGGTTCACCAGCCCAAGCAGCGGCCAGCAGAAGCAAGCCAGGAGCAGGAGCCAAACAGGGATCGAGTGGAGAAATTGGGTAAGTCCAGACATGCAGAGAGATCACTCAATCAATCAATCAATTAATCATTTTAATTGCTTGTCACTTGTGTGCAGTGCACCTGGCAATCAGAATGCCGGCTGGTTCGGGGGATTGTGGAACAAGTTGTCGCTGAAACCGAAGAACCAAATGATTCTGCCGGACGACAAGAATCCCACCATTGTGTGGGACAAGGAGCGCAAGTGCTGGACCAACACCGAGGGCAATGTGGATGAGGCTGAAAGCTTCAAGCCGCCGCCAAAGATGAGTGATATGGGCATGGGCATGGGCATGGGCATGCCCTTGGGATCACCACCTCCAAATATGCTGGGCAGCATGCCCACACCTCATCTGTTGGGTGGCCACGAGGCTGTGGCAGCGGCGCCACAGCAGCCACAAATGTATGGGAATCCGCATGACTATGCCGCTGCCGCCCCAACGCCCGAGCTGTATCCAGCAACGGTGCCATCGCCAGCCCCAGCCCCAGCGATACCATCGCCGGACCTTGGCATCAACGCACCAGCACTCCACCAGCACCAGCATCAGCATCAGTACCAGCTCCTGGTGGCGCCCAGCCCAAGCTGCAGTCGAACATGTTTAAAATGCAGCGCAATCGCAGTAAGTAGCGCCACGTCACAGGGCGGATATGCCCCACAAAGAGAGTTCGCTAACGATTCCTTTTTGCAGCTCTAAAGAACTCATATGTGGATGTGTTCAATCCTTCGGGTGCGCCCATGTCAGCGCCATCCGAGAATGTCCTGGCCCCCATAATGGCGCCGGCTGCACTGCCCCAAGGTGGCTACTTTGTACCCGGCGGCGCGTCTGCATCGCATCAGCAGTAGGCCCACCGCTACTAGCCCCAGCCAAAACCCTCTAATGCCAGCGAAATGTGAGTTTACAGAGATTTTGGGATTTACTTACGGTGGAGCCCCCTCGACTGATTCGATGACTTTCTTTTTTCTTGCTTGCAGCTGAACTTCGAGCTACGTAAAAACTACCAGACACTAGACCAGCTGTGCGCCCACACACTCACACACACACACACACACACACATAACCAGAAACCAGACGAGACCATACACACGCACACACCCATTGATCGTGCCACCCTGTCACTCGCCTGCCTGATACATGAAGCATAGCATGCAACCACACACCACAGTGGTGACACAGGGACGGGATTGGGTGGGGGGCCACGCCACCACGCCATGCAAAACAGTAAAACAGTAAAAACTAAAAACCGATCAAGCTCATCCGATTATAACTTGCATTAACTCTTGTTGTTTGTCTGTTTGTCTGTGCTTAAACAATCTTTTCTTGGTGTGTGTGGGTTTGGGTGTGGGTGTGTGATACTGGTGTGTGTGTGTAGTGGCGCATGATTATGAGTTATCCAACGAGAACGATATTTAAATGTTTAGCGAAAAAATGAATCCAATTTGTGTACTAATAGCAAAATATATCTATATGTAAACCCCAGCCCCTCCATTGCGTTCCCCCCTCCCCCACACTCCTACATCCACTTCACACTCCCCTTCCCAACAAAGCAATTTCTGTTTATATATATATATATGATATTTCTTTCGTATGTTGCATAGTTTTTATGATTATTTTTTGTTGTTGTTGTATAGAGCTGTATGAGAGACGTATGAGAAGAGAATGATAAGAAGCGGGGAGGGCGGCAGGACAGAGCACACAGCAGGACACAGTAGGACACACAAGAAGAACAGGATATTGGTTTATGCACTACTTTCCATCGTTCAATCTAGCTATATATATATATATACGATTATATATTTACATATATGTATGTATGTGTGGTATGTGTGTTCCCATCTCTAATTCTAAATTCCTGTGTGTTTTCTATATAGTTGAATTATTAAATAGATGACGATGCTGAAATTTTTTTTTTCTTTTTGTTTCTCTGTGTCCTTTCTGCTGATGCTGCGATTGGTGTGCAAAATATGATTCCATTTTATGATAGTTTTATTTTGTTAGAATTTATTTCTGTGTGTGTGTTTTTTTTTGTTGTTGTTGATTTGATGCTTTAATTCTTAATTTAAACTAAAACGAAAAACTGGTGCAGGCAAAAATGATATAAAAAAAAACCCAAAAAATATGGAAAGAGAGAAGAATGGAAATGATGAGCGAAAAACTATATACATATAAATCTAATATATATATATATAAGCACACATATGTATTACGTACAAAAATCTATAAAAATCGAGAAAGAAAACGAAAACGAAATTTCTGCTAATTGGTGTTTCAAAATTGAACTAAATATCCTCCAGTCCAGCCTTTTGATATACATACATATATATATCTATATCTATACATATATATATATATATAAAGGTAAAAACCTGACCCGAATTGTACACAAATTTGCCCGAAAGCTATAACTTGTTGTTTTTCCCACACTTCGATATACATACATACGATACATAGATATATTATGATTTCGAATGGTTTGGGGAACTGAACTGAACCCCAATTCAAACAGAAACTTGGTATAAATTCTAAACGTTTAATTAGCCTAAAATAAAAACCTAAATCAAATGTGTATGAGAGAGGAAATATACAACATTTATGTAAAAATACATCCAAAGATCTTTATTTTATTCTCTCGCTGTCGTCATATGGAAGATGGGTATGTATGTATTGCTAGCTGATTCCATGGCCATATACTGGCCAGAGGTAGTGGTAAGACACAAGACTCGTGTTTTATTCACGATGTTTAGTTTATTTTCCAATGTCGTGTATTGGAAGCCGTTTTCACTGCCATAATGGCCAGAGGTAGGACATAAGGCATCTGCTTTATCTATCATGTATGTATATTGGGTAGCTGATTCCATTGCCATAATGGCCAGAAGTAGGACATAAGGCATCTGTTTTATATATGCTTTTGCTGCTTTTAACGCTTCTTCTTCGCTAGTATTCAGGTACTAGATTATGGTACACAGGATCCTTCTCGTTCAACAGAGATGATTTTTGGGATCAGGCTCTTGATCTTCCCTACAGTCTCCTTCCCATCGGCTTCGCCACAAGCTAGTCGGTCAGAGACTACCAAAGCATCTCAGACTCTGTCGCTTTCGCTTCGGCTTTTCTCTTTTGTCCCTGTTCCTTGATCTACAGCTCAATGTCTTCACGAAACATTCCTTCGACTTTACAGTCATCTGTGTCACTGCCGTCCTCGTCGGAATAGGCAGCAGCCAATGCATGGTAGACATCGTGGATCCCATCAAAATCTTGCAGTATCTTTGCCTTTTTCGGTGTGTTCGCAGACGTTCGCTCCTCTTCCGATTCGGGATCAGATGCGGTTCCTGTGTGATCATCATCCGATTCCTTATCTGTAAGGAGAGAGTGAAATGAATTTGAATTGCAGGAGCAGCCCGAAGTTGGAGCACATGAAAACCCACCACTGTCTATTGTCTCGTAGCCGGCCGGAGGATCCCGCGTATAGGTGACAAAGATGGTGGGGAACTCCACAATCGTCTTGCCAGAGAGATTCTCGCGAAGCGTTTGGTTTGCCTCCAGGTGATAGCAACGAATGGCGCTGCGCCGGACGCCCTCGGCCTGCAGCCAAAAGCTCAGGCCACCAATGCCCACCGTCTGATGGCGGACGAGGAGTTTGCGATTCTCGCGGGCCGTCTCCTGCTGCAGGTCCACATACTTAACAAGCAGAGCGGACAAAGTCAGCTCCTCATCACAGCGAGCATCCACAAAACGGGCAGACTTGATCTGGTCATCTTCCTCCTCTTCCTCGGCAGCATTCACAAACAGCCAATCGATGCGCCAATAGAAGCGATTTTGCTTCCAGTCCAGAAAGGTGGTGTTCTCCTTGTGCCGACTGAAGTGCGGCAGCAGCAGGGAGAGCTGAATGTTCCGCTTCTGGGCCGCCGCGCGCATGCGATGCTGCGGCACTGGCAGATATCGCTGCTGCTGGGTGTAGCGCTTCGCCTGGTCGCACTTGCGGTCGTCCGCGTACCGTGTGCACTGCTCCAAGAAGCAGTAATCGCTCATCAGTTCCCGGGCCGTCATCTCGCTAAGCGGCACGAACTTGGTGCGATCCCGCACGCCATCACAGACAAGCTCCCTCTTGTGTATCTGGACGCAGGCCACGCTGCAAGTCTTCACCTCGCATTTGGGGCAGGCATAGTGGGCTTCCTTTCCGCCACAAACCTCGCAAACGCCCAGACGCAGGCTGTTCGAAATAGCACACAAATGAATTTCATTCAAATTTTCATTGAGTATTAACTCACCTCCTAACCGAAGTGTCTGCCTTTTCCGACATTTCATGGGCGTATGTTTGAAGAATAGCGCGCACGTGGTGTTCCTCTCCATCTTGTTTTTCTTTGCGAACAGCTGTTGGTGCTCAAGTGTGAGTATCATTACGTCGCGTTGCTGTTTGCTTGTTTATAAACTGCGCGCAATATGTTAATCTTGTTCGGTTCCAGCGCGTTGGTGTCTATTGAAATCAAACAAACATATTGAAATTCGAAACTGGTGAGTGGATAGGCCTGTCTAAATATTACGAGTCAATTTATTTATTGATTTGCAATAACAAGGCAAATGATTATTTTCACACACACACACACACACATGGGTACTTCTTCAGCGCGTTTGTGTGTATGTGTTCGGTGGCGTTGCCACATGTGATAAAAAATGTGAACAGAAGCTATCGCAATCGATTGCCAAATGGCGCCAATGTGCTATCGTGACTAATATTCAAATAACCATTAGTTTATCTATTAATTGCGTCAATATATGTATGTGTGTGCACATATATAAATTGCGTACGTGTTTCGATTAAGCTACTGGTCTATCTTATCTGTCAATAGAGCACTCACACGCGCGCTGTGCAGAGATGTTTGATAATTCAGATCTTGTGTAAACCGTTTTATTCCTCCCACTTAAGCAAACATATCTGCCGTTTTAGTCACAGATATTACTAACCAGCACAATTGAGTCCCGGTACCATTGCAATTGAGCTCCGTGAGAGCCGGGTGGAGAGCGGAGGATAGAGCGGCCTCTATAAATATGGTTGTGCGTCGGCTTTTCCGCTCAGTACGTGACTACAGCAAGACCGTTCGACGAGCAGCGATAGTGACTGAAGTGGCGCAACCAGCAACCGGCACTGGTCGACCCAAGGACGACATTCGACGTGGGCCAAGGCCCGCTAAACAGCTCACAGTCACATCTCACATTAACATTAAAATGCCAAATAACAAGCTCCTATCGAGTGCTGCAGTAAAGCAGCAGAAGCAGCAGCTGCAGAGCCGTACCCTGGATGAGCTGGTCTTCGATCCCAAGGGGCAGCACTGCCACAACAATGGCAATGCAACGGACGGCAAGGATGTCAATGCCGAATTTGAGGTGAGTGTGTGCTCCCCTGCTCCTGCTCCTGCTGCGCCTCCCTAGCGTAGCTTTGCTAAACTTTTGACCTTCGCACTCTCTCTCCTCGCTTCTCAGGAGGCCATCAAGCAGCTAAACTTTCTGCAGTCGAACGATGTGGCCATACGCAACTCTATGGAAAATCCCAGGGTGAACACCAAGGCGGATACTCTCAAATATATGGAGCGCAGCGGCCTATCACTGAACACCCTCGAGCAGGTCTCATTCATCCATGTGGCGGGCACCAAGGGCAAGGTGAGCGCTTACGGCTGACGGCTGAGGGCTAAGGGCATTCTTGCGTGAACCAGTTTTTGTTGTCCAACATCCGCTAGAGGCCACCCAAATTAACAGTTAGTTAGCTCTCGCACGCTCTCTGTCGAACCAGAGTGCAGTGAAAACAAAAAATCAGGTTTCACAGTCACCTCTCGCAACGCTAATCGTTCATTTGCTGATAAGATTTGTTTAGCTTCCAATTTTGAATTTGTTTATAGATTGATCTGTTCTGGGTACCCATGCTACGAGGTACCCAGTACCCGGCAATCGTCGGGAGCTTCCGAGACCATAAACAATATCATTTTGCTACTTCGTATTAGAATTCATTTGAAATTTGAGAACTACTACAGGTGCTACAGTTACAGGTACAGATATTTTGTTTAGCATGGTACCTACATGGTACAATCATTCTTTGGAGCATTATGCATCGGCCTATCTATTGGCTTTTTGTTGGCAGCATTCGTACTTCTATAGCCATTGGGGTACCACTTGGTACTCGGTAGTCGATACCCTTGGTGGTTCGGCGGGTATCATTGCGCTGCTACTCGTATTATCGATTGATATTTCTTGTTATAGCCGGTTTCTTTGGAGAGCAATGATCTTTGGCCATAAGATAGGAACAATATAGGATGTACGTTCCGCTCTGCCTTTCCTTCAGTTGGCACACCTTTGGAATTTTTCTATATGGTCTCCAACCATGAAAATTCAATTAAAACAGATTTCAATTTAATTTTTTCCGAATACTATTTTCTAAATTTATTGAAAGGACACTATTTTACCCTATCGATATGAAAAACCTATTAAAATAGGCGAAACGTTCACGTTTTCTGCACTTTTTGGTATTTTTATAGTCATTTTTTCTTTAACTATTATCTCCCAAAAAAAAGATAATTCTTGATAAAAGTTTCTCCTCAAAGTCTCTCTAACATATTGAACTATTAAAAAAAATTTGCCGAATCTCGGCTAACGTATATTTTAAAGATTTTATTGCTGTGGAAGTTTGGCAGCGTAACGCCAGTAACGTGCGTCAGATGCCACCTTTAACAAAAAAAAATACAGGAAAGATTTTTACTTTTAATGCTCTTGAAAATAAACACTACAAATATTTCGTGTACATATGTATATGAACAATGCATTGTTGTACCCAATGTAATTTTGTACCCAGCCACTTCTGCTTTATGCAACGCAACTTTAAGCCAAATTTTAGCTTATATCTTTAAACCCGCACGCGGATGATTGCCATTTTTTTTTGGTGTATAAAGGGCTTACTGTAAATTACTGTTCAACAAGGATAATCTTTTGCTCAACATTTTTGGCTTTTTTTATTATTATTTTCAACATTTTGTCGTACGCCAGAATGGAACTGCCCATACATATATACCCATATTGATACCTACTCTGTTGCAGGGCTCCACTTGTGCTCTCACCGAATGCCTGCTGCGCCAGCACGGAGTGCACACTGGATTCTTCAGCTCGCCGCATATTGTGTGCACCAATGAGCGGATACGGATCGATGGCCAGCCACTGGCCAAGGAGAAGTTCACGAAACAGTTCTGGAAGGTCTACAAGCGGCTGCAGGAGCGGCAGGAGCACGAGCTGGACATGCCCGCCTACTTCAAGTTCCTCACGATTCTCGCCTTTCACGTGTTCGTCGAGGAGCGCGTGGACGTTGCCGTGCTGGAGGTGGGCATCGGCGGGGAGCATGACTGCACCAACATTGTGCGCAATGTCCGCACCGTGGGCATCGCTTCGCTGGGCCTGGAGCATACCGATCTGCTGGGCAACACGTTGCCGGAGATTGCCTGGCAGAAGGCGGGCGTCATCAAGCCGGGCGCACACGTCTACACGCATGTCAGCCAGCCGGAGTGCCTGCAGGTGATCCGGCAGCGGGCGCAGGAGAAGCAGGCCATCCTGCACGAGGTGCCGCCCACACAGGACTACTTCCAGTCGAACAAGTATGCCCGGCACTGGGACAGCTTCAGCAATGTCGTCCACCTCAACGGCTCCCTGGCCATTCAACTGGCCAGCGACTGGCTGCGGCAGACCAGCGGACCCCACCACCGCGACTACACCCTCAACGAAGCAAAGCTCGAGCCGAAGATGCTGCTGGGACTGCTGAATGCCCACTGGCCTGGCCGCTGTCAGCTGGTGGAGTACCAGGGCCTGCGCCTGCATCTAGACGGCGCCCACACCATGGAGAGCATGACCGTGTGCACGGATTGGTTTGCCAAGAGCATCAGCAAGAGGTGAGTGCTCAAACTCTGAACTTTGAACTCTTCTCACATTCTTCTTTTGGTCCGTTCTTGCTCCTGTTCCTGCTCCTGTTGCAGTACCAGTCCCAAAATTCTCATCTTCAATCGCACTGGCGGCTCGGTTTGCGGACCCATGCTGAACCTGCTGAATCGCTGCTGTGCCTTCGACATGGTCTGCTTTGTGCCCAATTTGGCCACCTCGAATCCGAACGTACCCAGCCAGGTGATAGTTCGCTTCAGTGCCCAGCAGCAGCTGATGCGCGCCAACGATATTGCTACCCAATGGACACAGATGTGCGCCAAGGAGAAGCAGCCCGATCGCGGTCAGGTGTACAGCACCCTAACGGACGCCTTTACCGCCGTTCGGAAGCGCTATGCCACGGATAACGGCCAGATAGAGGTGCTCGTCACGGGCTCCATTCATTTGCTGGGCGCCGCCATTTCGGCTCTAAGCTGCATGGATCAGTCGTAGACCAGCCACAGCCTGTGAACGACAAAAGAGAGCATATCATTGAGCATTGTGCATTCATTCTCGATGAAACGATTGACAATGGGATCCCTTGATCCCTTGCACCTCGCATGTTGCTACTAGAGAATAGAATACACTTCCCTACAGATCTGTAGACAATAATCGTGAAACATCAAGTGAAAGCAAAATTGTAACCTATTTACCCCCATTCCTATAACCCTAAAGAATAATTATAAAACTATCACTTTAAAAGTGAATAAAATTAGTCTCGAATCGTACAAAAATCATCTGTTAAGGGTGGAAATACAGAGCAGCGGTTGTCTTAAGACTCTGCTTAATTTACATTTGGCAGAAGGGAAAAGCCTTTGCCGATCCACTGATCGAGAGCATACATTTAGCCTGCTAAATTTGGCTTAATTATATATACATAGATTGGTACATAAAGAAATAAAACAAAGCTTGAATACGTTTTGAAGTTGTTGGGGAATTTTTTGGAAGTGTTTTTTAATTGAATACACAACCGATAGATAAATAAATAGGAGCGGAGCGAACTGTACGTGCGCTCGACTTCAGTCTTATGCTTCCGACTCTTTTTCTCAATTCTCAACAATGATGTGAAGTCTCATTTGAAGTCGTTGCTGTTGAGGTTTATAGGCTAGAAATATTTAGATATGACTACCATTTATTATAATATTTTGACCCGGTACATACATGTACGAATATATCCTATATTTTATAGAACTAAAGCATTCAGCTTACCGACGGGGTTTTACTTGCACTCGCACTTGCACCGCATTCTCGTTTGCGCCACTTGTTCCCTGCGCCGGGAACACGCCACACGAAGCACACACTCGTGCCACTTGCACTTGTTCGCGCCTTTACACTGACAACTGGCAACTGCATTCGAATGGCGACTGTCGACTGTTTCTGAGGCAGAGGCGATCCGTGACTCTGTGTGGAGCCTTAAGGGTGGGCGTCGGGGCTGGCTCTGGCGGGGGTGGCTTCTGCCACCGGATGGACCCGGCACGCCACTGGCCAATCGGTGAACGGCAACCCTGGTCGCGGCGGAGCGGGATGGCATCAGTGCTCTCTGCTCTCTGCACTCTTTTGCACTGCAAAACAAAATGGCTAACGTCGGAACGGAACGGAAGTTGGCTGTGTGCGAGCGGGATGGCTGGATGCTGGATGACATGACTTATTAAATAACGGTTAAATGGCATGTTAACGGTAGCCCAAGCAGCAGCAGCAGCAGCGGCCATTGCAAAGTTTGCAAAGCTTCTGCTGCTAGCTGCTGCTGCTGCTGGCTTCGGCTTCAGCTTCAGCTTCGAGCGCTAAACTGTCCCGTTTACAGCAACAAATCCGCGTAATTCACTTCTGTCACTGTATGTATGTGTGTGTGTGTGTGTGTGTGTGTGTGTGTGTGTGTGTGTGTGTGTCCCTGTGGCTGAGGGTGGGTGGCTGTGGCTTTGGCTATGCCTGTGTGTCGTCCTCGTCCTGTCTGCTAAAAGGATTAATAAACGTTCAGCATTTCGCATTTTCAGTTGTTCATTTGACTCGGCGCTTAGCGGTTCAGCTGCTGCTTCTGCTACTGCTACTGCAACTGCAACTGCAACTGCTGCTGCTGTGTGCGTGCGTATCTGTGTGCGTGCGTGTGGCAAGATACATAGATACAATTCAATTACAACTAAAATACCATCGAGAGAAGATTCCAAACATCAAATTTGCATACATTTTGCCGTCGGCTAACGGAGGGGCAGGGCAGGGACTGGGACTGGGACTTGACTTCATCTTTCCCTCTCCCTCTCTAAAGCATTTCGCGCATTCCGTATTGGTTTTTTTGTTCATGTTCATTAAAGTGCAGTTTAAAATAATGGCCAACAGCAAGCCACTGATGGGGCACCTGCAACACCTTCACTGATTCAACTCTGCCTGAGACATTTTCAAACACACAACAAACGGTAACGGTAACGGAAACGGTACAGGAAACCGCAACCTGAAACCTGAAAAAAGCTAAAACCAAAATGCAAAGTTCGAAATCGTTTTTAATACGCGACCTGCTGGGAGACCTGATCAATCGGCGGCAAACGGCGGATTCGGGTGAGTCTAGGATGCAATTATTTGTGGAGAAGATCGGAATGCAGTCAAGGGCACAGTTCTCTGGTTTCCTTAGTTTTCGAGTCAGTGGGCGGGCGTCTCCTTATGGTCCCAACTATTATTTATATTTTGATTACATTACCCAGTATGATCTCAAGAGAGAAAATTACAAATTGAATAAGAAACGGGACACCCAGAAAGTTATTTAGGGGACTGATCTTGCTGATTGATTGAATTTATTTATTTATAATGTTAATCTCCAGGAGAACTAAGCAGTACCTACTATCAGGCACTATAAATTAAATATATATTTATATATATATTATGTATATGGGGGGGGCTACATTATTAGATTAACGTTGGTATTTCAATATTAATATATAAAAATATAAATATAAAATATAAAAGTATAAAATATAAAAAAATTTAAATATAAAATATACATTTTATGGAGCGTTATGGAGCATTTAATGCTTTTTAGATTAAGATTTATTTCTTGCAGCTATAAGTTGTATGTTTTCTGTGGATGGATTGCTTAGATATTCGCTGATATATGTATATAGATTTTCGAAGGCTGTGTTCAATGGTTTGGTTTATTGGTTGATTATTGCATAGAACCGAACTGATCATACAATAAACATTTTCTCATCCCTCCCAATCCCACATTCAAATCATTTGCTGGATATCTGATAGATGGAATGTCTGCCATACATATGAGAAATGAGAAACCAGATATGGAATGGCCAATTGTTTATGCCAACAAATAAATAAAACTGCCTGCCGGTCACCTTCCTTTGATGATACGCTTAGATCACTGCGACAAATTCCGATGCCGGGGAAAGGGGAAGCTCGAGAGTGCTCGAGAGCACTGTCCATCTTGTCATGTTGCCGTCCGCTGTCACACAGATATCCAATAACTCTGGAGAGATTAGAGATCAAACAATAACTGAATCTAAATAGAATCTGCACAGAGCTGCACAGAACTGCCTTGTGTTTAAAAATTGGTTGAATTGCCTTGGGGGAGTCCATCAAAATCTGGCTTATCAGCTATCGCCCCCCTGCAGAAACAATGAAGTCCCGGGCACTTTCATTCTGGCGTTACGTTACATTCGTACGACAAAATGTAAACAAAATATAAGCAAAAGCTCAAATTTTGAACAAAAATACTTTCTATTTTATATTAATAATAATTAATATTATTCACCAAGAAGACAACCATCGAACGTATGCTTTTGAGTGCTATATAAGCCAAACTGACTTGACGTTGCGATACACAAAAAAAAAGGAAGTGGCTTTCGAGGTTGGCTTACAAACCTGCAAAACTCTGCAAATTGGATTGGACATATGTACATAAATAAGAGATATGTATTTAGTGCTCATTTTCAAAGTTATTAAATATTAAATGTAAAAATCATTGCGGAAAACGTGAACTTTTGATTATTTTAATATGTTTTCCACATCAAAGTTAATGCTATTTAATCACATGTAAATTGGGTTAATTGGGGTTACCTTTCAATAAATTTAGAAAATAATATAGCATCGCTACAGACGTATATGGAAATCGGTTCTATTGACTTTTCTTGATTTTTGGGCCTGTTAAACTTTTTTGGCGGAGTTACCCAACCTACCCGTATTTATGCTAAACGTCTTGCCTCAGTCGCATGTACATTTACCAGTATTATGGCCTTATGTTGGGCCAATTAACTTTTTCCCCCCCTAAACCCCCACCCCCCCCACAATCCGCATCCCCCTCTTTGATGTTTGTTTTGTTTTTCGTGTGTGGGAGGGGGGTTTCGAGTGTCGGGTCTAAAACCTCTGACAAATTGCCTTGCTCGCTCTTTGTTAGCCTCTGGCATTTAAGTCTCACACCTCGCTCAATTATCGCAAAACAAAACTTTTAGTCCAAAGGGTGAGCAGAGGAGTGACGAGGAAAACATAATGAGGGGTTGGCAGCTGTAAGCTGGCTGGAGTTAGAGGTAGAAGGAGGTTGGTGATGTGGTGGGGCTGCGGCTGGGGCAGGGCAGGAACGACAAAAAAAAAACAAAAAAACGCTCTGGGCAATAATTTAATTGTACTCTGCTTGTTTTTGCTATACACTTACCCTTTATAGAGTAAAGTATTTGTCCTTTGTGAAAGTCCGATTGTTCTTCCTCAGTCCGATCTTCCTTTGGCTTTCGTCCACCGATTTATTGTGCGTTCTCTACTTGGCCTCTTTTAATTTCTAAATAAATAGTATTTCCCATTGTATATTCGGTATAATTAGTATGGGAATATTATAAATAAAGCCAGCAAATGCCAGCAAATAAATCAAAGCTGTGTGGCTGCGCCAGGGTATCTCTAGTTTCGGTACCCCCCCAAAGGGAGCGTCCTTTCTGTCATTGCAGTCGTTTGCTGGTAACCTGCGCTCGAGCAATTTGTCACGTACAGGCACTTTGATTGTTTAAGCCCAGCACAGGGGAAATGGAAATGGAAATGTGACTGGAACTGGAACTGCAACTGGCAGTGGTAGTGGTTGGAAGTGGTGGGGTGTGGTGGGGAGTGGTTGGGAGTGGGGAAGTGTGACTGCAATTGCGAATCCTTTCACAGAGAACTGCCCTGCCGCCTGGTGCCCTAGGTGCCTGGCTCACTTACGACCCATCCTTGCGGCTGGCTTTGTTTTGTGCCCTTACTGTTTCCAGTGCGTGCCTCCCCTCCTCTGTGGCTGTGGCCTCATGTAATTATAATTTTGTTGTTGTTCTCTTCTAGTTATGCATGACATTAAATAAAGTTTAACTCAACAATTAAAACTATTTAGGGGCTGATTGTCGGCAGTTATGTGTTGCAATGAGTGCGATGTGTGTGTGGGGGGGGATGGGTGTTATGAAAGTGAAACTTTTATTAGCTTCTGGCGGTGTTTTCTTCAGTGGCTTGGTATTCAACCTCGTTCACTGATTTGATGATGTTTTCTTTGTTGTTTTGCCTTAACATAAATCCTCAAGACTTAACACTCAATTATCTATGATTTGCCATAAATGGATGATTTCCTTTAAGACGCATTTAATCGCAGCAAAAAAAAAAAACCGAAAAAACGAACAAACGAACAAACGAAAAATATGCCAAATTGCTGGCACATGCCCAGCATATATCTGTATTTGTTTAATCGTATGTGGGAGGGGGGGGTGGTGTACATTCGCTTCGTACTTTTCCCTGTACGTAGTACGTACTTCAAGTGCCTATTAAATGGCAATTGTGCCGCAAATTGATACGACGTGACTTTTTAAGGAAAAGAAAGGAGCACACACACTCGAGACGCTCGCTCCACAGGAGCGGAGCGTATGGGGGACACACGCACAAAAACATGCAGCAACAGACACGGCACACAGACACACTCGCATATATGCATAATTGAATACAGGACCAGCTCTCCCTCTCTCTCTATCTCTATCTCCTTCTCTCTCTCTCTCTCTGTTTCGCTCTGTTTCGCTTGCTGCTTCTGTATTGTTGCTCGTGGTATATAAATAGAATAAAAAATCGAAACGAAACCCATTTGGGGTTAAAAAAAACACACACACACAAATATAGAAATAATTTCCGCAACGGGGAATCCTTCACTGAGCGAGAGCGGACACACGTAAGCAGCGCCACCCCCGGGGCGTATCCTGAAGTCAAGAATGAATCTCGAATCCCGAATCCTGAATCCTGAATCCTGAATCCTGAACCCTGATGCCTGGAGTGGGAGTGACGGAGCAAAGTACATTCCAATGGGAAGCAATTGAGAGCTCGAGACGACACGTGAATTTAATCAGGCAGCCCCGCAGCGACTCGACTCGACTCGTCTCAATCGTGGACTCAATCATTGGTACGGGCAGCGGCAGGGGCACGGCGGGATCAGGATATTCATACATATGTATGTATGTACATATGTGGCGGATATAAATAACATGTGGATTGCTGCAAATTGCAACTTGGCATCCGATTGCAATTTAATCCGCTTCAGAATCTGTTCGCTGTTCGCCGTTCTCCTCCCTCCACTCTTCACTTGCCACTCTCCTCCGTCTGCCCTGAGCTGTGCTGCGTCTTCCTAATGGACCAACGCCCACTTGAGGCAGTGCCTTGTGCTTTGATGCGTTGTCTATTGCTGGACGCCGTTAATGACGTTGACTTGGCTGTGGCTCTGGCTCGGCTGTGGCCCTGAGCCAAAAGTGGCTGCACGCGCCTCTAAAAAATTTGGGCATACAAAATAAAGAATGGATTGGAATGGAACGCATTAACGCCACGCTGCGCTCAAAAGCAGGCTACAGTATCTCTAGTATGTCTTTCACTTTGCTTTGCTCTTCCTTCTATCCTTCTACCCCCCTACGACTGCGAGCGATCAATACACTTTGGGAGGAGGAACTTGCATAGCGGAACTTGAATTGATTTGTTCCTTAAAAGCCCCCGCTGCCACCGCCATCTCACTCTCTTTCATGCTCGCTCATTCGACTCAGATTGGGCTATTGAAAAGGGAATACTACTGCTGTACTCATTGTACTTAGCTTCTGTCTCTATGTGCTTTCTTTCTGCAGACATCGAACTCTCCAACGATGATTCGGACATTGATATCGAGGATCGTTCCACTCCGGACTCAACGGCTCACGGCTGCCAGCAGGATCTGCTGCTGTCCCATCACCATTTTCACCACAACGACGACTCCAGCGTGGAGTCTTGCGGCACGGCCACACCGGGTCCGGGCTCGGGCTCGGGCGTTGGCGTGAGTGCGGGTCTGAGTGCCGCAGCTGCAGCGGCGGGCGTGGCAGCCGGCCTACTGGCAGCGGCGGCCAGCGGTGCCAGCAGCAGCGATCCAGCCGCTGGTGGCGGCGGCGGCAGCAGCAGCTACGCGGATCACAAGCTACAGATGAGCAAGAGCGGACGCAAGCCGAGGCGGCGACGCACGGCCTTCACCCACGCCCAGCTGGCGTATTTGGAGCGAAAGTTTCGGTGCCAGAAGTACCTCAGCGTGGCCGATCGCAGCGATGTGGCCGAGACGCTAAATCTGTCCGAAACGCAGGTGAAGACCTGGTACCAGAATCGACGGTAAGTAGTCCATTAAATCCATTAAACTATCGAACATTCCTTTGTACATATCTACATACATATTAAAATGTAAACAATAGAAAAGCTAAGCATTAATATTGAGCTTGAGATTCGCTAGAATACGAAGTGGCATGGCATTGTTTTGTTCAGGCTTTTTCTTCGTATATAAATATTCAAAGAAATGCGAGTACTTCTGTTACGTACTCGTACCAGTTGCCAGTTTGTATGTCGTAGTGGAATACTTGGAATACTTGCATATACAAACTATTCAACAGAAATAATGTAGCATGAATCTCAAGAGATCTATGACTGACCGTGGCCAGTGGCTTTTCCTTTTCCTTCCAACGTTGGCTCCTCGAATATGTTTGTATTCTAGGGAAACCCCACAAACAAATCGATTGCTAGCTCGAATTACGAGTAAGGGTACGAGTACGAGAGAGTACCAGGTAGCCGCGAGTACAGCGACAGTGGGAGCTGGAGCACCTTCTTCCATTTCAAAAGTGAATCCATGTTTAGATTTGCTCATTTTTGTTTGTTTCAATGGGTGTACGAGTATTTGCGTTTCTTAGCATAATAATTAAGTGGGAAAATGCAATTTACGCAGTCCAGTCACCAACGAGTGTTCTTTTTCCACCATTCTTTAACCTGCAGTCACTAACGAGTGTTCTTTTTCCACCATTCTTTAATCTGCAGCACCAAATGGAAGCGACAGAACCAGCTGCGTCTGGAGCAGTTGCGCCACCAGGCCACGCTCGAGAAGGACTTTGGTGTGCCCGAGGGCGGTGGTGGTGGCGGGGGCTTGGGCTGCTGCCCCAGCGGCTTGAGCAGCTCGTTCAGTGCCGCTGCTGCCGCGGCTGCTGCGGCCAGCAATCCGTGCAACTTCTTGACCTCCGCCGCAGCGGCGGCAATATTCCGGAATGTGAGCTATGTGCACGGCTGCCCCATGTAGAGAGGCCCCAAACAATCTGATACCCAGATAACCAGTGGCCTATTTGTATATATATATTATGGGAAATTTAAAAATGGTTCTTGTGCAATAACAAATCCCAATGTGGAACGAAACGAAACGAAACCGAACAGAGAGGAGAGGATACTCGTACTCGTATATACCAAGCGTACCCGATATGACATACACTCATACACACACACATACATATACACATTTGTGTGTCCTTATATAAACACCGATATAATCATGAACTAGGTTTAGTCAATTTACTCTTAACTGTAATATACACCAAAACCAAACAAAACCAAAACAACAACAACAAATCCCAATTGTTTTTTTTGTCGCACTCTATGAACGTGTTCTTTTTTTTTGGCCAGAATAAAGATATTTAATTGCTAGTGTTTGGCGCTTTTTATTTGTATTTGGGGGATGGGGGATCGCATAAGAATTCGATCAATCAACAAGGTATGAGTATCAGTATGAGTATGAAGTTTTTAGTCTTTAAGTTTGAAAGTCTTTCAATCAAAGCATGAATGCACTTGGAAAAATATTTATTATGTTTATGGAACATGCTTAGCTATAGATAAACCCATGCATCTATATGCAAAGTAATTTATAAACATTAATTCATTTGTGATTCGTATCAGTGCATGTCTGCACATGTACCTACCTAAATATAAATTTAGAAAATGCCTCGCTAATTGCTTACGGAAATATATAAAATGGTGTACATTTATAAAAAAAAAACAAATCGTACCGTTGGCATTCTTTCTACATGATTTTATTTATTAGTAGTATTTATTTTACTTGTATTTTATTTATTAGTATTTATTAGCTCACGCCTAAAAACAATACCATACCACTCAATACAAATTTTTAATTTAAAAAATTTTAAATGCCAACTTTGAAGAAACATTTAAAATGGTAGAAAACGTCCACTTGGAGTCGCTACATCTTCACTTATGTACATACATATATGTATCTGTATTCTGTCGGGGCTGGCGGATTTCCTCGCTGCAGATCTTGAGAAAAAAATTATGAAAGTGCAAAGCAGTCACTAAATTGCGGTTTTTTAATTTTTAAAAATAATTTTGGGTCAAATTTTAAGTAAGATTAAAGACTAGTAAGACCTAATTTATGTCTCTTGCTGAGCACATTCAAAAGTTTCGCATTTGTCGCACAGTGTAACGAGAACGAGCATACTCAACCGTATTAGTTTTGATTTTATATTTAGGCCTGGCTTTTTATAAGGAGACATGTCTCACATGTCAAATCTTTCACTGTGCACTGAACAAAATAACAACAACAGAATCCGATATATATATATTTTTTTTAAAATTATTTTTAGACTTGTCGACTACACTACACTACAGCCTGTCGGGTGGGTCTGCCACATAGTCGAAAGTTACTGCAATATGCATACCATAACCAGTAAGAATCTGAGCAGCGAAGAGCTGATGGAGGTACACAATTGGCTTATACAGAATAACATTGGCACACACAGGCTGCGTCGTGACTTCTCTGATGTGTGGCCCCTGGCAGAGATATTGAAGCGTCACTATCCACGCCTCGTGGATCTCTACAATTACCCGAAGAAGAGCAGTGTGCAGCTCAAGATGGCCAACTGGGAGACGTTCAATTTTAAGGTGCTGTCCAAGTTCAAGATAACGCTTAGCCGAGAGTTCATGGAACTACTATCGAACGGCGTACACGGCACCGCGGAGGTGTTGCTGCATGAGATCATACGACTGGAGAAGCGGCAGCGCATGGTGGAGGAGCGCAATGTATCGGTGCGCCAGGAGCAGGCCTGGGAGGAGAACGATGAAGTGAAGGTCGTTGTGGTCAACAAGCGGGTTGGCGACGCCATTGTCCAAATACCACAGAAAATGATATTGTATTCGCTGTACGAGAAAATGTCGCAGGACAACCAAACGAAGGATCTCCTGATTGACACCTACCAGCAGCGCTTGACACACATGGAGAACATCATTAAAGTGAAGACACAACGCATTGAGGAACTGCTAATGCAAATGGGCAAAATACCCCCGAAGATGGCCAATACTGTGACATCCAGCTGCTTCCTCAATTATGATGGTAAATGTCAAGCTCCAGCCCCGTCTCTCGACTCAGACAGTAGAAAATAATGCTAAGGCCAGGCTAATTCCAGTTATGTCCCAAAATACCAAGCAGCCAAATATACATACATAAGTACTAGTTTGTATTTAAGTTAACGTTATGTCCACACATATACGATACGGTTGGAGAGTCAAATAAAACGAAAAAAAAAAAAACAATTGTGAAAACGATCCGAGAGAAAGGATCGGCAATAATACATTTATGGTTTAGCTTTCTTTCAAAATCTCGTCTTTGTTAATAGCTCCAGCTTTAACATACATATGTATGTACATACATATGTATGTATAAAGTAAGAGCCACAAAGAATTCGTTCTATGGCAGACCCAGAGACAGCCGCTTGCTACCCGAGTCTGCGACTTTTGTTTATATTTCAGCGAAAGCCAAACAAATCGGTTCGAGCGAATTCTGGAAACATGAGTCCGAAATGTCGCGACAGGTTCTTAAATTACTAGGCCAAAGACTGCAATTGAAATGATGATGAGTTTTTTATTAAGTGGAAAACCAACTGCTAAGCATAGACCCAAGCGATTTGGCAGCCACTTGGCTATGGCACTTTTGCCTGGTGCCCCAAATGAAATGGCCAATAAGAATAGCTTGATAGAATCGACATACATATTATCAATTGAATTGGGTCTCAAACTGAGTTGATTCCGCACGCAAAAATTAATTTACTTACCATATGGAGGATCTCCATTAATCGAAATATAAAAAACTAAGTCACATATCAAGAAAAAAGTTAATTGATGATAAGCGTTTAATGTATTTAAATTTTAAAATGTACACGATCTAATGAAGGATGAAAACCAACCAATCATTCAACTTTTAATCATATCAATATCTATACATACATACATATGTACATACATATGTACTTACGATTAAAACATTCAATGGCCATGATGTTGAGAAATGTTGTTGTTTGAGTAATCTACACAAATTGAATACTCGGAGGGAGCATTAGAGGGGCAGCATTAGAATCTGCGCGTAGTACGCTCCATCACCATCTATGGCCAAATGGTAGCACAATACAATACCTGCCCGGCATATTATACACACCCCCACCGTGCCTGCCCATAGAGTTGAGGCAGACTGTTTCGAAAGGATGGTAATGGACCATCCATCCATCCATCCATCCTCCCACCCGCTTGCTGCCACAAAACATACATATGTATGTATGTATGGTTAAATGCCCCTGCCCGCTGCATCAGGCATCGGCGGTCGGTGAGCTGTGAGTCATGCTTGAAAATCAACTTGAGCGAACGGCACAAAACGTTATCAATTTGTCGCTATATAGCAAATAACCCGGGACATATGCATATACTCGTATACCCGTAACCGTAACCGTACTCTAGTGCCGCTCCGCTGTCTCTTCTCTTTTCTTCCACTATATGCATACATATGTACATATGTATGTATGTAAGTCTGTACATGACTCTTATTCATATATTTTATTTCAATTTTCAGGAGTGTCCGTCCTGGCGGAAGCGGGACAGGCACACAGCGAGAGAGAGAGAGAGAGTGAGAAAGAGCGATAAAAGAGAGGGGGCTGGTACAGAGCAGCCAACCGGAAAACAAGCAACAACTCTGCCACGCAATTATAACGGGCCAAAGGAGCGCAAGGAGCGCGCGCGCCCATTTGGTATTGTCAGGGGCGTGCGCCAAACTGGGATAGCAACAGTGCAGCAGCAGCAGCACAAGCAGCAGAAGCAGTTCAGTTGCAGTACCGTTACAGTTGCCGCTACAGTTGCATTTTCATGCGCATTTAGCTCGCTATAGAGGGGGCTACACGAAAAGGAGGAGAAATGTTTAGCTACAAATTGAATCTTCGGTGAGTGAGTTAACGAGCAGGCAGGCGGGCAGGCGCGCAGGCAGGGCAGGCAGGGCAGCCTCCTCAGCCTGTCCGCGAATCTGTTCTGTCTATCTATACGTCTGTCAGTGAGTGCGAGTGGGAGTGCGAGTGCGAGTGAGACAGGTGGAGAATGAAGAGTGCCATTAGGAAGAGCTAGAGCAATAGAGGAGTGGTGATGGGTGTTGGGTGTTGGGTGGGTGGTAGGTTTGTTGCGTAGTTCGTTCGAGTGGTGCAGAGCGCTGCGCTGAGTCGGGCCGGGCCGGGCCGAACAGAACGCTAATTAAAAAGACACTTAAAGGGAGCCACCGGAAACAAGTTCGAGGCAGAGCAGAGCAAACACAAAAAAGTTCCACCTAAAGCGACAGAGAGGGACAGAGACAGGTGGAGAGAGAGAGTGAGAGAGGGGGAATAGAAAAGCTAGAGATCTAGCTCGAAGCTCTCGATACCTTTCGTTGCTTCCTTTTAAAACTAAAATATATTGCTATTAGCTATAATTTAGCATTGGAATGGATAAGAACATGTTGTTTATTTATTTTTAACCATCTTCAGACAATCGACTTATCCTATAATACCTTATTCAAGGGTATACCAGAGCCATGGAGCGGGGGCAGGAACATGAAGAAAGCTAAATCGTGGGGGGAGAGTCATAAAATAAAAGTTGTAGCTAGCGGAAGTGGGGGAGGTAGGGAGGAGTCGTGCCAAAGAGAGAGCATAAAGGGAGTCATAGAATAAAAGCTAAAGATAGACAGAGAGGGAGAAAGAGGAGTCAAATAAGGGGGAGTACATAGCATACAAAAGGTAAAGCGATAGAGGAGCCACAGAATAAAGCGGGAATCTAAATGGAAAACTGAGTTAACATTGCCATGAAATCGTCTATGAAATGTGAATGTAATTTAATGAATAAAATCTCACTCTCACTCCATTCGCAGCTATAGCCCACTGCCCCCTCCTGCTCCCTGCTGCCTGCTGCCTGCCCCACTGGTAGTGGTCTGTAGCACTTGTCTAGATAGATTCACATTCATGCGGTTCATTTGCGTAGCCATTGAGATCTCAATTGCATTTTTAATTGGTACATTTTACGCTGGCATCCTTTGAGCACAAAGGCGGGCAGACGGGGGGACTGGGACTGACACCCCTTTGAGTCACGAGTAGCTGGAGGATCTTGTGGGGGCCTTTGCCGTAGCATCCACTTTGATTTGTATTTATTTAATGAGTTATTAATTGCATTAAGCTTTCGGCGAGCGAGTGCAAACTTTGCAATTAAAAGCAAACAAGAGCTTTTGTGGAGCGGATTACAAACGCAACCGCAAACACAAACGCCAGAGGAGCAAACGCAAAAAAAAAATGGACAAATGCTGACGGCGAGGCGTGAGAGAGAAAAGCAAGCAGTCCCCATTTGGTGAGAGTGACGGGCTCCCCTCCAACTCACCAAAAAAGGGAGCAGAAGAGTGAATTAGAACTCCATATCATAGGAAACGATCGCAGAGAGCGCGCAGAGGATTGACGAAAAGCTTTAAAATACAGCAGAAGATCAGAATAAGAAAGACTTTTTGCTGTTGCTGTGACTTCCCCCCCCCAAAAAATGAGTTCTTATTACAATTTCGATTTAAATTTGTTGTGTGCCATGCCCCCGCCGCAGGCCAGAAACATCAGCGTAATGATTGCATTGAGAGGATGAGGATACGGAGAGGACGATTATGTCATCGTGACGGGGTGGCAGTCCTGCCATACAGGACTTGCCAGCACACTTGACTTCCGGATGAGAACGGCGGACTGGGGGCAGCCCAGGGTCTGGGATTCAGAGCCACGGGGCGGAGTCGGTGTCACAGTTGGAGATGTTTACCATATTGTGTGAAAATTTTGTGGGTTTTGCTACCATCCATCCCCACCCATCTCCTGCCTTGTGCTGCTTCGTTCCTGCTGCTCCTGTGTCCCTTTCATTGGTGGTGGTGGATTTTGGTTTTGGTTTCGGTTTCATTTTGTGATTAAAATGTTTGTCATTATCCGTTTGGAAAATTGTCACAAATTGTGTTTGTGCCGCGGGCTGTGCCACACTTGTCTGGCTGGATTTGTTTTGTTTTTTTTTTTTTGTGTTTATTTCACTCCTCTGCTCTCTTTCGTTCTTCCTACTCTCTGCTGAAGTCGCACGATGGGGCCCGATGATATGATCCGATCCCCACAGCTTTGTCCCGCAAAAGCTTCGAGCCAGAGCCGAGCTTGATCCATGGATCGATCGGGGCCAGAGCTGGATCGATCAGTCAGTTGCAATCGGTTTATCAGCTAGCACTAAACATGAACATTTCCGGTCCTCAGCCTCAGCAGCCGTAAGTGTGATTGATTATTGTGTTTCCCGTAAAAGTCTAAAGTAAAAGTTCCATAAGTTCAAGAATGGCAACTAAAACTATTCATGATATATGATGGATGTGTAGAATACAACGAGAGAGAATTCCTCGTGGATATTGGTGAATGGAATTACTCCAGAGACTCATCTTTAAAAAGTGTTTTTGTTTTATTTTCGTGCATTGAAACGCTAACGCTATACAACGAGAATATTTTATACATGTGATTTAGACACGAAAAACTTACCATAGATAGCAAGTTCATATTTATTTATTTATTTATAACTATAAACTTGGCCCGTTTTGAACTGTGGAATCGGACCCAAGGGTCTGCAAAATAACAGCAGGAAACAAGTAGAGAGCATAAGTGGATTTCCATATTATTAGTTGCCAACCCAACCATTCATTTCTGCCCTGGCGGTAGACATAAAGATTGTATATTGAGTGCACTATCTAATAAGCATTCCCCAATTCATTTGCATACCATATTTTTGAAAGAATTTCCCTTCTAGAATATCGAGAATAAAATCCAATCCTTTCGTTGTAAGTTTTGTTGCTTGATCTTTCGTTTAGTGCACCTTTAGTCAGTTCTACTAAATCAGTTTCATGCGTTTTCCTGTATGTATAAGCGCTGAGAGAAATATGATATTCTTCTAGCCAGGCGCCATATGTAGCATATGTAGCCCCGTAAGTGGGAACAGTAGTTTCCAGTACATTTCCTGGGTTTCTTTATAATTGGATTAGTTAAGCAGAATCACTAAGCAAACAACACATAGAGGCGTCAAATCGACTTAAAACTGCCTGCATAACATTTGTGGGCGATTGGCTCCCAGGCTTTCGGGTCGGGAGCTGATAGCTTCGGCAGGGAATTCGGCTCTCTCCGGGTTAAGCCGAGGGAGAGCGCCATTGCACCTGTGTCAAATATAAGCCGTGTGCGTGTGTAGCTATGCCTGTTTTTGTGTTCTCTGACTCATGACGGGATGCGAATGCAAGCCGAGTATTGCAAATGGCACGACAAAATATTTATCAATTCTTATTTTCCGAAACCGTTTTGAGTTTCGTTTTAAGTTTTCAGGTTACGTAAATGTGTGTGTTGTTTGCTTAGTGGCAGAATATAACTAATGTCAACATATGTACATACACATGTATGCATGTGTGTATAATTCAGATGGATCATCGATTCCAGTGGCTACCCAAAGATAAGCTTCAAAGATAAGCTGGGAGAGCCTGTCCGGCCATACTGTTTATATTCGCGGGAAACAATCCAAACAAATCGCTTGGCACTGGCATTGGAGTTCTGATTTTGAGTCTTCTCAAATTACGAGTTGCAGGCGCAAGTGTTTTAGATAAAAAAAGTTAGGCCTTATAGTTCTCTCTGGGATCAGGCTCGATTCCAATTGGACTCTTTCAATTATTTACATAGTACAAACAACAACTTCATTAGCTGTCAACAAAAAACGCCTACAGCAAACATCATGCAGCGTACAAGTGAGAGAGGGGGGGATCCAAGCCCAAGCCCTGATTCAAAAACCGAATTCAACACGCCACAAATACAAATCGGTGCATAATGACATGAAAATCTGTTGGCTTTTGTCAAGCCCTGAAGCCACAAAGACCTAAAATTCTACGGCCTATGCCAGGGATGAGGCTGCAGAATACATTTATTTTAACAATTTGCCTTAAATTAGGCGTAAAATGCACAGATTGGTTACAAACAACAAGCGTCTCATCAGGCCGATGAAAGGTCCACTCCACATCCAACCCACCCCACCTCACCCCACCGCAGCACAGCCGAAAATGAAAGGGTAGTGCGCCGTGCCACTTGTCGCCTCTCGTCCTCCCTTTAAGAGCCACAGCCACAGCCCATTATCATCATTACGATTGTTGCTATTATTATTATATTTTGGGTTGCGGTTGCCGTTGCCGTTGCGATTGTCGGGCCAACCCTCGCTAATTGAGCGCTTTTATCAGTGCTAATGCTAATAGAAGTGAAGCAGCAGCAGATACAGTTCATGAGTTGACATTGATTGCGTCACAAAAGGATGAGGACGGGGAGGAGGAGTGCTACTGCACTTGTCCGTGAGATACTCGCATGATAATAGAATCCGAACTGATCCGTATCGGACTCAAAGCTGATTTGCATAATTGGCTCAGGGGCTGGGCGCTGGGCGCTGGGCCATCAAAAGGGGAGATAGTACTCGTTTGTATAGTGGGTATTGTCCTGCTAAGAGGATGTGGTGTACGCCACCTTAGCCAAGGATTCCCACAGGTTTTATTTTTTGGTTTCAGCTGGGATGTACGGGATGGATGGGTGGCGTGGGCGAGGGCGAGGGCGTGGGCGTGGGCTTGGGCGTGACTGCTGTGCATTTGTAAAATATGCATAATTAAAACACGGAAAATGCACAATGGCCATTGGGGCCATTGATGTCTTGGCTTAACTTAGCTATGTATGTATGTATGCACATACATATGTATGTATGTGTAATTCACGAGTACGAGCATATTTACAACAAGTTGTTAATCTTTTCATGCGGCTGCATAATTAAAATATGAATATGGAAATTTCAATGGGCTTCTGTTTCTGTCTCTGCCTCGGCCTGCCACAAATGGGGCAAGCGCCCTAAAATCAACGGGCTAGAAATGGCTGTTTTTTATTTCCGTCTTTGATAGAAAAAACGCACAGATCTGAAACATTTTGCTTGATTCTCTTGCGACACGAATAAGTTGTTCACGCAGAAAATTAGTTATACATACATACATATGTCCATATGATCACTTTTGTACAACTTTGAGATCTAGCAAAAAATACCCAAAGCCCACAGACAGATTTGGCTCATGCGATCAGCATTAAACCATGCATACAAACACACATGTACCATTGTACCATATGTTTGTTGTAGTTCTTCTCTCATTATCAAATAATACGACCCTACCCGGCAAAGGGTATCGGTAACGGTAACGGCAAAACACAGAAAAGCGTAAAGCAAGAAGAAGAAAGGCCAAGCTAAAAGAAAAGACACAGCACACAGAGAAAGAGAGATTCTCACACACGCACCAGAACACGCTCGTTGACAGCGACTTAACAGTAAGGTGGGTCGCTGGGAAGGGATGGCGGGGGGTCGGTGAGCTGTCACCTAGTGCCATCCCATTCGCGCATTTGCGCTTTTTACCGTTTGTGCGAAGTAATTGCAAAATATGAATGCATAATGAGGAGATATTTTTCCCAAGTACGCAAGAAACTTCTGGCGGCAGGCACGCAGGGCAGGAGCAGAAGCAGGCGCAGGAGTCCTGGCGGAAGGGGATAGGTGACTTTTATGCTAAAATGAGCACATGGCGCGTGCATTTGCATTTTGCCAGTCGTCGTCGTCGTCTTCCACGAAAAGCAGCACAAGGACAAGCTGAGAGCGGCACACACACACACACACGTGGCTTTCTATATCCTCGCCTCCTCTTTTCACCAATTCCCTTAAACACACACACATTATGCGCTTTTCACTATAAATCACACACACACACACTTAAATGTACTATATGAAGGTATAGTTGTCACCCTCACTCCCGCACTCACCAAACGGAAGCACATGATGTCAGCTTTTATAGTTCACCCGCTCTTGCATGCACTCACGCACCATGTGAAGCTGAAAACATGTCAAAATGTTCCAAAGTATGCATTGCATACCGCTCATTAAAATTCCGTTGGCCATTGGAGCATCTGCATCCTCCGCCGCTGCCGAACAGTGTTAAGAGTTGTCTGCCCCGCTCCCCGCTGATACGGACATGATGCACTCTTTTTATTTTGCAGTTCATCCAACGAGACGCTTCGGCGCGCCATACGTCCCCTGGGCTTCGATCTGCAGGAATTGCGTTTGGTCATCGAGGTGTCGCCGCTTCGTCATCTGTGCCCCTTCTTATTTGCCACTGATAACATATACGAGGTGAGTGCCTGCTGTATGCTGCCCACTGGAATTCCACGCGCCTGATCTCACACTGGTTCCAGATAATGGACGGTTTCAATTCCTTGATGAACGGCGAAACGATCGCGTTTGGTGCCGGCCCCCTGGGCACCCTAATGGTTGCTGGAATAATGGTGTATATGCTGAACCACGCCGAGCTGCAGACGAGCCATGTAAAGCGCACCCTGTTTCTGCAGCGCTGCTTCAACTACATGGCCTGCACCGAGGAGACGCACGTTAGTAGCGGACAGCACATAGACAGCATGTAATTCAGAACTAATCTCGAACACTTTTATCAGACAGGTCAACGATCTATGCGCCGCCATCCTGAACAAGATCAACATCAGAGATTCGGACCACATGCTAAACCTGATCCTTTGCTGCCACCATGCCAGCCCCTTGTGTACCATGGCCCAGTTGGTGTGCAGCTGCCTTCTCTGGGCCGTGCTCGACTGGCTGACGGATATGGGCATGGGCTCACACCGCCTGCGCCCCTACTCGGAGCTGAAGCTGGCCATCAGCCTAGTGAATCCCAGCGTCTGTGTGGAGTCCTATTTGCACGGCCTCAATCTGACTGTGCGCGTCGTCTCTGCCCTGCTCGTGGTGGGCCCTTACGGCAGCACCGAGCAGATATGCAACGAGGTCGGTGTGGCGCCCGGTTTGTTCGTGCTGCCCGACGACGATGCCTCCATCGTGTTCCGCTGGCTTAGCGCCGTTGTCAACGAGCTGCGCCACAGCATGGGCCAGGCGGATGGCCACATGGAGGAGCGAATTGTGGTGCTGGAGGTGGCCTGCGACCTCATGCTCATGATGCATGAGCATCTGCTAATTATTTATCAGCGCATGCGCGACCTCGACCCAGAGGCAGAAATACTTCCGCTACCCGACCTGCCGCCAGAGCCCGAGGTGGCCGCCGACGAGGTGGCGAACGAGAACAATTCTGTTTAATCTTGTTTCACAATTCAATCATTTGAATCATTTGTAATATCCACTCACTTTTTCTATAATACCCAATCGAAATACACCCAGCCCGGCTTGGCCGGTTTCTTCTTTGATCTGATATGAAAAGGAAAAGCCAATCCTTAAGTTGGGGACGTGGTAATTTTTATTTTCACAGGAAAACTTAACTAGCCAAAGATCAGTGTTCTCCGCATACAGATGTATTGTATTCACTCGCCCAGGACGTTATCCAGCCAATTTTCCACATCGTTTTTGCCAGCCGCCGACGACGGAGTGGCCGGCTGAATAATTGGCATCGGCATCGGCATAGGCATGGGCATTGGCATGGCTTCAGGGCCAGCGTCAACGGTGTTGGAATCAGGCTGAATATTTGTCATGGCCAGCAGCTCTTCCAAATCATCAGCCAGAGCACTCTCCGGAGCGGCGGTAATCACGGCTTGCGGTGTTGCTGGCAACGTGACGGACTTGGCGGCCGAGGCAACACGCGACTTTGCGGCACTGCCATTGGCCTCGCGCAACACACGCTGCTGGTAGAGAGTCTCCGCCCGCTCGGCCGCCTCCGTCTGTGCCACGATTTGCTGGCGTGTGAACATGGAGGCGGGATAGTCCATGCGCTTGTAGAAGGGGATCGTCTGGAGGCCGGCGTTCAAGCGGACTAGGTTTAGCGTGAAGTAGCCGCTGGCCGCCTTGGTGTGCAGCTGCGTCTGACCCTCGGCAATGCTGGTCCACTCCTTCTCCGAGCCGAAGGTGAAGTGGCCGCCACCCAGGTTGGGGAATTGCGTCAACTGCTTGTAGTCACCGGCCCGCAGTTGGGCGCGGGCGTTCTCATCGATGGGCGCTCCCGTGTCGACGCCCAGATGGTCCACGTCGTCTGTGTCACTAGGCAGGACGTCCAGGAGGTCGCGATTCATTTGCGGAGCCAGCTTGGAGCCCCGGGATCCGCCGCCGGACGCCCAGTTGCCCTTGCGGGCAAAGCGTGGCTCGTCACTGGAGTCTGCCACATCCACGATGCTCCGCACTGCCGTGGTCTGTGGCGAACTCGACGAGGTGGTAGTGGTTGTTCCACGGCGCTGCTGCTGGTGAAGCGGCTGCTGTTTGTGATGAGTGTATTGTTTCATGTTCCGCCGCTTCCTGTTTTGGGCAAAGATTGGGTCAGCAGTGGCAGCAGCGATTACGTGCTACTTACTCCTTGGATCGATCGTCCTTGCCAGACATTCTGCTGCGTAATTGGGGTGGCGGGGGCTTCGCGAAAAGGTAATTTGAATTTAAAATCTGGTTTGTTTACACCCTCAGTCAGCTGTTGTTGCTGTGGCAGCACAATGCTGCAAGTGCGAGTGAAATGGAAACAGTCAGGTATTGCTGGCAGTTGCGCATAACAGCGCCCTGTACGCTGTACGCTGTATGGTATTGATAGCAGAGAAATCTTTGCGCGTAACAGCACGATTTATTCTGGTCCTTACAGCACTAAACGTCGTTTTGCATTGCCCGCGCACTTGCTATCGATTTCGGAATACTCACCAATGGGCGACGAGAAAAAACCAAATTTTTGGAAATCAACAGAATTGTGGAAGACGAGAGAGAATTGATGCTCATAATATTAGTTTTTATTTTCAGACATTTCTTTGCAGGGTTTGTGGAAGTTCTTCCTCACACCATGAAAGTCGTTGTTATTCCCCCTCCCACATAATATATCCCACATGCAGTGTCTAAAGCCTCAAGTGCTCACAAAAAAGTGCTAATGATACAATTTGCTTAAAGTATTTGTTTTCAGGATTTAATGTATATATTTAGCTTGTTCCTCAATCATAATTTTGTCGCGCCAAAAGTTGATAGTTGCGCTGATGGGCAGAAGAGTGCAAAAATGTGCTGTTAAGCGCAAAAGCAATCGCATAGCTGCTTGAAAAACGAAACTACATCAATTAAATTAAATTAATAGTGTATATATAGGGTCCATACTCCATAAATATTTAGTTAAAATGTAGCAAATGTGTAGTTACCATTTAGTTGCCAAGTAAAAAAAAAGTAACATGAATGTTTGATCAAACCTATTTTTATTTAATCTTGTTTTATGAATAACCAAATGAAATAGAGTACTTAAAGCTAGCAAATCTTTTAGGAAATTGATTCATTTATCGTAGAAAATTATATGATCCGTGCTGAGCGCTCTAGCTAGCAGTAATCCTAAGCCGAATATCAAAATCGAGGAATATCGACGCTATCACGGAAGGCAGCACTGCCGCTTCTGTTGAACAGCTGATTTCAGCTTGTTTCATTTTTTTTTTTCCATCCGACGCAGCAATGACGACAATTTTCTCATCTTTGTGCCATAATTGATTGGTAAGTTCTGGTAGAGACCGATTCGCTCGTATATGCCTCTGGACTATAGCTGAACCTTGTTGCCGTGTTTTTTTTTTGCTGACAGCGGTTGGAGATGTTGTGCTTTCTTAAAGGCTTAAGCTGTAGCCATACTCGCACCCAGCTGTCAGCCGTTGCCGGCGAGATCTACCGGGCCTTTTTCGCAGACCTAATCACCACAGATGGACCAAATACGAGTACATATCCCGCCGCCACGGCACTGCTTCACAGATTCGATTTGGAGTCTAGTAACCAGAATGTAGCCATAGCGCCCTCGGACGATGATGTGTGGATCTTCGGCTACGGGTCGCTGGTGTGGAAGGCAGACTTTCCATACATCGACCGCCGGCGCGGCTTTGTATGGGGATTCAAGAGACGCTTCTACCAGCACAGCATCGACCACCGCGGCGTGCCGGACAGGCCGGGCCGGGTGGTGACCCTGCTGCCCGGCGACCCCACCGAAGATCGGGTCTACGGCGTGGCCTACCGCATTGCTGCCGCCCAAAAGAATGCGGTGCTTGATCACCTGGACTACCGCGAGAAGAACGGCTACGAGCGCTGCAGTCTGCAGTTTCACGAATATCTCTCTGCCACGGAGCCCATCCAGGTGATCATGTACGTGGCCACGCAAACCAACGACTCTTATGCCGGTGACGTGTGGCAGGTGCCGTGCATAGCCAGGCAAATCTTCACCGCCGCGGGACCCAGTGGCCCCAATCGAGATTACCTCTTTAACTTGGCCCTAGCCATGGATAAACTGTTTCCCGGCGCGGTTGATGAGCACCTTACGGAGCTGGTGGTCTGTGTGAGGCGCCACATCGAGCAGGACGAGCCCGAGCTACTGCAGCGTGCCCTGCACGAGGAGATCACCAACATCCTCTGCGAGTCTGTCAGGGAGGCGGTCCGGGAGGAGGAGCCCCTGGACCATGGCGAGACTTCGCGGCGGCTGGAGGCTCTGCACCGCAGCTGTCATAAATCTGGCTGGCGGGAGCCGCTTCTTGACATACAGCTGAGACGGCAGAGCTTCTTTCCAACTTTCTGACGACCCGAAGACCACTTCTATCCCATCAACTAGACAATTTTTATTTATTATCGTTAGATATTGCATGTGTGTGTTGTTATGTCCATTCCAAATGTTCTCGTAAATACACGTCGCCAGTTAGGGCGGAAGATCTGTGTAAATCTGCGCTGATATGGCGCAACGGATTATTTATGGAGGCAGGGCAGTTTGAATTGATACCAGCTGGTGGATGATTTACAGCGCAAGTGGCGCGATAGTTTTACATTTCCGTGTCGATGTTTTAATATCTTCACTGACTTGATACATAAAATCATTTGTTTGTTGAGGCCAGAAATACCAATTGGAGTAAATCCTATTATAATTACACCTGTTATTAGAAATGCAAATTGTGTATCGATAGGCCGACGCATCCTTGTTGTCCTAACACACCTTGTAGAATTCATGTAAAAATCACGTAGATGTGTTATTTGGAAGCGTCTTCGACCTCTGCATCATAAATTTATTCAAATTATCACATCATACGTAATCAATCACAGGCAAAAATTATTTTCGCCAAAAAAATGTCACCAACATATGTATGATACATGATATATCGATATATGTTTATTCAACATTGTGAGGAATGGTCACACTAATCTAAACTAATAACAATACTGTCGTGTCTGTTTTTCTGCGCGTTTTGCGAACGGATTTTCGCCTTTGTTTTTTTTGTTTATCGCGGGCATCGTCACCAATAGCAATTGCAGGGCAATGCATTAACTAATTGGTCAAGCGTGACGAGTGTCAACGTCAACCTGTCTGTCCAGCGCGGCCCTACGGAGGAATTCGCCATGAAACAGGTGGGCGCCGTGCGACGGTCGGTCGGTCGGTTGTGTAGTGGACTGTGTGGTGGGTGGGCTGGTCATCTCCAGAGGGGTGTGGGTGTTGCTGCTCTTCTTTGATTGTTGTTGTGGCTTTTGTTATTTTGCTGACGATGATGTTATATTGGGTTTGTTTTTGTTTTTTTAATGTGCGTATGCAAATTCTTTTGTTTTGTTGCTGGCTATAATTGTTGTTATACGCAATACGTACGTCGTGCATATGGCAGTGAGAGTGTGTGTGAGAGTATGACAACATGTTTGCATTTGCGTATTGCGCGAATAACTGTGGTTAGCAAAGCAACTCATCAAGATGACTAGAGTAGAGTAAATCTTTGACGTTGACAATTCACTACACTACACACACACACATCCACATGCACTCTCATGGGGTCATTTTCCATCGCTTATCAAACAAGAGCTGTCTGTAAATGTGTGTGTGTGTGTGTGTGAGTGTGTGCATATAATATATATCTTTATCGTTATACGCGCTCTTCTGGTGCCCAACAAGTTTCTTATTAGTAGAGATTGGGGATTCGCCAAAAGATTATGTACATTATTCATATGACGCAAGAGCTTTTCTGCGAGCGTTGTTCCTTTTATTGCATACTTTGCTGAGTTATTGATAATGGCGTCGTCGTCCTGGTGCCTGGCTGCCGCCGATGCCGTCAGTGTGTGTTTGCGTGTGCGTGCGTGCTCGCTTAAATTACATTTAGCACATTTCCAGGCATAACTCATTTCAATTTCAATGCAAATTTCCACCATACAGACATACATATACACTCGTAAATATGTATTTGTGGTGTGTGTGTGTTTGTGTTTGTAGGTGGGGCGTATTTACATTTCAGCAGATTACATTTTTTTATTATGTATGGGGGACGAACACCCCCGTCCCACCCTTCTTTAAACAGATGCTCCCCGTCTTCCGTCTTCACACTCAAACCACCCACAACAAGTATCGATTCCTAGGGTTGCCAAGCAGTGCCTAAATCTAGGCCTAGAAATCAAAGCAAGACGGTGACAACCCTTAAACTCTTTGCTGCTGCTTTGCATAACCACCAGGAAGGATGTGTGTGTGTGAGTGGGTGTATGCCCATATACATACACGTGGGGGAAACTGCGCGGAAACCAATTTCCGAACCATTTAGTTCAGTTTTCGGTGAAGAGCGTCCAGACGCGTGTCCCCGTAGCTAGGAGAAAAAAACCCTCTCTAGAATCATCCATTTGGCCATATAAAACAAAAACAAAAAACGTTTAATTTAAGAGAAAATCGTAAATCAAAGACACTCTAAACTGTCTCCAGATGTTTCGCAACGTAAATTGTGTAAATGTCCAGAAACTAGCTGTCATTTGAGCTTGGTTGGGCCCCAAGTAGTGGGGCAGAGCGAGAGAAGGAGTGTGTGTGTGTACTGGTGCTGTGGTGCTGCCTCTGCTGCTGGTTCTGCTCCTGCGCTGCCTCAACAAATTTTACAGTTGTGTGTGTGTGCTCGTGTCATGTGACCGCGCGCGCAAAACATTTTGCATTGTTTTTGCTACGTTCTGTTCTGCTCACGTCGCTGTTTCTTCTGCTGCTGTCCTGTACGCGAAATTTTTTTTGGGGGCGCCTAGCGTAAGCATGCGCAATGGCCCCCACAATCTGGCGCTACTACACAGCGCTCACATGTTAGCTGCTGTCCCTGTCCCCGTACACGTGTGCAAAGGAGGTCCATGAGATTATAAGGCAAGGCGATTTAATCTCCCATTCAATTTTCACCGCCTTGAGGTATGGCACATTAACAATAGGCAAATTGGAATTCCACAGGATCAGCTAGTCCAAACGGCCTAGTCTTTGTGTGCTTGCGCTCCTGTGCCATTTAGCTAAAAGCGTGTGTGTGTGTTTGACTGTGGGTGCGAGGGAGTACGATAGGAGTGCGTCCTGTCCTCGTCCTAGTGAGCATCCCCTCTATGTGTCTCTCTCGCGCGCTTGCTCTCTCTCGCTCGAACTCTCTGTGCAGAATAGGTGCAAATTCCTTCGCACTGGCAGTACACACTCTGCCAGGAGTAGCAGCAGCAGCAGCAGCAGCACATAAGTGGCACCAGCCTCACAGTAGCCAACTGACCAGCTAACCAGAAGCTTATTTTTTTGTTGCCTCTCTTGCATGGAGATCCCCTGTAATCTCGCACTGGGAACTAAAGAAACTACAAATAAAACGGCAATAGAAAAGCTAAAGATTTAGCACCGTTAACGGCGCGCGCGATTCTCTCATTCGAAATTTGTTTGTGCGTGTGTGGTGTGTGTGTGTGTGGAAAATCAATTGACAGAAATGTTGATTCAATTTTTTGTTAGTTTCTTGCCCTCTGTGAAGTAACACCTTCCTTCTCTTCCCCTTGGCCACACACAGATAGATGCTGTGGAACACACTAGAGCCAAAGAAGAGGCTGCAAAAGTGTGTGTCCCCAAGGCAGTTGTCTTCCCTTCGTTAATGGTACACCAACCAACAAAAGGATGTAAATAATATCCTAAAATATCGTTATCCCTTTTTTTTGTGGCTGTGCATATTCTAGCATTAGATGTGTGAGTGGCAAGTGTGAGTGCAGAAGCGGGCAGAGTGCGCGGATAGGGGGAGATGTAGTTTAAACAAACAACAATATATGTGAGTGGCAACAAGCAAGAAATCAGTAAAGATAACGGTAACGGTAACCCTGTGCCTGTGCCTCATGTGTATACAAAAAAATCTGTAAATCGAGGTTATCTATACGCACACACACGTACAGTAAGCAAGTGGTGTGGGATGGACAGAGGGAGGGATGGAGTCAAGTGAGAGCGAGAGGGATATGCTTACGTACACATATATACATACACAGATTTGGGTAGCAGCATCCTACTCTCCTACTCTCTCCCTCTCTCTTTCTCTCTTTCTCTCTTTGTCTTCCTCTTCCTCACTCTCACTCCCCCCCAACGATGGCATTTTAATCATCATTACGAAGGGGGGGCAGTGGCGGCACACTGTCATTATCACCCGCTCCCCTCACCTCACCCACTGAGCTGGGGTAGGTCCGTCGTCGGTTAGGCGCCATGTGCAAAGTCTTTCGCTCCCCTCCACTCACACCGATGTTTGTATTGCGGGAATTAAATTTAAAGTATGGCAACGATTTGCTTTTCACTTTCCTGTGTGGCTCCATGTGCCTCGACCCAACCCCCAACCCACTCGTATTTTTTTACTGTTGCGCTCATTTGTCCTGGCGACCCAGCGACCTATACACACGCACACACACACATACACCGAACACCACAAGTGTGTGTGTATGCGTACTCACTTGCGTGTGTGCGAGAGTTTGTTTGTCAAAGCGTAAACAATTGCAAAAAAAAAAAAAAAAAAAGCATAGCAAAAAAGGAGAAACAACAGCAAAAATAACGGGAAAACATGAAAGAAAAGCTGACTCAAACACGCGACTGTATGTGTGTACGTGTGTGTGTGTGTGTGTGTGCGGGAGAGAGTGTGCGAAAAAAAAATCGATTTGTGTGCCATCAAAAAGTGCATATATAGGCAGCCCATATATCTACATATATCCATATATGGGTATCTATGGCATTCACGTGTCTCTCTGTGTGTGTGTGTGTGTGGCTGAGTGATGGTTGGTGAAGGGGGAGGGGATAAGCAAGAGGCACTCGTTGTGCAACATAATGTTGCAAACAACGAAACTAAATGAATTTTAATTAATAAACAACAATCGTTTGGGGATGGGGAGGAGAGGAGAAGGAGAAGGCGGCCCTTGACAAAACAGAAATCCATTTAACCTTTGAATGGAATGCAAATCCCAGATTGATTTCATTCTGCCCCTCACCTCACCCACCCCTGCCCCCCAAGCCATTCGCATTCCTACAATGCAACACAACGGGTGGGTGCGATGGGTTACTGTATGGATGGAGCGAGGGGGATCGAAGTGCTGGTGCTCATGGGCTGAGGGGGGGAAATCTTAATTAATCAACGTGTCCCAGTCGCAATCCCATTGCCAAAGGCACGGCCAAGGGGCCAAAGAAAGAGAAGAGAAAAGAAACAAGAGGGAAAGCAGAAATCAAGGTTTATGTAATCCCCTGGCACTCAACAAAAAAGAATGAAACAGAGCAGCAAAAAAGCACTCTCGGTAGACAATCGAAATGCAGTTGTGTGTGTGTGTGTGTGTGTGTGTCTTAAATGTTATAGATATCGGATGGGGAAAACAGGATAACTGTAGTCCGAACAGATTACTCGCAAAAGTGCAACGTGATGAAGGCATCTTGTAAAGCCTTCAAGGCTTTTCTGAATTTATTGTGAAAAGTGGATCGTGATTTTTTTTTTTTTTTTGTGTTTTATAAAATTGAACAATTTACCTGTGTATGTATATGTATTTATGCGTTTTCTTCTCGATTGCAGCTATCAATTCAACTATTGCTAACCTAGTTTCACTCCCCAACAAAAGAATCAAAGAAGAAAGACCAGCGCTGAGAAGCTTTGGCTACGCTTCAAATACCAACAAAAATCAACCAAATATTAATTGCCAACAACTATAACTTATAACTAGAAGAAAAACTTATCACTCTCGGAATCAAGTTGAAAATCAAAAGCAAAAGCAAAGAAAGGCCAACATTTTTTCGGTACTCCTCCAAGCTGAATCCTTTCCCTCCAGGCACAACACCTCTAAAGGCACCAAACTCTGTCCACAGCTCCAGTCCCAACCTCCTCCAACACTTGAGGAAATCACATTCTTCTTAGATAGAAAAATAGAGACAGAGAGAGAGAGAGATATACAGAAGAGTGCAGAGTACAGAGAGAGAGAGTACTGTAAGAAGAAGAAGCAGAAGTGAGATAGAGGAGGAGAAGGAAGACGACTCATGTTAGAAAAATGAAAAAGTTCACATTCAAAGGAGTTCTAGATGGATTTCGACAAAGCGTTCAGCCCCAAGCCACACGACAGGAGCAGGAGATCCAAGAGCAGCTCAAGGCCGATCATTTCACATTGAAGAAAGTAAGATAATATCGCTAAGAAATAAAAACGCCTAATGCCTAATCAGCCTATGCCTATGCCTATTGCTTATAACCCAATTCACATTAACCGATCACCCCAAAAAAGTGACAGACATCGCGACATGGCATCTGTTGCAGCTAGCGGGTGTTTTATCTGGTAGCTATACCCCTTTGAATCTATCATAAGACACACGCGGCTATGACCGATGCCCAAAACCATCCAAGATTCAATAATTAGTAATCAGCAAATCCCACGCCACGCCACGCCATGCCACCCCACCCCACCCTCCTTCCCCGTCCATCCCAGTGGAACTTCCCATCTGGAATCGCCATATATGTATATTCATACCATCTAACGCTCTTAATCTCTACCCCTCTCTATCTTTCTCTCGCAGACCTTTCGCCATGGCTTTCCGTACTCGCCCACATCCTTTGCCTTCGATCCGGTGCAGAAACTAATAGCGATTGGGGACAAATCGGGCTACATCCGCATGTGAGTTTTGTGTGTGTTGGTGTGTGTGTCAGCATTCCTGTTTTTAATTGGAACCACCCATGTCTATCTATGCCTTGGTGCATGTTTTTAATTGGAATGTAGATTGGGAAAGCCTGGCGTCGATGCCCATGCCAAACACGAGGGCGAATCCGAGTGCGCCGTGCTCTTTGCCCAGTTCCTGGTCAATGAGGGGGCCCTCGTCACCGTCACCGCTGATGACACCATACACTTGTGGAGCATACGCCAAAAGACACCGCGCATTGTGCAAAGTCTAAAGTTTCAGCGGGAGCGGTAAGTGCACCCCCTTCGAACCATTATCCAAGGGGATGATTCAATTATTTCAATTATGCATTATTATGTGTATGTACATACGTGACCATAAAAACCAATATACAATACAATACAATATACCATACATATGTATGTATATGTATCCTGGAATTTAATATGGAATAGTGAATCAATTCGAAAGCTTAACTCGCACATTAACTAGCTGTGTTGAGTCAGTCACTATGTATTACTTTGACTGTAGTAATTCCTTCAATTAAAACATGTCGAACTTTGGGTCAATTGATATTTCATTGAATTCGTTTACATATCGAAACATATCGAATTAAGATCATTCAATTTGTTCATTGAATAGTTAATTCAGCTGTACGTCGTACATACTTGTACATCAATAGGTTTTTCGTTGTGATACATGTAAGCTGAAATAAAAGCGTAATATCATAAAAAAAAAGAACAAAAACGTACACCTACATTCAGCGATTTTCTTTCGAATCTATAAATACGGAAATTGTAGAAAGCGTAAAGAATTCAAGGAATTGCCTTTCTCTCATGCTACATTTTGTACATCGGAATGCTAATCAAATAATTCAAGGGGGGGATGGATCAAATCCATCCATTAGTGCTAGTTGATGTCATTAGTACGGTTATGCTTACACTTTTACGTTACGTTCATTTCCATATTGCAGCGTGACTTGCATACACGTGCCCGTGGGCAGCAAATGGCTGTACGTGGGCACTGAGAAGGGAAACATACACGTTGTTCACATAGATACATTTGCACTTAGTGGATATATTATTAACTGGAATAAAGCAATTGAAGTGTAAGTACGAGGACGAGTACGAGTACGAGCAGAGTCCCCCCCAATGATGCGAGTCCTTGATTATATGATTTCCATTATCGTTTCCATGCTGTGCACAGGGTTAGAACTAGTCATCCAGGTGCTGTGATTGCGTTATGTGATAATCCATTGGATGCAAACAAGGTGAGTATTTCCGTGAGCACTGTATGCTATGCCTTTTCCGTACTAACTCTGACTGACACTGATTCTGATTTTTAGTTGCTTCTTGCATTTGAGTGCGGGCTGCTTGTGTTGTGGGATCTGAAGGCGAAATGCGCTGAGATACGATGGCAGGCGGCCGAGGCTGTCAAGTCCCTGGCTTGGCACTACGAGGGCAAGTACTTTGTATCATCGCACACGGATGGCTCCATTTGTTCGTGGCCCACCAGGCCTCAGCCCAAGCCACAGTCGCAGGTTTGTCCGCACGGTAAGTTCATTTCCTCCAAAACGATTATCCCGCGTCCACTGACGGTTCCCCCTTGTTCTCTCTGCATTAGCGAAAATCAACAAAGATGGCAATGCGGAAAAATGTAAACCGATCTATAAAGTTGACTTGAAGTCCAGCACAACTGGGTGAGTATTTTGCAGAACAATTTTCTCTTGCTGGTTGCCATTCTATTTCCATTTCTAACTCATTTAATTTCAGTGAAACTTTCACAATTTTCTCTGGTGGCATGCCGTCTGAAAAGGGCTCAAAGTCGAATTGCATCACCGTGATGGTCGGCAAGGCCACAACGGTGCTGGAGATGGAGCATGCTGTATGCGATTTCATCACCCTCTGCGAAAATCCCTGGCCATGCGGTAAAATTCCCCATAATGAGTATAACTTTAAGCAGAATGAAGCACGGGTGGATGCTATATATTTATATTAAGCAGAACAAAGCATTGGCTATATGTATATCTGTTATCCGATCTATCTGATTTTTATATACGTATGTATGTATATGATGCGTATAGCTCTTAAGGTCTCTTTTTTTGCCTTCTGCTTTTCGTCTGTTCGTGTCTGCTGCTTGTGTGGTTGGGCACATATATATTTGCACTGTCTGTTTCCCACCATTTCCTACAATTTAAATTATATCTGATTTTGGAGCCCAGCACAAACTCGGCTTTTGGTGATTCATTACTATTCATTTTACTATGTTATGCCTGTACAAATGTATCGATCGATCTAATCAACTAATGATTTTGTTTTGTATTTTTCGTTAACCTTTTTGCAGAGACCCAGGAGCCCTATGCAATAGCTGTGCTGCTTCAATACGACTTAGTATTAATAGACTTATTAACACCCGGTTTTCCATGTTTTGAATCGCCTTATCCAATGGACTTACACGAATCACCTGTTACATGTTGCACATATTTAACCGATTGCCCATCGGATTTGGTTCCTGCTTTCTATTCTGTGAGTAGTTCCTCCCCCCCTCCCACAACCGTCGCAAACTATCGAATCTATCTGGAATGATAACTCTGTTGTGGATATTCGCAGGTTGGTCGGACAACGACAAGTAAAAAAAGTTGCTTCTCGGAGCGCGAATGGCCAATATCGGGCGGAGAGTGGTCGCCGGCGTCGTGCAGCTACTCGGAGATTGTCATCACCGGGCACCAGGATGGTAGCCTCAAGTTCTGGGACTCAGGTGCCGGTACACTTCAGATACTCTACAAGCTGAAAACGGCCAAAATGTTCGAGAAGCCGCGCACTCATGCGGCCCAGGCCCATGCGGATGCCGACAATCCGCTGGCCGTGCATCTGATATTCCTCTGCTCGGAGTCGCGACGTCTCTGCGTTGCCGGGGCCATGGGGCAGGTGATGTTGTTTAAGTTTCGGAAGCTCGAGTCCACATCGGAGGTCCTGGTGCTGGAGATACCCATACTCTATGAGAATTTTGATGACATTTATGGCACGAGTCCTGAATGCGATTTCCTAACTGGCCATCAGGTGCAGAAAACGGAATCCAGTGATTCGGACAAGGTAAAATCGAGAGCGTGCTGTCAACTGTCAATTGACTTGTTTTGCTTCCTCACACAGACGACGGACTGCTCGTTAAAGGTTCGCTTTGGGGCACAGCGGAAGCCGCCGGGCTTTCAGTCGCAGCTGGTGTGCCTCACCACCGGACCCAATCGCCGGAATGTTCAGGTCACATCGCTGTGCATCAGCTCCAGTTATGGCCTGTAAGTAGTGTAGTCCACACATATGCTTCTCCTGGCTCTCCTCCGCTCCTAATGTCATCTCCATCCTGCCACACACGCCTCAACCATCCATCCATCGATCCATCCATTCCATTCCATCCATCGATCCAGCCACACACGTACACACACCACCAACCACCACTGCCACCTCTACCACCACCAACCAACCAACCAACCAACCAACCCACCAACCAGACACCGGACACGGCAAAAGCGGACTTAAAAATACCTCACAAAAAAAAAAAAAAAAAAATACTTAGACGTAGTCTAGTTTGTATTCGTATATGCATGACGTTTTCTGAAAGCGCCTGAGACTTAGCCAAAGAAAAAACAAACTCGTAACTCTCGTAACGCTCGTATCGCTCGCCGACTGTTAAGCCCCGCTGCCTTTGCCCTCAGCCCTAAGCCCCCTAAGCAGCACCGCTTTTGTTGAATTTGTTTACGTTGTGTATTTCGTAGTATGCAACAGTTTCAAGCAGAACGAGAACCGAGTATCAAGAATCTCCCACCCCAATCACCCACCAGATGAATAGATAAACAGACAGATACAGATACAAATACAAATACGGATACTGAAACAGCACATTCGACGACACCAAAAATCGAACCGATCATAACTAGACAGAAAACTAAAGACAGAATACCAACTAAAACCGAAACCGAATTATAGTGCCTGGTGTGTGCGCGTGTGTGATTGATGCGCATCGAAAAATAATTCATTTATTTGTCTTTAGTTTTAGTGTTTATTAGTATTTTTAGTATTTGTATTTCTTCGGTTTATTTTGAATTGATATTGTTTTGTATGCACCTTATTTGGGTATACCATATACCCAACCTAACACGTACATAACACGTACATATGTATGTACAGTTTTTTTTTTACTTTGCTTTGGCACCTTTTTTTTTAGTTTGAGAATTTTTTCAGTATATTTGTTGGTATTTATTAGTATTTTAGGCTAATTTTCTGGTAATCTCATGCTTTTCCATGAATTTTGATTTCAATATATAGTCTGTATTAACGTTTTCTTGCAATCAGTATTTATAGTATTTATTGTGGTACAGATGCTGTTTTAGAACTTTGCGAATATTTTTTGGTTTGTTTTTTTTTTTTGTTATTGATTATTATTGATCATCTATGCAGTTTAAACTAAAACGCGCCTTTTTTGTACTATTTTCAGCTCAGAATGTTTTTGTTTGTATTGGTTTGGTATAATTTTCAGTATTTTTGTGTGTGTTTGTTTTACTGGTATTTTTTTGTATCTTTTATAATTTTTCATAATTTGTCTCTAATTTGTTTCCAGTGTATAACACTTAATTATTATATTTATATTGTTGTTCGCTTATTTTATATTTTGTGTATTTTTCATTTTACCGTTTCATTCTCATACATTTTTAGTATGTTTTTGGTATCGTATTGCGATACGTACATACACATACATACATATGTATGTATTTAATACGTATTACGTATACGCATTATTTTCGTTTTTTTCGTATTTTGTTTTTGGCGTTGATTTGTATGCAGTTGATTTTTGGAGATATATATATGAATATTTTCTGTTTTTAGAATGGCTTATGGTACCGAATATGGACTTGTCATAATTGATATAATCCAAAAAATTTGCCTCTTGAGTGTTGCATGCCCCGATCTGTATGGCGCACATGATCCTTACTCGCGAACACCAAAAAGTCCGAAACGCATTGAGAATAAAGAGGAGCAGAGTCGATCGCCCAGCTCAGATCAGGTAAGTGCCCTCTGCCTCTCTCTCTCACACACTCTCTCTCTCTCTCTATCTATCTGATCTCTGATCTCTGCCACCGAGCTAAATAGCCACAGCGAAACCGATTATACCGATTATATACATATATACACAAACACACACACACACACTGACACATACAAGAATATACTGATATATATCACGCATACACACGCAGACACAGATACAGACACAGATACAGAATCCGAGATATATGCGGAAACAGAAACACAGACAGACTGAAAAGTATTTGCCCCCATAAGTATGCTACGGAAATCGAGACCTACACTGAACAACAAGTTTCTTCTCATGCATACCATACATATCTCACCAATAAACATATACATATACATGCATATGTATATCTATATCTATTACATGATATATATATATTTGATCTACTACATACATATAAGCTTTGATTTTTACGAGTAATTTACTGCTAACCAAAATTGATTGATTGATTACATTACATTAATCTATATACATATATTTAGCTAAAACCTTTACATATTTGTATGACATAAACGATTTTGTAGCCAACAGATTTTGTTTTGGTTTATGTTTTTTCGTTTTGTGTTTTGTTTTTTTGTTGCCCCCTCGTTCTCTCTCTCACTCCCTCTGCCTCGCTCTCTCTCTCTCTCTCTCTCTCTGTCTCACTCATAGAATTTTTTGTTGTTGAAACTTTTGTGTGGCATTTTTGAACTGAAAGATTTATAACCAATACCAACCAAAACTTAGACAGACACACACACACACACACACACACATACACATGCAAGCAAGCATATATATCGATATATCTATATAACTATATATATCTCTCTATCTGTAAACATATCTAACTAGTAATAATAGCTTAGTATCTTTTTGACGAGTATAGTAGATGTTTTTGTTAGTGTGTGCGCCTCTGCCGTCCTCGGGCTGCTCTAGCCCCATCTCTTACTCTATCCATGCTGCTGCTCTATTTCTAACTACGGCTATCTATCCATCCTTTTCTAACTCTAATTGCCATTCCATATTGTATCTATCCATCCAGCATTCGGGCTAAGCATTTATTTTTATGGTTTCATTTCCACGGATTCTTTCTTGAGTTTGATGCAATTTTCTCTCCCTCTTCCACTCTCTCCCTCTCTCTCTCTCTCTCTGTTTTTCTCTATCTCTGTTTCACTCTCTCTCCCTGTCTCTCTTTCTCTGTCTGTCTCTGTCTCAGAACGCACAACATGCCGCATGGTAAAACGTACATTTTTTGATTGATTGATTGTTCATTTTGTTGTGGTTCGTTTGCATGAAAGCTTGTCTAAATTGATTGACGATTGATTGGTGTGTTTTGTTTTTGTTTTTTTTTTTTTTTACTTTTTATTGCTGCCACGCCCAGACCATCGCATTGACATGCCTTGAACACTGATTGATGGTTTTCATTGTTGTAAATGTGTTGTGCTCTGCTCTCCAAATACCCCCATCTGATTGATCTGTTGTGCCTGTCAAGCCTAGCGAACTTCCAAAACAAAAACAAAGAGAAACAACAATAACAAAACAAAAACAACAAAAATCCCCCCTCTCTCTCTGTCTCTTACTCTCCGTCTGTCTCTCTCTCTCTCTCTCTCTGTCTCTCTTACTCTGTACTTACTCATTGATTGATTGAAACGAGTGAAAGTATGCGCGTGTTTTGGCCTTTCTTTCACCTTATGTAACATATTTCCACAATCCATTCGCCCCCACTCAATGTTTAATACATACAAATACATACATACATACATAAATACATACAATACATTTGCATAATATAACATGATTGATTGATTGATTGAAAGTAGTTACATTTAAATTTTAACCCCCCGTCCAAACAAATTTCTATTCTAAATCTTAAAAAATCGTAAATCGTAAAACGTAAATCTAAACCTAAATCAAAAACGTTATATTGCCTGTGCGTGTGTGTGTTCAATCGTTTGCGTATGTGTTTTTTGTATGTGTATGTGCGTGCGTGTGTATAAGTAGCACAAAATGGAGCTTAAAACTGTTATAAACCAGTTGTTATACCTGTTGTATAACAGAATAACTAAAACGTTGCATAACATTTTAAACCTCTTCAAAAAACCCCCCCCCAAAAAAAAAACAAAGTAAACCTTTAACTAACTTGTACATACAACATACATATATTGATTGTATATTGTACAGTACTCCCCCCACCCCACTCCGAAACACCCAAACAGCCTTAATGCCCCAATAACCCTCTAACCCCCTGTTAAAAGCCCCACACCCATCCACACGCCCACAGAAAAGAGCAACAAAAGCTTTGAGCGCAACCAAATATGCAAAGAGGAAGAACAACAAACAAAATATAGCAGTGGAGTGGCAGAGAGCAGTCAGTGCAGCTAAGCTGCACCGGGAGAGAGTGAGCACAGGAAAGAGCTACCAGAAATAAATACAGCAGTAGCAGTATCAGTATCAGTAACAGGCTGTGAAACATTCGATTCCCTCCTTCTTGGGAAGATCCCACTAGATTTATAGCCTTTTTACACTGGGCACGTCTGCTATCGATATCGGCATAGACGCAATGAAGCAGATCTCTACTTACGAGCAGTGAACGAACCACAGTGGACACAAATAATCCAATTGAGATTACTTACTGGGGGCACAAAAACTCTGCAATGCGGTGCCCATCTGTTCGTTACCCTAAGTTTCCCAGACTAGTCTGTTTTCGAATGAAATCCTTGTTCAATTCAACAAATGATCAATCTATCTATTTTCTTTCCCTTCAAATAAGTCTTGAGAGATTATGTTTTGTTTCCCCGATAAAATGATTTCATTGGACTGGCAACTCGCTAAGGGAGGAAATGCTGAAAAAAAACTTAGCCTAAAAATATCGTAAAAGCTAATCGTTTACTTCTCCCCCCTACTGCTGTGTCCTGTTCTTCCTTTTGCCTCGTTTGGTCTGCCGCAAAGTAAATGAAAACAAATACCAAAACCAAAACAAAACCAAAGGATGTATCTATACCGTACAACCTCCACCCCAAAAACCTAAAAACCCACCGACAACTTTTATATGATGCCTGATCGAAAACGAAAATTAAAATTATGCCCCCAACACCCCGCTTAATCTAGCTGAACGACACGACTAGCCCGGACAGTCCATCGATCGAGTTCATTCCCGAGGCGACCGAGGCGTATGCCACTGGTGCAGCCGCGACACCGGCGGCAGCCAACGAATCCTCGAGCACCTCGCGACCCACATCCCCCAGCAGCGGTCCCGATTCGGCGGCAGCAGCTGTTTCAGGGTCAGGGGCAGGCACCGGGACCGGGATCGGGATTGGGACAATCGCCCAGCCGCAGGTGATCAACAGCAGCCGCGAGACGCTGCTGAGTGCGGCGGCGGCGAGCACAGCCGCCAATGCCGCCACCGCCATGGCCAAGAGCCCACTGCGCGAAGAAGTGATGGCGGCGCCGGCTCCCAAGGAGCTGCAGGACCGACGCAAGTCGATGTCCTGGAAAACGTTCAATTTGAAGCGTCAATTATCGAAAGTCAATATGAAGATCGGCGGCCTCAACGTCAACACCGATCTCGAATCCATCAGGAACACTTCTATTTTCTACACCCCCAAGGAGAGCTCCCCGGAGGGTGCCGGCGAGGAGCCAACCGCTGTCGCAGGTGCAGCTGTCGCTGCCGAGGCCCTCGAGTGCCGAGAGGAGGATGCAGAGCTGGCGGCGGCCGGCATGGCGCTTAATAGCGAGGACACCGAGATGCCAATGCCGATGCCATCGTCGTCGTCGTCGGCGGCGATGCGCGGCAAGTTCCGCTCCTCCACCACGGACTCGCCGGACGGCTACAGCGGTGAGGCTATTACGGCGGCTGCATCAGCGGCCAGCGGTAAGCGCGTGGACTTTGAACAGCATTTGAACAGTGGTGCAGAGAGTGGCGAGCGGCCCAATAACCTGCCCCTCTCTGGCGAGTCGCAGGCACCGATAAAGCCGTCGCGTCAGCGATTCAAGGAGAAGTCGCGCGACCAGCGTCTACTCTCCGTTCCGAACATCAAGTACCAGCCGCGTGATCTGCGCGGCGGGGTGCGGGCCATGAAGAACGACGTGTCGCCGCTGATGGGCGGCAATCTGAGCAAGAAGATGCGTAAGTATGGCCCCCATCGGGGGTCCACATCACAGAGAGAGCGAGCATCTGTCTCTCTGTCTATGTCTGTTTCTCTCTCCATTCCCCTTTCTCCCCCCGCGGATAGGTCCTCCCACCCCTGGCTTACAGAAGAGCGAGCGAACGAGCATGCGAGCGGGCGGTACTGTGTGATCGCTAGGCAGCAGCAGGCAGGCAGGCGCAGAAAGAGTATCCGAATCCTCTCCAAATTTGTCATTCATTATTCTCACTCATTCCCACACAACATTCGATCAAAATCACTCACTCTCTCACTCAACTCATAGACGGGAAGCAAAGTGTATTAATATAAGGTGAGGCGGTCTCCATATTAATACATCATTTGAGTGCAAAAAGTTGATAGACAACTTACCAACGAAGGAGTTACCCCCCCCCTCTGTCGCTGGGATCTCTGTTGGATTTTCCCCTGGTACTCCTCTTTTCCGCTGCGCTTCTCCTTTTGGGTTTCTCTCTTGGTTTTTCGCTTCTTTCTGTTTTTGTATCTTTGCTTTGTATTTTCCATTTTCCTTTATGTTTTCGTTTTTGCAAGATGTAGTAAACATTTAGCCGCCAAACAAACAACTGTACTTTTAGTACCCTTTAATCTCCCTTTCCAAACACCCCGACCCAACCGGCTCCTTGTGCATTTGCGTCCACCCCCAATTGTATGGCTAGAGATGTGCATACTTAAATCGTACGTAAATCCAATATCCGATATCCAAATTATAGAGCTGAGAAAACCCTAACCGAAACCAAAAAAAAAAAAAAAAAAGAAGAATTTTGCTTCTTTTTGTTGATTTTTGAATAAGAACCAAATACGCTGATACAAAATTGCATTTTGTCTATAGAAAAGCTATGTATGTATGTACTTTGTAGAGCATACTATTCTAGAGAGCATATAACAAATCAGTGAAAGATCAGTGTAATGTAAATGTTATCTCATATAATTCTAATACTAATATAAGCAAACAACAAACAACAATGTAATGCCACATACATACAAAACATAACATAGGCACTCCAAACAAAACACAAAAACTCTACTCTCGTACAATCAACAAATCAAAAAAAAAAAAAAAAAAATACTTTTGAAATCTTTTTTCTATGCTTCTTCTTATCTTATCCTCTAAAAACTAGACAACGGCTGCAGAAGAGCTGCAATACAACTGCCTTTATGTGATTGTATGGAAGTTCTTTGGTAAATCATTTAAACACCACAACACCAACAACAACAGCAACAAGAAAAACAACCAACAACACCAAGAACCACACACGCACAGTCAACTCAAATAAATCACAGTTCACAGTACAATCACACAATCACCATACACAACAAGCACAAGCACCACCACCACCATCACAACACCACCCATATACGAGTACAAATGTGTAACGTAACTATAAAAAAAAACTCTGCAAATATTTACATTACTATACCATGTCGTAAATATTTTATAAGCGTACCTTATAAGACTTAATAGATATTTAAGAACTGGAAACTAAGCAAAAAGGGAGGGCTTTCAGGGCGTTTATCACACCACACCACCTCACATACACCACCTCAGTCTACCTCACCCTATATGTATGTGTATGCACTGTGCAAAACAAAAAACCTAAAACCCAAAAACTAAAACTGAAAATACGAAATTTTAAATGTTGATTGTTGTGCTGTGTTACCAAGCCCGTATATCCGTATATATTTAGCGTGTAAGCTGCATTGAATTCAATGCTCAACACTCTCCCAGCCACCCAAACACCACTGTACACCACACCACACAGAAAAATGACAACTGATCGAGAGGCGAACCAGACTGGTTTTCCAAGCTCCAGGGACTCAGCTCAGCCTCTTTCCCGTATCCCTTGGCCCCTTTTTTGTCCCTGTGGATTTTGCATTGTTGGTCGCAATTCCAGTTCCAGGTTGAGGATTTTTTTCTGTCCCTAGCCCCACCAGCCACCCCACCACCCACCACTACCCCTGTGTCTATGGCTCTTGTCTATCGAGAGAATCGTAGGGATAATGATCAATAATAATGGTGATCGATAGCTGTTTGAGTTGAGCTTTTCTGCGTTCCGTTTTTTGGTTGGTTTCTTCATTTTTTGTTTCGATTTCGATTTATCGATTAAATTCTATGTGTTGTGTGTTCTGGCTATCGATAAGTCGATAGATCGCTTGCAAAAGGCTTTCAGCTTTCCCATTTATCGTTGCTTTTGCGTTCGTTTTTTCGTTAACGTCTAGAGCTGCTTTTTCCCCCCAGTTCTCACATCTCACTTGTACATAAAGACAAACAAACAAAAAAAAAACCAAAAAGATCATTGATAAGAAAAACTACAAATTTAATAAGCTTAAACCATATACTACATACATACTATATGATATAGATATATATATATATATATTTATATATACTTTTCTAACTATGAATCGAATATTCACACGATAATATATATATTCAAACAAACATATATCCTACCCCATATACCCCGCAAATGTACGTGTTCTATATATGTATGTATATCTTATCTCTCGTATACAGCAGATACATACATATATCCAACAGTTTGTTCGATCTACATGCATATCTGTCTGTCTCTTTCTCGCTGTCTATATTTCATTGATTCATGTTGATTGTCGTGATTTGTTTAATAAATGTTTAAGTATCGTGTCACGAATCACGCTCCCCAAAACACTGCCCGCCACTGCAATGGAGCAATCCACCTCTGTTTTTTTCGCTGTGTACTCGTTCATACATACATTTGTACATATACATATGTATATGTATACATATTTACACAGACATACTGCACTCGTAAGAAAGATAAATGTAAATTAATAGAAAACTCACTTAAACACTCACATCTGTGTTGGTCTCACATTCCCACGCATTCATGCACCCATCCCACCCACACTCACACTCAAAAAACCACTCAAATATGTGGGCCTTCGTGCTATTTTGTCACTCAAACGCACATTCCACTGTACTTGCCCATCTATGGATTACTCAATCAAAAAGAAAAAAACCACATCGCTCCCCCATATGTTTTGTTTCACTCAAACGCACACACCCACACATTGGACATCTGTTCGGTCTCTCACTCAAGCTCAAGCACACACATATACACACACATATCTGCTGGTCTCTCTCTCCTCTCTCTCACTCTCTTAATGTTTCGTTTCTTGCACTCGTTTCGTTAACCGTTATGTAAAGCTTCTCGCAGACAGAAAGTATGCTACACATGCTCACTCGCACACACACACACATACAGAAACAAACACTCTAACACACACACACACACCCAAACACACTCGAACCCAAAGAGCACAAAATAAAAAAATCCACAAGCAGAACAAGATGTAGAAGAAAAAGAAGAAGAAAGCAAAAGAAACAAAATGATGATCTGTGATCCGATCCATTCAATCATTTAGTGCATTTATCTTTCTCTCTCTCTCTCTCTCTCTCTCTCTCTGTCTCTCTTTCTCTCCCATTATGTGTGTGTATCTCTCTCTCTTTCTCTCTCTCTCGTGTCTCCCCATTATGATTACCGTTTATTTCCGGATTATCTCAGATCAACGGCGGAGCCGGCAATGCGGCGAATGCGAGCGCAGCCGCAAATGCACCGCAGCAGCAGCAGCAACAAACCCAACAGCAGACGATAGGCGGTGGTGGCAGCGATCCTTCGTTGCTGTCGTTGTCCGCTGCGGCAGGGACAACAGCAGCATCGACCTCAGCTTCATCGTCGTCGACAGCAGCAGCAGCAGCGGCAGCATCAGCATCAGCAGCAGCAGCAGCAGCAGCGGGATCAGTTTACGGTGCAGACGATGCAGGTGCGGGTGTTGCTAGTGGCGGTGTCGGTGTTGGTGTTGGTGGTATTGGTAGTGGCAGTGGTAGTGCCAAATCTGGCGCAGGTGCGGGCGGCGTTGGCGTCGTTGAACATCATCATCAGCAGCCGCAGCAGCAGCAGCAGCAGCAGATACTCGTGCAGCAGCAGCAGTCAAGCTTGAGCTCTACGTTGGCGGCGATGGCATCCTTTGACGTTGATTCATTCGATTGCGGTGCAGGTGCAGGTGGAGGTGGAGGCGGAGGCGGTGCAGGTGCAGGTGCGCATCAACATCAATATCAGCATCCGCATCCGCATCAGCATCAGCATCAAACATCCGTAATACAGCAACAGCAGTCAGTGACATCGTACGAGTCCCTAAAAAAGTCCAAATCACAAGGTGGGAGCACAACAGAGCACAGTGTTAACAACCTACAGCAAACAGCAAAAAAAAAAAAAAACTACCGTTAACAGAGCACAGTGTTGTTTGGCATTAAACAGCTAAAACAGCAAACAAGCAAAACTTAACAGCCGTTAACAGCCAGAACCACATGAACAACAAGCAACAACTACAGCAAACAGCAATACTGCAATACTGCAACAACAAGTGCACCAACAAATCACAGAAACAACATGCGTTCTCTCTCGCTCTCTCTCTCTAACACACAGAAACACACACACACGTGTAGACGCTCACCCACCCACTCTCAGTGTCTGTCTATCTACGTCTCACTCTCGCGCGTACACACAGCACAGCACAGGTCACACACTCTCTCTCTCGCTCTCGCTCGTACACTTTCTCTGTCTCTCTCTCTCTGTCTTTTGACACGTTGCTTGTGTGGTTTGCCTTTTGCCAGAGGCACGCCCGCCATCCCCCACCACCCTCTCCCCATCAGCCAGCCCCCAGCATTTCAGCGGTGTGTGCGTGCGTGTGCGTGTGTGTGTGTTTGTGTGTGTGTAGTGCTGTCTTTGAATTTGGATTTGAATTTTAATTTGAATTTTGGTTATTTACTTGGTGCGCGGGGGGCGGTTGGAGTTGGGCTCTATCTGTCTCTTTTTCTCGCTCGTTCGCTAGCTAGCTCGCTCGCTCCTCTCTCTCTCTCTCTCTCTCTCGTTATCTCTCTTTGTACCCCTAGATAATTCTAGATAAATATAACTGCATATGAATATGTTCTCTCTTCTCTCTCTCTCTCTCTGTCGCTCGCTCGCTCGTTCGCTCTCTCTCTATCCTTGTTTCTCTATATATCTCTCTATCTCTCTCTCTCTCTCTTGCTCTGTTTCTCCGTCTCCTACTATACCTATATATCTTTCTCTTTCTCTCTCTCTCTCTCTCTCTCTCTGTCGGTATTTGTAATTGCATTTGGCACGCTTTGAAAATGAAATAATAAACAAGTGATAATAACGATAACAGCAACAATTAAACCAATAATTATACTAACTGGAATATACCACATACATGAATAATAGTATAGAGTACAAACCCCAGATCGGAATTTGCATTGGCAAAATCTCTCGACTTTTGCATAGTTCACACACACACACACACACCAACGCGCACTACACTTTCACACATACATACATGTACATGCATAGAGCTGCACACGAAATGCAAGCAAGATGTTTTTTTTTTGTTTTGGTTTAATATTTAGTCAGACGCCTGCCGCTTAACCGATTGCACTCACTCGATCTCAATTTCAATCCATAGAAAGCTTACCCAGCCCAGCAAAAGATTACCTTAACCCAAGTACTCGTATATACTTATTCGTAGAACAAAAATGAAACCCTAGAGCGGTGACTCCTAACACTAGTATTTTCAAAATAATTCGAAAATGTTTAATATTTTTTTTTTGATTTAAACTTTTTTTTTCGAAACGATAATCTTGTGTGCCCTTCTAGGGTTAAGCGGCCGTCGCTACAATAATATGCCGTTAGCTTCCTTCAGAGTAAATCAAAGTAAAGCAAAGCAAAGCAAAGCAATGAATGAAAGGAAGGATACGGCATTAGCGTGTGCCGCTTACACACACACACATATGTATACACACCCATGCACAAGCATAGAGCAAGAACCGCAATAATTAGGCAGCCTAGCGATTTGATAGTCCTGTGCAGAGCAAAGCAAAGAAACGAAAAAAAAAAATAACAAATAATAGTTCAAAAGAAACGCAAAAAATAGTAATTCTAATTTGAATTGAAAAAAAAAACAAAAATTTGATTAAATATTTAAGCAAACAAAAAATTTGCCTACTACCGCCCGCCGCTTTTACTCTCTCTCTCTATCTGTCTCTCTATTTATCACTCAATATATAACTCTTTATCTATCTGTCTCTCTCTCTCTCTCTGTTCGATTTGATAATATCATAAAATATTTAACAATTTTGGTGTAATTTTGTTTATTCTTTTGTCTTTTTTCTGTATCTGTATGCCATCATCAACTAAAAAACAAATTTTGACCCTGAAAACAATGAAAAAAAAAAACAAACCCCCAAAACTAAATTACAGATAAATTGGATGGAACTTTCTCAAGATCCAGATCATCGTCAATGTCCAGCATTGATATGTCTTCCTCTGAATCTGTTACCTGTTTAGCTTTTATCGAGAGCTATGCAAAACGAAATGGTAAAGTAGACAAAGTAGTAAACAAAAATGGAACAATGTGATCAATGAGCTTTAATCTGTAGATATTTTGACACTTGTTCCTACTTTGTGGATTGGAACTAGTTTCGGTTCGATACTGACCTTGTTCATAACCATGCCGGAACGAGATGTACGCAAATCTCAGCCAGTATTGATCACAATAAATGGTAAGAGATTGAATCGTTTAGCCTCCCCCACACCCCAATATCAAACCTAATCTGGGATCTACATATTATCTTTTTCCATTCTGTTGCAGGCGGCCCCGTGGTTCGACTCAAAGGCTCCATTACTTCCATGTCTTTTTTAGACTCATACGGCTCTATCATACCCTTTACATTTGAGACCTGGCGTGACGAGAAGAGGGACAAAACAGATCGTAATTTATCGCCTCTTTCTATTTACTACAATATCATCTATTATCCATCCGAATACTCATCCGATTGTACTACGTGTACTGTTGCAGGCACTCCCACTAAGAGCAGCAGCCGCACCAGTCCCACTTTCACACCAACAACTGCCAATACAATATCAAACACTTCGGTCGCTGGAGGCGTGGCGGGTAGTGCTGGTGGCGGTGGTGGTGGCAGTGGCAGTGGCGGCGGTGGTACCGGTGGAGCCGCTGGAGCAGCAGGAACCGCTGGCGGTGCAGCTGGCACCGGGATTGCAGGCAGTGGCAGTGTGGCAGGTGGCGGCGCTGGTGCGGGCAGCAGTGGCGCCGTCGGTGGGATGATCAGCAGCAGTGCCAGCCCCAGCAGCAGCGGCAACATTGGCAGCATTAGCACCGGCCTGGAAACACTCACCGATCGACAATATATCGTTATTGCAAGCGAGAAACAAACAAAAGTCTTCGATGTGGCCAATCAGTGCTGCATCAATCGCATACAATTATCGGAAATGGATTTTGCAGTCAAGGCAGAAACTATCACGATGAAGGGTACGTAAAAGAGTCAAACATATTTAATCTGTCGTCCCCCCATCTGGAATACAATTCTTTCTCTCTCTCTCTCGCTTTTTCAGATGGCTCTTGCTTAGCAACCTATCTTTCGAATGGCCATCTAATGGTACATAGTCTTCCTAGTCTAAAACTGTTATTGGATACTGATTTCTTACCGCTTATGGAGTTAAGGTGAGAACAACATAAGAAATCATTTCGAAATATTGCGACTGCCATTGCCATTTCTCTCTCTCTCTCTGTCTCTCGTATCCGCTCTCTGCAGTTTTCAAACAAAATGTAAACAGGGAATTGTGGATCCAATGCTTTCGATATGGGGTCAACAGATCATTGTTCATGAAGACACAACTCAGTAAGTTCTTGAGCACAGGCCAGAGACAGAGCCAGAAATTATTTCGTGTATACTGATTTGATTCGATTTTTTTTCTTATATTCCACACAGAATATCAAAAATATTTTGCTTTAGTCATAAAGGTCATGGATTGTACATGGCATCGCCCACCGAAATTCAAAAATTCACGATATCATCGGAATTCTGGTAAGCTTCCAGCTTCCATCTGTGTGGGCTCTCCGGCTTATCTTAAACGTATTCTGAATTTTTCAGTCAATTTATTTTGGAGATGATGGGTGAACTATATACGGTACAGGAAATGCCCGAACAACCGAAGGAGGGTTTCTTTAAGGGTCTGTTTGGCGGCGGGGCGAAACTCTTGGATCGCGAAGAGCTTTGTAAGTACCCAAAAAACGTCGAATGGACAAAGGGATGCCCTTCCAAATATATGCGGATTCATTAAGCTAAAATTATCCTTTTCCCATCATTTTTGTTTTGCAGTTGGCGAGCAGAGCGGGAAAGCAAATCGTTCGGTTGCTCGGCATATACCCGGGCCGACTTTGGAGCAGCTCGGCACACGTGCTTCCACAGCCGCATCGGAGATTAGTCGGGCGCACCAGCTGGCCATGGAGCGTGGCGAGAAACTCAATATTTTGGAGGAGCGCGCCGAGCGTATGGCCAATACAGCTCAAGATTTCAGCGGTACAGCGCATCAATTAATGCTTAAATATAAAGACAAAAAGTGGTATCAGTTGTAAAATATCTATTTTAGGAGCCAATTCTACCACAGTTATTGTAATATTGCTTTTATAACACTTTCTACTACATTACGAGTAAAGTACACTTATTTAATTTCTGTTTTCAAGTCGTCACGTTATTTACAAAAACAACCAAAAACAAAAACAAACAAAACAAAACCAACAAAAAAAGCTGTTTTTAATAAAAATATATAGACCAAAAAAACAACATGTAAAACTCGTCTCAATATTCTGATGAATGCCGATCGTGCTTTTCGACAGTTCCGTCCAGTTTTGTGACCCTATAGTCTCGATCCCCTGCTTGGCACGTCTCATGTGCATATGTTCCTGTGTGAATAACTCGTGCTCAGCATCGAATTCCTAATCTTTTGCCATCAAAACTACATATTTTCAAAAATTTCGAAAAAAAAAATGGCTTGTAAATGGATAACGGAGGTTTTTCACGCTGCTGCTTTCACTAGCGGTCTATGGGGAAAATGCGGTGAAACTTGTTTAATTTAAACGGTCACTCTATGTGTAGCCAAATGCCTGCAGCCACACAAGGTAATACCATTACTATTTCCAGTATTTTTCCGCATTTTTTTACAACTATCAGTACATTTCAGATTTTATTTAAATTCCATAAACTTGTAGGCATTTTAGGCATTTTTTTTTTGTCATATTAATTCTTCGCACTTTTTACTAAACTTAGCGCAATATTTGATCAAGTCTTATTTTACGAATAATCCAAATGAAAATGAGTACTTAAAATTAGCAAATCTTTAATGAAATTGATTTATTTGTCGTATAACAAATTTATGTTATTAAAATTGTGGAATATCAACGCAGTCACATCATCACATCACAGCTTGTCGTGTCCGTCGGTATATTTACGGTATGTTTTGAAAACGAGAAGGTATATTTTGGTATATTTCTGAGGGTGAGCGGGGTATATTTGATCGATAAGTCCGCGTTCACATTGCTGGAGTCTACCATTTTTATTTTAGTTAATAAAATATATATATATATATTTTCCTCTCCTTATTTCGGTTGTGCGCGTACATAAACTGCTAAAGAACTATCCTTCTAACGTTGTCCGTGTGTAAAAGAGCCAGCTTGCTGCGAGAAACGACCAATTTCCAACGCGATTTTCCCATTTCATTTTTTTTTCCACCATACAAAGTTTTTTTTTGTGAGTGAAGATCCAACCTTGAGAAACACCCAGCACAGCAGTTCCATCAGTTTTGCTTGCTCAATTGCTCATCTGTGGTAAGATTTTCTGGCGAAAAATGTCAGCCAACGATGGTTGGAGCATTAGGTTTTGGATGGATATTTTACGTGGTTTCCTCACGAATATACATTTTCCATCCAGTTAAAATGCGTGCTAAGTGCGACTGTGTGTGTGTGTGTGTGTGTGTACCGCAGTGGTAGTATGTGTGCGAGTGCTTGGCTCGAAATTTTCTTTTGTGTAAAACATTTGTAAGGTGCAACTGTGCATGCAGCTGTATGCGTATGTGGCTGTATTAGTGTTTTATCCGCATGTGTTGGTGGCCTGGCCGCGGCCTGCTCTGCTGCTTGTTGTCTTTACTGTTGTTGTGCGTCATAGTGTTGATTGGATGAGAGTGTGTGTGTGTGTGTGTGTGTGTGTGTGTGCGCGTAATATGCATTCCAACGGGGTAAAATGAGGAAAGAAGAAGAGGAAGAAGAAGCCTGTCCCGTAGCCCGTTCCGTTCCGTTTCTATGTGGCGCCCCCCGACGCCGCCTTGTTTATTTAGAAATCTTTCCATGACAAAAACAAAAATTAAAAATAATCATACATTCACTCGCATTCCCCCGCCAATAAACAAGAGACGAGACGGCCCTCCAATTGGGAAGGCCTAGGCATAGGACAGACCCCCGACCCACGATGATGAAATTATATAGATTTAATGCTAACTTGGTTATGAAAATGCGCATTTCGGTTGTCGGGCTGTCAGTCTGTTGGGGCAACGTCAGCGGGGAAAACCCCAAAATCGACAAAGGGAAAAAAGGGGCCGCAAAACCAGCGCCAAAGAGAAACGGGGGCAAGAAGAAAGTGACCAAACCAAAGACTTAACAACGATTAACGAGTGACCGACCTATGTAACTCATCTTGATACTCTTGTTAACACAGAAGTCGTGCTCACGAAGAAACTATATTGTTGAGTCGGCGAGGCCTGCAAGGAGAACGCCTCCATCATGGACAAGATGCGTATACTGAAGGAAAGCCGCCCCGAAATAATTGTCGGTGGCAAATATCGGGTCATACGCAAGATAGGTAAGTGCCTGCCTGCCACAGATTCTGCAGATTGCAAATGGAATGGGATTGAGGATGAACATACCGACTAATACTTTTCTGCATATACCGTTCATTTCTCTTTCTTCAGGCAGCGGCTCTTTCGGTGACATCTATCTGGGCATGAGCATCCAGAGCGGCGAGGAGGTGGCCATCAAAATGGAGAGTGCCCATGCCCGCCATCCCCAGCTGTTGTACGAGGCCAAGCTGTACCGCATTCTGAGCGGCGGCGTTGGCTTTCCACGCATCCGCCACCACGGCAAGGAGAAGAACTTCAATACGCTGGTGATGGACCTGCTGGGCCCCTCGCTGGAGGATCTGTTCAATTTCTGTACGCGCCACTTCACCATCAAGACGGTGCTGATGCTGGTCGACCAGATGATCGGTCGCCTTGAATATATCCATCTCAAGTGCTTCATCCATCGCGACATTAAGCCGGACAACTTCCTCATGGGCATCGGTCGCCATTGCAACAAGCTCTTCCTGATCGACTTTGGTCTGGCCAAGAAATACCGAGACCCACACACGCGCCACCACATCTTGTACAGGGAGGACAAGAATTTGACGGGAACCGCCCGCTATGCCTCGATCAATGCCCATCTGGGCATCGAGCAGTCTCGCCGCGACGACATGGAGTCGCTCGGCTATGTGATGATGTACTTTAATCGCGGCGTCCTGCCCTGGCAGGGCATGAAGGCCAACAACAAGCAGCAGAAGTATGAGAAAATTTCAGAGAAGAAAATGTCAACGCCCATCGAGGTGCTGTGCAAGGGTTCGCCGGCCGAGTTCTCCATGTACTTGAACTATTGTCGTAGCTTGCGTTTCGAGGAACAGCCGGACTACATGTACCTACGTCAATTGTTCCGGTAAGTTTATCTACCCGTTATATACATAGATCAAAGATATATATGCCGATGGTAAATGTTAATTAACATTATTTTTTGCATTTTGTATTTGTTTTGTGTACGCTACACAGCATACTGTTTAGGACGCTGAACCATCAGTATGACTACATCTACGACTGGACAATGCTGAAGCAGAAGACCCACCAGGGTCAGGCGAATCCTGCAATACTCTTGGAGCAATTGGACAAGGACAAGGAGAAGCAGAACGGCAAGCCGCTGATCGCGGACTAGGGCGATGGATAAAAATGCAAAAGGGGGGGAAACACAAAACAAAACAAAAATCACACTATAAGGGAAATGAAATGAAACGAGAATTGGAAAGGAGTGGAAGAAATGAAGAATGGAGAAAGTTGGAGCGTTGAGGAAGGAGCGGAATGGAAACATACACTGCGATGTGAAATAAGAAAGAAAAGAAAGAATCCGAAACAGAAACGAGTTACAAAAGCAAAAAATTAAAGGAGAAACGATGTAATACGCATTCGGGAAATAGGATGTTTCGTAATTAATTAATTTAAATTCAATACTAAATGAATAAGGAACAAGCCAGACAGACATCTGCCTCACACACACACACACAGAAAACACACACCTACACACACTCACACAACAACCAACAATACCAGAGAGGACGATTGGTTCCGCGAAGTGAACCAACAGCAGAAAAGGATCCACACTCTACACCCATACGCATACACCACAAATACATATTCACCCACACCCACACACCTTCAGAAACACACACACACACACACTTAGTATAACAAATTTAACAGAATTAATTTAGAGCGGTACAAAAATCGTAAGCAATTTCGTGTATATATATATATATGTACATAGGCATATACATATGTAGACCAGATATGTGCTCATCATATATATATATATGTGTGATATGTATACGTATATGTATGCAGGTAGACCCATTTTGAATTGAAATTGAAAATTGAAATTGATTTTATATCGAATTCTGTCGCGCACCACACTTGCTGCTTGTTGATTCAACAGAGATTGAAATCGCATCCCATATAACATATAACATGCGATCATGCGATAGCGATAGCGATATATCCCCCGCATGTATTGTATATATACATAGATGCCGAGTATATGGAAACGATTCGATACGATACGCGATATATAACAATATTTAAATTGAATTTCAATCAATTTCCATGGCACTGCTTGATTATGGCTGCGAACCAGACTCAATAACTAATTGAAATTGCGTCAATAATAAGCAGCGAATAAAACATAAAGCAAAAACCACAAACACACACAAAACAAAAAAGAAAGAAAATAAATGTAACACAAAAAAATTAAATGAATCGCAGATGAAGAGTTGCCAGGAAGCAAAGAAGCCAACTGAGACACGACGACGAGGGGGAAAGCATTAAAGAATACAGCAAAAGAAGAATAAAAAATTTAAAAAAAAACAAAAAAAAAACACAAGAAAAAACATCAAATAATAATAATATAATAAAAACACAAAAAAAAAAACAAACAATGAAAAAACCGAACGCAAAACTGCAAAGTAATTTTGCATAGTAAGCAGTAATAATTATAAACATAACTTATATTTAATTTTTTGAATTACATCAATAAATATGTTGAAATTATGTATGTACATCGCTCTGTCGATCGGATCGATCCGGACGTTGCAACGTAACGTAACGTAACCTTCGAATGACACCACCTCGCCACTGAACAGACAGAGAGGGGTATACATAGATGGCGTGTGAGAGGAGAGGAGTGGAGAAGCAGCAAGAAGTCATCGATGCGGTTCGATGCAGGAAAAGCCAGGCACAGCCTTTAATCAATCGATCGTAGATCTATAGAACTATAGAGAATATAAAAAAATATATAAAGCAATTTAAATTTGAAATTTCTTACAATTTTGAGGAAGAAAACTATCGACACATAAATGTCCTTGAAATGTCTGAAAATATACATAATAGTAAATCCCAAAACAAACAAAAAATGTATAACGATTTTACATTAATCAGGCATCAACAAAATATTCGAAATTTGCGCTAAGAAGATCTTGATCTTCTTATCAGTACAAAACTAGATTCATATGTACAAGGATATGGGAAAAATACTTTGAGACAGTTGCTATTGTTTTAAGATTGAATTATTGAAGGAACCTCCAATGCCGAGGGAAAACGAAACCCATCGAGTATTAGGATACCGTGTGCAGGGAGCAGGGAGGGTGACCAGGGAAGGCATTTTCATCTTGAATTGAATGGTGACCAGGACATTTGAAGGATTCTGAAGCCACAGAGTGTGAGACTTCACCTCCCCGTTGCCTGCGTTTCATTCTGAATGGTGGATAGTGGCAATGGACTTGTAGGATCCAGCCACAATACAGATAGCAGTACCTGGCTTGTCACACAGGGGAAAATGCAATAATATTCCTTGTTCTACTATCAATTACTGATACAGACAGACATTTACAGACAGACTCGTGTTAACTCAAGCAAGATGCAATGGAAATTGCAGGATTATGGAGTCGTGCTTTAACCATTTTTAAAGTTGGCTAGAGCCCTGTGGAATGAAGTTAGAGTAGAGGAGATGAGTTATTTCCGTTGGCAGTTCTCTCTCAAAGAGTGGCTGAGAGATGACGGTGCGCCCCATGAATCTGATTCTACTACTCGCAGATTAAAAACATACATTTCGGCCCTCCATCGAAAGACAGTCTGTTGTTTGTTTGCCTACTACTCAGTGCACATTAAAGTTGTTCGATTTTGTAACTGTTATTTTCACCCACTCTTTGTTTATTTGTTCTGCTATCAGTCGTGTGGAGATATTGCCTACGACGATGACTTATAAATTATTTATGTATGTTTTATTTCATAATTTCGAATTGGGTTTTATCTGCTTATCTCGGTGGAATATTAACGAAGCAAAAAATAAATGGAATTTCATTAAAACTCTTTGGTTATCATTTTCTATTGGTTTAAATTTTGGTTTTCCTTTAAGACAAAAGCAATAAAATAATAAAATGAGTTTCCAAACTTGGGCTCGAAAACAGCCGCATTGAAAATTAACGCCCCATTCGATAGTGTCGATAGTGTTCGATAGTGTATCGGTCGATTTTGATTGCCCCGAAAAGAGTATTTTTGGTTTATTTTTTATTGTGTATTTCTCTCAATTCTCGAAAATGGAAGTTCGCCGCTTACCAGCACTTCCTCTTTTCGAGCTGCAAAATTTCAAAATGGGACAAACGCCGGCGGTTTCCATGGACATTATTGTATGGCAGGCAATGCGGTTTGTAAGTTTCGGTCCTTATTGCTGGGCAGAAGTGGACTTACCTGCAGTCTCCATTTGTAAAGAGCTATTAGGGCGAAATTTGGCAGCTTAGCGGGTTACCAATAATAGGTATCCAGAAACGGGATTAAATGTAGTTTATTAAGGAACAGAAAGACTTTATATAGCCACGGTTATAGGTATGAAAAACATCTCAATTCCAAAATAATATAATTTGCAAATATTAATGTTTCAAAGCTTAAGCTAATGGAACAAAACATTTATCATCAATTAAAAGGAAATATGGTATAGTAAATATGGTTGACCAGCAACAATGCCGTCACATTTCGCCTACTAACGCTTAACGTTTAATGCTATTGGCCGTTAATTTGTTTGAACCTTATTATGTAAACAATCAAATGAAAAAGAGTTCTGAAAATCGCTTCGCTTCAATCCTAAACAAAATGGATTGGAAAATGGTACCCAGACATTATTGAATAGAGTAATGTTTGTAATTTAGGCTCTTATTAATAAAAAAACTAGTCAAAAGATATTAACAATTTGGCAGCTACGTACCAATAAAAAAAAATGGGATAAATATTTATAAACAAAATAATGCAGTAATAACCAATTTAAGATAATGCAATATTAATATTGGAACAAAACATTTATCCCATTAAAGGAAAGATAAAAAGCGTCCATAGGGGAATGGTTAAGAACAATGCACATTTTTCTACGAAATTTAAGTTTGGCCGTTAACTTTGAACCGTAGTATTAAACAATCAACTTGAAACAGGTGAAAGATATTGAAGGTGGTCATTTTTGTTTTGTCAGTAAAGAGAGGGGGATGGATCTTCAAGGAGCCTTTACAAACAGTACCATTTTCCGCGGTTTAACAAAGGGTGGTCAACTTTTTAAATAGAGGGGTTTTAAGTGGGTTAAGTCTCGTCTTATCGTTATCGTCACGGTCATGGCAGCTGTTGCGCGCAGTGTAAAGACCATATTTTCTAAAAATATCGATTCTTGATATAGTCGACGACAAAATCATCGTACCGATACTATCGTATAAAAAAATAAAAAATATCACCTATATCGATATACCGATCTAGTATCAACAATCCTACTTGTGCGTTCAAATTTTAAAAAACTGTCGTTGACAACGGACGTGCTTGTGCTTGTCTCTGCTGTTGTTTTGCCGGAAAACGGAAAACCAAGTGCAAAGTAGTGTGCCACCGCCAGGATCTTCATTCGGCGCCCGCAATCAAAGTAATTTTTTGGCAAATCCAACCAACGTGCCCGTGCCTGTGTGTGTGTGTGTGTGTGTCACTTGGTGCATTTTCCACGTTTTTTTTTTTATGTTACTCTCGTCCAAGTGAGCGCGGGCCATTTGGTTGTTAAAAAAAGCGGTGCAAATACTATTGGTTGTTCTTTTTTTTTTTGCATTGTGTGACTGCAACGGTAGGTGTTGAACTAGTGTGTGGGAGTGCAAAATGACAGGATGCATGCAAAAGGCTGAAATGAAAAGAGCAGACCAAGAATGCCGATGACGGGAAGAATTGGAAGCACAGAATAAGGATGCCAAGCAGAGTAGTGTAGTAGTAGTAGTATTGGAAGATGCCTAATCGGACACTGTCAAGGGTCGAAGAGGACCAAACAGAGAGGAAGAGACCAAAAACCAAAACCCAAAATCGTAACTCATCCAAAAACAAAGTCTCCCATAGGCAGTCGCTATCGCAGTCACAGTCGACGCCGCAGTTGCTGTTGCCTGCTTGCGCAGCAATAAAATAAAAATTTACCAACATACACAGACTGAGGACACGGACACGGACACAGACATGTGATACGAGCTAAAACAACCACCACTGGAGATCTCTCACCAACACACTCACACACACCGAGCCCCGAGTCACACTTGCGCTCTGACAGTACGGTACGCTACGGTGTCGTGTAGACGATGAGTGCATAGGAGGGAAGGGGCTCTTGGACGAGGAGGGAGCTTATCTCTTGCTTGCTTTGAGAACGAAGACGATAAAAGCAAAGCAAACAACACACTCACACACACACTCACGTGGACACAGGAACAGTCAGACGGACGGACGTATGGACAGGAGGGACCCAATCGGCCTGTTTCTGTTTTTGGGAAAAGAATAAAAGGAACAAAGCAAAGGCAAAGAAACGTCAGTTTGCACTGGCTCTGCTTTGTCCCTCTCCTTCTTTTGGCTCCTCATCCTGATTCTGCCTATCCTTCTCATACTTCTTCGTTTAAGTGCCTTGCACATGTGCGTAAGGACACACACATACACACACAGAGTCACACACACGCAGAGAGTCCCAATTTGTAAGCTGAGAGAGCAAGCGAGACACTACTACACAGCCACGAGCATTTGTGAACCAAGCTGTTCCGTTTGCACGTGTAACGGCGTTCCATTGCCGAATTCCTTTCCATTACTCTCCTAACCATCGTATCTTCACCTTCTCCCTCTTTTCAGCTGTCTTTTTTTTTGTGTGTAAAATGCAATACGCGAAAAATAGATAACGCAACAATAAAATTATAGTTCAAGTGCAAAAAATAAAAAAAAAAAAACATCTAATTTCAAACGCAATTCAATCCCCCACCACCCGTAAAACCGTAACAATCAAAAGAAAGAAAAAGAGAATTTTGTCGTCTTGTCCAGTGGAAACGAATCATCAAGTCCGAAAACAACAAATATAGTTCAATCAGAAGGCTGGGAGAAAAAAAAAAAACAACAAAACTATAGAAATAGCAACAAGGACAAATAAACAGCAGGAGACGCAGCAGCGCAGGCCCCCAACAACAAAATGTCTGCCACAATAGTGCAGAAATCGACAGCAACAGTCGGCAATTCGCATTACTTTGAATGCGGCGACTTATTCCAGACGGTAAGTCCTACCCAAATCTAATCCCCATACCACCACCCCCCTGAAATATCAATGGAAATGGTACCTTTTTCTCTTTTCATACGATTTCCCCTTCTCTAGTTGGAAATCTCCTCACCCTTTTTGAAGATCTTTAAAAGTGATGCTAAGTAAAACTCGTGAATTTCACTTCTGTTTCCAAGTCCATTTCCATTGAAAAACAATTACAGTTTAAATTGATGAATGTTTTTGGTTTTACATTTTCTGTGAGTCAAGTGCAAGTGTTTTTCGAGTGATTCAAATTGGAGTACAAAGTTCTCCTACTGCTATAAATCATTGCAACGATTTACACACACTTTAGACTCTAAAGCTTAAAGCAATAAATAGAGAAATGTCCACTAATCCTAATGCAAATTCCCTAGTAAAAAAAAACCATTCAAGTTTTTACCACAAATATATGTATGTATGTATGTACATACTATGTACTTTTACTGTACGAATATTTGATTACGATACAAAATTGCAACCAAACTGATTTCGGTAGATTTGTAGGGAGCGGCGGGGGCAGTGCATATAGCATTTGCGAACACCGGCGATTATTCTTTTTGCGCATTTCGTACGTTTCCGTTTCGTTACACGTTCCACTAGTCTGTGTGTCGCGGTGTGTGAGAGTTATTATTCGAAATATTCAGCTGATTCATAATTATTTTTGTTGGCAAACACTCACAATTTTGATGGCGACATCAAAATGCACAACGCCACACCGACGACAACATTAACTGGAAAACGAACTAAATAAATTGTCTGATAAGGAGAAGCTTGGTGGGTTGATTGGTGGGTGGGGACGGGACGGGACCTGCGAATATGATAAGTTCTTTGGGACACTCGAAGCAGAGAGCCAGTGGCAGAGAAAGGTGAGGTTTGGCAGACGGTGCCAGAGACAAACAGGCTTTGATTCGATACGATTCGATTCCGTTTCGTTTCACGCTCTCTTTACTCACTTGTTGACCGATTGTTTTAATTGTAAAATGGAAGGATTGTTGGGGAGAGGGAGAATGCCATAACTTCATATAAATGTACCTTGCCTTGAGCCCTTCTCTCTCGCTCTCTCTTGCAATCGCCTGATCCGGTGATCTGCTGTAACTGTAACTTAAAGGAGATGGCAACGCAACGTAGCAATTGTCGTCATTAGGCAGCAGCATCGTTAACAAATTATAATGATAATTTAAAATGCCAGTGTGTGCGTGCGGAAAGTTAGTGGCTGCTGCTTGCTGCGACTGAGACGTCAGCAGCAGTCGGAGGAGCAGCAGCAGCAGCTGGTGATCGACAACAAATTCGATTAAGTCAGTTCCGGGTTTGGATTTTCGTGTTTTAGTGATTTTTGGATTTTTTTTTGTTGCTTTTGGCTTTTGCTTTCAAGCGGAGGAGAGACTGCTGCTGTGGTATCCCTCTCCCTCTCTGTACCACTCTCCGCCTCTCTCTCCCCTCCCACTCTTGAACGGTACGGTTACGTGCAAAGTTTGTCATTGACACGAGATTCGCGGCAGCGTAACGAGAGGGGTAAGGAAGAAGTCGCGCAGTGGATGGTACGAGGGAAGTGGATTGAAATTGAAAAGTGGAGTGAATGGAAGAGACAGCCAAACTATTAGACAGGGGAGTGAATGGTGTTGGGCTGTCGGGTTGAGGTTGGGGAGCGAGGAGTGCAGCAGCAGCGCCTCCAAGCTAAAGCTGAAATCGCTTTTGCCAAACTGCTATTTAGCACAACGGTTCAGCGCCATCGACATATCGTTCATACATACATACATATATGAACAGTAGTTCGTATCGGTCATCGGAAAAGTCTACAAAGTATAATTTAATAGCTTTCCGATCTGCTTGAATTCTGTGTGGCGGCCAAGCCTGCGACTTCGAAACCCTTTTTTCCCCTGCCCCGTTTTGTTTTCCAGTTTGTTTTGGTTTCTGTTGGGGAAATTTGCGTAAACTAAATGCAGGGCCATCGGGGGGGTCAAGTAGAGCCCATCTACGAGTACACAAGCAAAAACAACAACAACAAACACAGCGAAAGGCAAGACCAGCAGGCGGGAATAGGGCCAAGGCGGAGGGTTGATGTCCGATAAAGTTGCGAAGACTTTTTGTATTTTCTGTGATTTTTTAACGAACTTTGCCTGCTGCTGCCTGCCTGCCTCCTATTGTGTTATCGATTACACTAGCAACCCCACAAACCAATTGGGGCAAAATTTGATAATATTTTTTTTTTCTATGGCAGACTTTTTTGTAAAGTTTTTTTTTTTGATTTACGCTGGTTGAAAACGATTGATTGGCAGTTGGCAACAAACCTAAGTTTAGTAACGATTTTAGCTCCTCCATAATTTTATGAGCTCCTAATGCCCTAACCAAAAGCGTACATACCCCTCCAGTATCCTTGCCAATCATACACCCTCTAGGCGAAAATCAAAAACAAAATACTAAAAAACCAAAAAAACCAATAAAAAGTAAATCCCCATCTCAGAAAAGTCGGTTTGGATCCTTGAGGAAAAAAAAGTTCGATTTTGTCGGGTAGTGTTATCGGACGGAGCCGACAAAAGTAACAGCGATTGCAATCGCGACTGCGTTTGCTTTTGCTATGGTAAATTAATTTGTTGCTTTTGTTTTTGTGTAATCGGCCCGTCATTACGCAGCATTTTTTCTCTCCCTTGTTGGCTTCTGTTTTTTTATTTATTTAATTTTTTTTTTGGCAGACCGCAATAGCAGCTAAAAGCAACAACAGTAATTTTGCTGCCGAAAGCGAAAGGGGCGCGCACACACACACACACGTACACAATAGAAACTGCTGGTGCAGCGATCGTTGCTTTTTTGTTTCGTCTTCTGCAGCGCGCGCACAGGCGACTAAATCGTCAAAGACGAATTAATGCTGGCTGGTGATGGTACCACTTACATCCACTCCTATCCAATATCCTTATCAAAATCGAAAAAATCTTTAGGTAAATCTCTAGTCCGTATTTTCCCTAAGACTCCTAAACATTGGGTAGGAATATCTATAGAATTAAACGATTTTCCCTCTTATTGATTCGTTTTTCAAGCGATCGATAAACAAATACAATGCCCATACATATCATGTGGGTGCATTGACCGATAAAGGGGAAATTCGAGAGATGAGTGGAAAACAAAAACAATTTACAAACATGGTAATATTTTGCTGTAAAAACATAGACGATTGAATGCGCCCCACTCAATTTTCAGAGACTCGCCGACTTGCTGATAAATTCTATTGGTGGGGTGGGACGTGTGACTATTTTAATTCCCATAAATATTGTGGGCATCAAAAAAACTTTTCCGAGCAATTCCGAGGTAAACAAATTGGACATCACTATTTGTCTATTGTCTCAATTTTTATGATTCCCGGAGCTGCAGATTGTTCTATTAGTACTACTTGGGGGATGTGTTTGGTCATGGCTTTCCCACGCATTGCGGCGTGCTGAATCCATATATTTTTGTCGGGTGGATCTTTATGAAGATGAGGTTGGAATGGGAGAGGAGAGGATAGTTGGAATTATATTTTCTCGCATAACTTTTATTTACATCATTTTTAAATACATAAATAGAGACATGCATGTGTGTGTGAGTGTCGAATGGAGTTGGGGCATCTTGGGACCTGTTTTTTGTGGCCTCTCTTGCCTTTCCCGAAAACTAAAAATGCTTAGTTTTGGTTTTAACCAGCAAAATCCTGATGTTGTGCCGCGTAATCGTCGTATTATGTTTCATGCCTCACATGCAGCGTATGCACATCTACTCTACCCTCCACTTGGCCTCTCCTCCTCCTGTTCCCTAACACACGCTGAGCCGCTGGAGAGCGGAGAGTGGAGAAAGGAGAGGTTCACTTACAAACGACAACGAGCGAGCGAGCGACTACATTTTTTCCGAATATAATTCCATTTCCTGCCAAGGCGATAACGCTGCCGCCGCCGCCACGGGTTTGTATGCATGTGTGTGTGTGTGTACATGTCCCGACGATGCCGCCATTGCTTGAGCTGCTGCTGCCTCTGCATCGGTGATCGGTGGAGTGGAGGTGGACTAGAAGGAGGATAGCGGAGTAGCGGGGGAGAGAGAGCGAGGCCGCTACCTACCTACAATTGCCCTTCCGCTGCCTGGGTCTTGCTGCTGCGACCCGTACCCGTGCAGGCAAAAAACAAAGACAAAAACAACTCTTCAATCTCCGCTCCCAATGCCTGTTGCAGCGATATCCTCCCTCCCTCTCTGCATCGCTCCCTCAAGAGGCAAACGTCATTTCATTTCATTTCGATTCGATTCGACTCGATTAATATGCAGCGCAGGCCCGCGCACTCACACACACACTGCCACAGGAACAGTCACCACACGCAGGCGCTGGCAGAGGCACTGCCAATCATGAGGACAAAAAGAGGATGGGGAGCTTCTAGAGTCGAGGCATTGATACCCTTTCTAACCCCTTGTTCTTAAGGTCGCTCATTTCAAATAAGTTAAAGATTTCGAATCTACATACATACATTTAATGGAAACTATTTTAGTAATCAAGAATTCATAGTACATACTTATGCATGCGTGTATGCACTTTACCCAAGTCTGGGCAAACTCATAATGTCCTGACTACAAAGGGTATCAAGAACGATTGACTGGCAGCAGGCCCCTAGCAAGAGGATTGAGAAGAGATGGAATAGATAGAGCGGCTGGCTTATGATCAAATTCTGGAAACGTTTGATTGAAATTTTTGTTGAAAATGATCAGCAAACATCATTGATATGTACATACATACATATGTACATATATATTTCCCATAATAAATTGCATTGGAGACCCAGGCTGGACGGACAGCTCGAACTTAATTGTTCCTCAATTATTTGTAGCTTTTCGCGTATTTCTCTACAACTCGTGTGTTTTTTATTTATTTTTTTTTTTTTTTTTGTGCAAAGTTAACAAAAAGATAAATTAAGAAAAAATTATTTTCGTGCAATGCAGTCGTTGCGCTTATTATTATTAATATTATTATT